TCCCCGCTTGGGGGGGGGTGGGGGGGGGGGGGTCTCGACTTGGTTGGTCCCCAGTTGGGAAGCGACTCTCAGTTATTACCCAGGACGGGAGGGCTCGGCAATCGAGAAAAGTCACCCCTTTGAGCTTTCCTGCGGCAGGCATTCCAAGTGCCCTGTATAATCTACTGTACTCGGACTGGCTGGGACTGGGGACAGGCTAGAAAGCCACTTCTGATCAAGGCTTGCCCGTCTTCAGCTGTGCCGGCGTCCCCGCGTCCATGTCCACGTCGACGAGTGCAAGACATTTCATTCCATTCGCCCATTCGCCCATTCGCCCATTCGCGCCCGACAGCCCTGCCCTGGGCTCAGCTATGAATCAGCCACACAGTCAGGGCTCTAATCAACTTGCCTATGCTATGTACATAGTTGCTAGCTAAAAAAAAAAAAAACGCCGCCGCTAAAAACAGAGGCGAATGGGGGGGCTTCCCGCAAGCTGAAGCCTTTTTTCCTTTGTTTCCCCCCCCCCCGAAAGTTGCTTCTCTTTCATTCCAACTTCCCGGGTTGGCAGCTCTGTCTCTTGAGACATCAACAAGCCCAGTTGCAAGTGGCTTGCTTTCTCAGGTGCTTCGGGGCTTTTGACAAATCATCACGCGGTGCTCATTCCGCCCGCTCTCGCCTTCCCGGAGTGAGCTGGGCCAGCCCAGATTGGCGAATCTGCCTGCAAATTGGAAATTGCCGAACCCGTGCCATGTAATGAATCAGATCAAACCGGTGTGAATCATCACCCATCTACAAAGTCACGATCGTGTCTCAACAGAGCTTTCAACTCAACCCCGAAGTCTCTCCAAGTTTGCTTCATGACGCCCTGTACGCCCCGTGTTTCCAGCATCACGACTTGTCGATCAGCGGATTCGCTCTCACAGTAAACATCTACAGAGGTCATGATATCCTCGCCTACAAGGCCTCGACTTGGCCTAGCTCACAGCTGCTGGCCGTCCTTCTCCAGCGGCCACTCACAGACGACCACATCCTCGGGACCCCAAGCTAACTAACTTGTTTCACCCCCCCTCCTACCCTTTTTCTTTCCACGAAGAAGGCTGGCTGAGATGCCCAAGCGTCCGAGACACATGGCCGCCACTGGGGCCCTTCACTCACTCGACCTTTGCTCTCTTTCTTTCTCTTCCCTATCCCGTAGTTGGGCGACGCTCGATCCGCCCGCCGCCGCCGTATTCCTGAAAGTGATGCGCGGTGGCTTGCAGGACGCGTATCCTTACGAGGATCCCTACCAATCCTCGCTTGCTCAATCAGCTCTTCTATTAGTTGGTCTCCAGAAGAACGGGCGCCGCGCAACTAGCTCGATCCATTCCCTCGGTGACATGGCTGCAGGACTAGAAGCCCAGGAGCATCAAACACCACCTGTCAGGTAGGGTTCAGGTCGGCCATCTCCCGTCTCTTTGTCCGTGTACTACTTGCCTGTTCAGCCTTTTTTTGATACTCTGTGTTTTTCTTTTGTTTCTTTTTGCTTGCTTGCTCGACACATGACTTCGTTTCCCTCGCAGCCTCGCTCATCTCATTACACCCCTCCCCTGCACGGCCCAAGTCGGTGCTGCATATGGTTCATAACCCGTGCCCAAAACGTCTGCGAATGGCCTCTCTTTCTTTTTTCTCACCTGTTACAGGGTGCTGCCCCCCCGTTCGGGTGCCTTGCAGGTAGGACAGCATCTGCTTGACACTAACGCTTTGGTTGACTCTCCCCGAACGTCACCGCCCCCTCCTCTTTCTTTTCGCCGCCGAGAGAACCGCGGGCTGGTCAAAGCGAGGCTACACGAACGTTGAGAGCTCTCTGGGTGACTTTCCTGTTACAGCGAGCGGATAGGCGGTCTTCTCCCGAGGTCGCCCGACGCTGTTCGGACCATCAGGTCAGCGACACGCAACACAAAACCCTCGCGATATACGAGCGACCGAGGCCTTTTCGGTCTGCCGCTGGCGATGATGCGAAAAGGGGGGGTTAGACTGCGGAACGAGGGATCGATCGCACGACCGCACGAATTTGGTGTCGCTTGCGTGCTCGTATTTCCCTTCTTCCCTTCTTCTATTCAGCCATGACGCGGGCGACCTTTAAGTTGCGGCAACCGAAATTGCACTCCTCATTGCGTGTTCGTCTCTTGCGTGGGCGTTGCACAAGGGAGGAGGGGAAGGAGGAGGGAGTATCAAGTACGACGCGACAAGGACTGAAGGAGGCTCTGTCTTTTGACGGGAATCGCGATTTGCTGTCGCAGATGAATGCGCAACCCCCGGTCTCAAGTCAAGGGAGAATCAAGGTTTTCGGTGTGCGGTGGTGACGGCGCCGCCCATCCTTGTCGTCTTGGACCCAGGCACTACTGAACAACCCCGATTGAGACCTACATGCCACATTTCCATCTCTACCTATCTATCACATATGCAGTACTACTTGGCCGTCTGCTGTCTCGTCTTTGCGCGCGTCTTGCGTACCTGCTGATCAAGTCGGCAGGAGAGGCTAAAGAAAGTGCCGACATGATAGAGTTCGATCCGATGCAAGGGATGACAGGCAATGACAGCCCTTTTTCCAACGCTAATAGACCCAACCAAACCAAACTCCACGCGAACGCCAGAATGTCGCGTCTGTATCAAGGTTTAAACCTTGGCCGCTGGACCTGTTGTCGAGGGCCAGCTGCAAATCGCGTTCTTGCGCGTCATGGTCGTCGACCCCCGTGTAAAGGGCACCGGCCCCAACTGTAAGCCGCGCCAGTCTTGCTTCGGAGAAAAGGGGCGGCCAAGACGCAAAATTTAAACTTCCTGGGGATGATTCGAAACGTGATATACTCGAATGAAATAAAGTACATGAAAAGTGCCATGTGCTTACCTTCTTTCTCACCCCCCCCGACATTTTTTATAAAAAGTTATTTTTGTTTTTTTCTATTACCATCAAATGATAGTAAATAGCAAATTGTGCTGTAGATGAAGATTCGAGAACTGCAAAGCAAACTTGGAAAATAGCCGCGGACATCTAGACATAAGTCATGACTATCCAGTCATCGAGTGCAGCAATGGTTTTGCGCTGCTTTCCAAATCTTCATACTGCAACCATGTACAGGGTATATGCATCCAGGACGTAGACGCGCCTCCACCGCCCCTCATCGGCATCAAAACTTCTCCTCTCCTCCCACACATCATCATCGCCAAAAACAACTTCGCAACCATGGCTGGCACCCTCACGGAGAAGCACCTGGGCAGCCTCCCCCCCGTGATATCGCGGCGGCTCTGCGAAAAGGCCGGCAGCGCCAACGACCAGCTCACCCCGGCCGAGCGCTGGCTCTTCCTCAGCCGCCTCGACCTTGCCGGTCAGGCCCTCGCCGCCCCCTCCTCGCTCTCCCCCGCGCAGCTCGACCAGCTCCGCGGGCGCCCGCCTCCGTCCAAGAGGTGGTGCGCGCGCACTGGGCGCCGGACCGCATCGACCGGCTGAGCCGCGCGGCGATGGAGACGGTGGCCGGCGGGTGGTGGACCTTTGAGACATTTCGGGTGTACGGCGACGACGAGGAGGACGGGGGGGAGGATGAGGCGGTGCTGGCGGCGGCGGAGCAGGTGGCGGAGGGGCAGAGGCCGGAGGAGGTGGATTTCGAGGCCGAGGTGGCGTATCGGTTTTGTGAGATGGTCGGGGAGGAGGAGGAGGAGGAGGAGGGGGAGGAGGAGGCGCCGCGCATGGAGGAGGCGGATAGGACGGAGGAGGAGCTGGATGCGCTGCGAGAGGAGCACCTGGCGAGGCGGGCGAAGGAGGCGGAGGAGCTGAGGGGGCAGCTGCGGGAGCAGCTGGAGAGGGAGCTGGGGAAGGCGTCGTCGGAGGATCTGGCGGCGATGAGGGAGTTGAGGGAGAGGATGGCTGTGGAGGTTGCTGAGGAGGTTCGGGAGGATCAAGAGAGGGAGAGGGAAGATGACGAGGAGATGCTGAGAGGAATGAAGATGCTGGAGGTTGAGGAGGAGACGGATGAAGAGGACGAGGATTGAATGGCCCAGATTGAAGACTTTTAGCATGTATAACTTGGTAGTTGAGAAGCTTAACGAAAGAGATGCGAGAATGCTGAACATCATCTATGCAAAGCCCGTCTGCCTAACTCTGTGCCCTGCCTTGCCTGCTGCGCCACCGCCTGCTTCTCCCGCGCTTCCTCTCCATCCTCGCCCGTCTCTCCTCGCGCCACCCCCCGGTCCCCAGACCCGGACGCACGCGACCGCCGCCCTCGTCAGGTTGAAACGTTGACGAGACCCTCCCCGCGTTGGCCGGGTACAGGTCCACACCAAGATCGTCGACGGCGCCGCCCCCGGCGCGGGGCCGGTGGGAGGCCGAGAGAGAGCGGGATGCGCGCGTGTAGTTCCCAGTTCAGCAGCCCGGCCCATGAGCAGCGCGCCGAGGACTTGTCTTCATTCCGGGCCTCCATCGTCGACTCAATACCAGCCAGCCAGCGTGGAGACCATCGGGCCGGTCGCAGCTTACATACTCTGTCAAGGTCGAAACGTCACAGCCCTCATGTCGTAGCGAGGTTGGTGATGCCAGGAGAGGTGGGGGGGGGGTTGATTGAATCCGCCCGGAGCCGAGTGTCACGACATAATTATGCCGGCTTCATTGACCGCTGCTGGCAATGATCAAATGAAAGAAAGAAAGATACAAAATGCCAAGCCGATGAGCACCAGATCTCCATTGTAATTTCCGTGCTCGCCACACCGAATCGGCTCCCGTCGTTGCACTCGGTCTTAGTCTTGGTCCTTAGTTTGCCAACCCGGTGCCGGCGGATGTGACATCCATGTCTCTCCATCAATCCTTGATCGAGCGAGGATCAACAAGTAGTGCTAAAATGACGGAAATGAATACGGAGATAGAGCGCGGATATCGATTGACTTAGCCTGTGTTTTTCTCGGCGCTAATAAGACGGCACACTCCATTCATCTGCTGCTGTCTTGAATCATTTGTGTGGCAGGACATTGCTTCTTCGGCTTGTGCCGAAAACAGGGTCCGGCCTTGATTATACATAGACAAACTAGGAACCTCGCAGTAGATTTTGGCTTCAACCTCAAAGACACGCTTAATGTAGAGCTCCCTTCTCTCTCTCTCTCTCTCTCTCTCTCTCTCTCTCTGCCTTGTCGCTGCCCGTCGAGCCTGGCCTCACCGCGCGCATCCGCTGGGACCAAGCCGAGTTCGAGAAGAAGATGGGACTCGGAAAGTCGCTTGCTGTCAATTATTTTGTTGCAAACTCGAAATAATTTTCATGAGCCAGTTCAAATTTAGCGGAATAGACAGAACTTTTTTTTTTTTTCACTTTTTATTTTTATATTTCTTAATATAGCAAGTCACGACTTAAATGATGGCTTTTCAAGATGGAAATGCAAGTACAAGACATAGATAAGTGACCCCGAAAAGGAACGACCGAAAGGCAGGCAGCGACAGAAATGGGTATCATTGGAAAACAGCACATCCATCCGCAACGCCTTACTCAAAGAATAGACAGAAACGACTCCAACAGAGGAAGAGGAAGAGAAACCAATAGGGATTGCCCCAGTAATGGCGGGGGAATAAAAGAAAAAAAAAAGAAAAAAGAGAATAAATACTTGAAGTATTGTATTCGTCCTTGACTTGTCTCCAAGATCTCGTTACCTGGAGACGGCGCCGGCCAACAAGGCTGTGTTGGCCTAATTTTCCTTGTCAGCATTGTCCGCATTGTCAACCTTCTCGCCCTCGTCAACCTCCTTGCCCTTGCCCTTGCCCTTGTCCTTTCCCTTGTCCTTTTGCATGAGGAAGTCGATAAGGGAGTTGATGACGTCGTCGTTTGGGATGAGGAAGTGAAGACAATTGGGAAGTGGTCTGCGTGCAATTCTCTTCAAAATGGCAACTTCACAGGCTCGCTTTTGCTTTTCGAAGTCGTCCTTCTTGTTGATTACCGGGAATTCGATCTCGGGCGCAGGCACGCCTAGGAATTCGGCGAGCGGCCCCCAGCCGTCCTCGAGATTAAAGTCGAGCAGCTGATGGCTGGGCACATTTTCTCGAATCCACTTGTAGTGTTCAACGTACGCCGCACGAGAATTGAAGTGGATGTCCCGGGAATCGGTCGAATTGGTCCAGCCCTTGGCCATCTTGAAGTTGGCAGAGCCGCACTTGGAGCCAGAGAGCGGCACAATGTACTTGATGAGGTTCCGCCTGACAGGCTCGGTCCACTGCCCAAAGATGCACTTGACGCTGCGATGCCAGCTTTCAATCTCACGCTCGTAGATGATCACCTTGGCATTGGGATAGGCCTTGATGAGGGAGACGGCGTAAAACGAGGCCATGTCCGTCACCGCGTCATAGTCTCCCAAGAGCTCGTCCCACTGCTCACGCGTGAAGGGCTCCCCCGTGTAAGACTTGAGGTTGGGGAACGTCGCGTCAGCCGCGCGATCCAGGATTTTCCACTGCTTGTCATCCTCGATGTTGAGGAGGCCGTGGTGCACCTTAAGCACGCCTAATTCTGGGAGGGCTTTCGCGAGGGAGGCTGTCCCGCTGCGCACCATGCTCAAGCAAAGGATTGGCCCTGGTCCTTTTAGGCGCTCTTCGCGCTTTTCGGCTTCGACGGCTTTGATGGCTTCCGCGATGGAAACCCTCCTGCTGTGTGCAGTCTCCAACACTCTTTTGCGCTCTTCCGGCGATAAGACTGACAATTGCTTGAACAGAGGTGAATCTGGCGCAGGCATGTCCAGCTCAGGTGTACCCGGCGCAGCTGTGTCCGAGGGAGTGGTGACGAGGGTCACGATGGGACTGATGACGGCCTTGTCCGGGGAAGCGGTCATGCGCTCTTCGGCCGCCGAACTACTTTCAGAAGGCGACTCTCCGGGATAAATGGTTGTTGCCATCTGTTTCCGTTCTGTTAGTCAGGGCACTCTGTCTGTATACCTGGATCCATCCGCAGTCACCCACAGCTTTGTTGATGCTACAGGCCAGTGTGCCAGAGGAATCTAAACAGGGGATGAATTCCTTACATTGATAGGAAGGTGGAAAACGGGGGGACACGCTGCTTTCCACTTGACCAAGCAGGGAAGGAAAGCTTCAAGTTGAGAGATAGCCGGCGCCTGTCCTTTATAGTTGCAGGAACAGGGCCAGCCGTTCCCGGATTAGCGGATACGTTGCATTCGCGGTGATGATTCAGACGCAATAATAATGTTTTCTGCAGGTCAAGGTTTATTTGTGCACCTGACGGCTTGCTTTTCTAGGATCTGTGGCAAGAAACCTTTCAGGTGCAACCAACAGCGATAGATTGCTCTTGCCCGGGCCTGAACACTCGTTGAATAGAGCTACTAGGAAAATAGATGCCTCTTGGCGCAACAAATATGTCGGCCAAAGAAGCAGCTAAGGAAGACCTAATGCAGCTAACTGACTCTAGACTGCGTGCGTTTTTACGCACGTGTTGGTTCAACAGTAGGTGGTTCCTGGCGATAGCGGGGTTTACTTTTGTTGGCTTTGGTCCTGAATTCCGAAAAGCTCAAAAATCAGCCCATTATTGGTTAGAAAATAGCCTCATTCGAGCGAGTCTCTACATGGTCTGTTTTTTTCTTTCGTTGATCTTTTCACAGCTAGTCTGTAGTGCGTGGCAACACAATGCATCTAGATGTCGGATAGCTTCTCCCAGAGAACTATGCCATAACACATCAACTTCAAGGAATTTCTAGTGGGGAGACTTTACTGATCTAGTTAATCGATATTGCGTATTTGAGCTGAAAACAGTCCGCAAATGTGTTGACTGACAGAATGGCAAAACAAAAGCCCGGTCTCGGCCTATGTCATCAAAGAAGCTTTTGGTCTAGAGACATGGCATCATTACACTATCGACATCAAAATTTTTTTAGACAAAAATAAAACAAAACAAAACAAAGCAAAGCAAGCGCAAACCTCCCATTTCGCCGAAACCCCTGCCCCTTCCCATCATTGCATCATTGCACGTCCAACTCTCCGCAGTCGCTAAACACGTTCGCCCAGCCGCCCCCTAGACACCCAGGACTCGCAAACACGCGTCCATTTCGTATCAGGCACTCTGGGTCGTACTTTTCCTTAACCTGGATCAACCTGTCCACGTTGTGGCCCCAGACGCGGCACCCTCCGTCGCCCGGCGCCATGTAGTTGGGGTAGTTTGCCAGGAACCCGCCCCCGACTACGCCGATACTCCGGTGCTGCTGCTGCGCGTAGGTGATGTCATTGAGAGCGCGCACCGTGGAGAGAGTGAGTGCGTCATTCTCGGCGTGTTGGTAGGCTGGTGTGATGAGTGTTTGGTGGCCGACGGACGCGTGCGGCCACGCGGTGTCTGAGTCGGACGAGGGGAGGTGCCCGTTGAGCCCTGGGAACATGTACTGCATGACCATGGAGGCCGAATGCGGTTGCTCACCGCGTGCTATCAAAGTGTCAATGTACGACCAGAACGTATCAGTAAGGTTGGCGAGGTAGGCCTCGTCGATGGTGGACGTCTGCGCGCCGTAGAACCCGCGCCGGTGCCCGTACGGATAGGCCGCCTCGCCGACCAGCGCGAGGTTCGCGTAGTGTCCCGTAGAGAGCACGGTGCTCTGCGATGTGTCAATACCGTCGAGCAAGTCGCGAAAAGCGGCCTCAGCGTCCCGCTGGTGAGGATTGCCCTCGTCCTCGAAGTGCAGCGTAATCAGAAGCGTGCGCCTCGCGTACCCCCCCCGCGCCGTCGGGTCGCTGAGATCCTGCGGCAGGTACCCAAAGCTGTAGTAGACGACGTTGAAGGGATCGTCGTTTGTCCGGAAGAAGTCGACCGTCTGCCTGCGCAGCCTTGCCACGTCCTCGTCCCGCACGTAGTAGAACCCCAGGGTGCTCCTCCGGGGCTCCGGGACGGCGCGCTGCCAGAAGCGCGTGACCACGCCGAACTGGCCGCTGCCGCCCTGCAGCGCCCAGAACAGGTCCGCGTACTCGTTCCGCTTGGTGGCGAGGACCACCTCCCCCGTCGACGGCAGCACCACCTCCGCCTGCACCAGCCGGTCCGCCGCGAAGCCGTACGCGCCGGCCAGGAAGCCGATGCCGCCGCCGAGGGTGAACCCGCCGGCGCCGACGTTGGCCACGCGCGCCCCAACGGCCGCGTACCCGGACCCGTTGGTCACCGCCTGCACCTGTCCCCAGGTGGCGCCGCCCTGGTACTCGACCGCCGCGAAGGGCTCCTCCGCCTCGGCGTCGGGGTTGGTGAAGTGGCGGATCAACCGCGAGCTGTTCATCCAGGACATGTCCAGGACGAAGCCGTAGCTGCTGCTGGCGTTGATCTGGCTGTGGGCGCCGCCGACGATGGCCATGTCGCCGCCACCCGCCCGCGACCACCGCGCCGCCTGCACCGCATGGCTGACGTCCCGCGCCGTCGCCGGGAACACCACCACCGACGCGTTCTTGGAAAACTGCTCGCCCCAGTAGCGGTTCGCGTTGAGCTGCTGGAGGGGCTGCCCGCGGCAGGAGATGGCCGCGCCGGAGGACAGGCGCGCCTCGAGCCACTGCAGGGCCGGGTCGGCGCCGACGCAGGCGCCTTCGGTGCGGGCCCGGACGGCGGCCAGGGCGACGACGACTGCAGAGAGAATCAGAATGATGCCGGGCCACGAGGCCGGTGCGTGGCTGGAGGGGACGCAAACACCATGGCGATGGGACCAGGCTGCGGCTTGGGAGGCGAGCCCAACGCAGGCGACGACTGCGGAAAGAATCTTCATGACTTGTCTCGAGCAGAGAAGGCGAGGATCAAGAAGATCTGAAACATGAGAGACGGCAAGAAAAAGTCCATCTCGTGGCGGTTGAGTTTAATTTATTCATCTCCTGCTGTGTAATGTATAACTACTTAAAGTAAGCAACATATAGGCCCCGGATGCGGCAAGGTCCACGTCGTTTGCTATATTAAGGGCCCGTTTCCTTGGGTACAGGGCGCACAGTTCCCCTCAATGGGCTGGATAATTTCTAATAGTTAGTTAATTAATGAATGATTAATCTACAGCGCGGCTGCAGGCACTGCACGTTGCCGATGAACGTCCTTCTTGCTACCTAAGCTGGGCCGCCATGTGCCCGATGATCTCAGGCAGCGTTGCACGGATAGAGTGTGAACGAGAAGACCAAAAAAAGAATCAAAACCCCTGATGAACCGTTTTCTTCCCTCTTTCTTCCCTTCTTTTCTTCTCATGTCTGGAAAAAACGGTCGGCAGTCTGCATACCTCATCAACAGTAATAACGGTGTGTGTCCCCGTAGAACGCTTGGGGGGAGGCAAACAAGAAACTGGCCAAGCTTCTGGGCACACTCCCAAGACAATACTCGGCGATTAAAACAGCAGGGGTCTTTGTGAAGACCACGAGATCAATTCATCCTGTGCAACGGGCGACCAGCGGCTGGTCATTTGTCCGGCATGGGCACCCTTGGTGCTTCTCCCAGGGCGGTTGTGATTTAACTCGTTCCGCGGCGACGGTGATTGGACAAGGAGAGTGAGTTGCATGGGACCGATGATGTGACAGAAGAAAAAGACACGTTTGGACTGGGGACGAGGAAAGGCCTCTTCGGTCTGACGGAGCATTGCTGCGGCCCAAGGCGGGTTGCGCCCGCAGGTGACGCAAGACGCAAGACTTTTTTTTTTTTTTTTTTCGAGAGAAAAGGGTCATCAGACTAATACAGTAGTAATATTAATAAAGTAATAAAGTAATACAGTAATTCGTAAGTAGTACTGGTACGCAGTGACTTCGTATTGAAATCTCGGAATGCTGCCGAGAATCGTGCTGGGCCGATACACGGAGCCGAGCATCTTCACTCGTCCGACACCAGATTAAGTAAGATGTGAGATGAATGGGTAAAATCACCTTGTATTTTTTTTTCCTCTTTTTTTTTCTGCCTCAAGGGTAATTTTATAACAGCAAGATATCCCCCCGTACCTTGCACCAATTCCAGTGTCCTGCCAACCCATGTATGTATGTACATATATAGAGAGAGTATCACCAGCCACTGAGGCTGTCCAGCCTCACCCTCCGTACTCGGACCATCCACCCGTTTCAACATCACCAGATACCCCTTCACCCCCCCTCCTCATCCTCCGGAAAATACAGCTTCATCTGGCTCAGCAGCGCCATCACCGCCCTGTCATCGCTCTGAAGCGCCTCCTGGTGATACCCGGCCCCGAAGCCGTCCACCAGCCACGCATGCCCCTGCCTGTCCACCACCAGACAGTCCATCAGAGTCCTCCTCTCCGCGTCCCCCTCCATCTCTTCCGACTCGCCGCCCCAGACGAACTCGCGCCGGTGCAACCCGGCCACCATGCCGGCCACCTCCGTCGCCACCGCCGACACAGCCCCCATCTTGGGCTCTCCGCGACCCGCCGCCGCCGCCAGGAACACGCGCAACGGCACGCCGCCCTCGATCCGCCGGTACAGCCCACCCATGACGCGGCTCCTCCGCACCTCCCCGTCCTCCTCCTCCTCCTCGTCATCGTCGTCGTAGAGGTAGGCTAGTAACGCCGGCACCCGGATGCAACCCCCTCCGTCGTCGTCATCGGGTTCTGCTGCGCAGGCGGCTTGCAGCGCCTGCCGAGCCACCAGCTGTCGCCGCTGCGGACACGCCCACCGCCGCGCCCCCCTTACGCCGGCGTCTCGCGCCGCTATGCAGTGATACGTCACCGCCGCCGCTCCGCCGGCGGCGTCCGTCCGGTACACGTCGCCGCAGATGCGCGCAGGCGAGATGCTCGTCGTCGACGTCACGGAGACCTCGTTCGCCGAGACGCAGCCCATCCCCGCGTCGGACGCGTACATGCTCGCAAAGTGTCTGTCCTCGCCGCCCAGCGCCTGCCTCTCCGGGTCCGGCAGCACGCGGCTCGTCTTGGTCAGCCGCAGCACGGGCTCGCCGCTGAGGTCGTCCTGGCGCAGCTCGCAGCGGCGCGGCTCGCGGGAGAGGTACAGCTGCAGGCGGCCGGGGCGCAGCGACGTGCAGCAGAGGGCGAGCAGCTCCGGCTTGGGGATGTTGGCCAGGGTGTCGTGGATCTGGGTCTGGCCGCGGGACAAGTGCCAGTTGCCCCCGTTGGTCTGCAGCACGAGCTGCACCAGGGCGTTGCAGGTCTGGGTGAAGTAGAGGTGGGACGGCGAGGCGTTCTTGCGCATCGGGGCCACGGACAGGCAAAAGGTCCTCATGTTGAGCTCGAAGATGATCTCGACGTTGTTTCCGACGATCTCGGCTTGGAAGATACGCATCTGCGCCATGATAGCTGGCCAGTTTGAGGTCGAGTCTGGATTGGGGCATTGCAACGGCAACATCTATTCGAGGACAACTGAATTCTATTTATGCTTACAGTGCATGTGTGTATTATTCTAGCTGACACACGGACGATGAAGTTATGAGCCATCGCTTTTTTCTTTTCCCGAGGAGGGGCCACAACGCCGTACTATGCGGCAGCAGGCAAGCAAGCAGCAGGTTGTGCGAGCATAAAACTGCAGCCTCCCGCACTGGCACGACAAACCTCAGCTTGAATTCAACGAGCACAGCAGAATCTGTAACTGTGCGACCTCGGGCACGACCTTATTCTGTTTCGGGAAATCGAGGGCCAGCTTGTATCATCCCTTGGCCGCCCCATGCAGGGAACCGGTCCTGCAGTTTCCGTTCATCGCCTACAGACTCTGCTATACCCCCAGCAACCCAAACTCCACGCGCAGCATGTGCACCGAGATGCGGTCGCTCAGCACCTTGCCCTCCTTGGCCTCGGTGAAGCCCTCGATGAGCCAGGGCCGGTACAGCGCGTCGAGGAAGATGGCGTCGAGCAGCGCGTAGCCCTTGTGGTCCGCGCCAACGCTGCCGCCCCAGCCGATGCCCACGTCCACCAGCCACTCGACCGTCTTACAGATCTTGAGCACGCACTCCTTGAAGACGTCCGGAGGCGCCGCGGCCGCCCGTAGCGGTAGGATCTGCGGCAGCTCGTCGAACAGGACGCCCACCGGCAGCCGCTCCGGCAACAGCCGGCCGATCCCGAGTCCGGTGGTGGTGGTGGTGGTGTTGGTGGCGGCCGTTAAATCGTGGTACAGCACGGCGCGCAGGTCCGGCACGCACATGTCACGCCGCTGCCGCGCCTCGTTGCCCATTCCGTGGCACGCCTGCGATATGCGCTCCAGCTGCTGGATCTGAAAGGCCATGGCGCGGTGGCAGCCCTCGGAGGCGGCGCGCGCGCCCAGTTCCCGCATGCACACAAACGTGAACGCCTGCGCCGCGCCGGCGGCACTGGCGCCGGCGGTCAGGTCGGCGCTGACGACGCCGCTCGGGCGGCCAGGCGGCCTCGCGCACCGCGCACACGCGGCCGTGCGCGTCCTCGGTCAGCAAAAACTGCTGCCTCCCGACGGCCAGGAACCACTCGAGCGGCAGCTGGCCCAGCCAGTCGACCGCGGCCGGCCCCGCGGCGGCCGCGGGCAGCAGCGCGGCGTCCAGCATGAAGTCGCGCAGCATCTCCTCGATCTGGCTCGCGACGGGGATGTACCGCGGGGCCGCGTAGTAGCCGCCCTTGGGCTCGAGGCTGCGCGCGAGGGCGTGCAGCACCTCGCGGAGCACCTCGTAGCCGGCGCCGAGTTGGAGCTGGCGCTCGGCGGGGATGGTGATTTGCGCGGGCTTGCCGAAGAGGTCGAAGAAGATGACGGCCATGATGGAGTTGCACCGCGCGGAGAAGACGCGCACAGGGACCTGCACGGTCAGCGGGATCTCGTCGTAGCTCACGTCCATTGTGTGTGTCTCTCTAGTCAAGGTGAGTGCAAAGCAGCTTGAGAAATGACTTCGTGGTTACCAGCTCTTTCTTATAGGATATTTAGAATCAAAAAGAAAAAAATGTCGTGTCACGCGGGGACAGTGGTTTACGGCTACCTCATGAGCTCTCTCGCGCTCTTCACCGCGCATCCGTGGTGTGACTCGCACGCTCCGGATGTTCACTAGAAGGGTGCTTCAATCACGATACGTACGGAAACAACATTTACACTGTTTCAGGTCGTATACGTGAGACGCTGCTTTGGGAGATACAATGGTTACTGCCTAGCGAATTGGCACAAGGCAGCCAGGGCTGCCTGAGATACCGTCAACAATCACTCGCCGCCCCCCAGCGGCTCAACTCGTATTACGTATCACTTAAGAAATTACTCACAATGGGCGAAAAGAGCCTCGTCATTGTCGTACAATGCCGGTATCCGGTAGGGTTTGATGACTTGCACAACTCTCCGTGCTTGTGCAGTCTGATTCTATAAACTCTGCCCAACGAAGCTCTTCGCTCGCCTCGACAAACGGGTGGTAAAACCCTGGGTTAACCTGCAGTTGGCGGCCTAAGTGAGCATTACTAAAAATCTTAGGGTATGCTTGAAAATCTGTGTATCTCTGCTTTGCATTGCGTTGCTCAGGACCATCTCTAACGTGCGTATTCCGCCGAGAGAACAAGGAATAGAGTTTTGCTTTTCTATGGTTTCGCTTTAGATACATTTTAATGCTTTTCACGTTACGAATTATTTTTATTCTTAACTATATATGTATTCCTTGCGTCTGTCTTTCTCTTATCTTTCTTTATTCTTGATTCTTTCTCAAGAGTGCGAAAAGCCCGGTCGCATCTCTGCGAAACAGCGCAACAGCTCCAGTCTTAATGCTTGTCCAAAAAAAAAAAAAGCGTAAATGAAACAACAAACTGTAAATAGACTGGCCGATCTGTGACTACAATAGAATAGAGGTTGAGAATTCGCGATGCTGAGGAAGTTCGTGATGAAGAATTAGCCCGAACTGTCATCGATTTTGCCAACGCAATGCCTCGACAAGTCAAAGTTGAGGCCACGGAAGCCATTTCTCAGTGCCCCTGTATAATAGTGTTTGTGAATAATTTTAGCGAGACTATTGCCAAATCCCAAAGTATGATTGTATGGCGGCTCACGACAAGTCCGCGCCAGGTAGACTCTTTAAGTTTGTAGATATGGCTAGAACCAACACAGAACCATATCTAATCTGCACTTAATATTCGCGGATAATTTGAATTCGTGCTTCCTATATACAGGAATATATGTATCTGAGATTCCCCAAATTGCAAACTTCCTGGTTGATATTGAACATCACCACGCAAAGCAACTGTCTCTCGTCACCACTTGAGACTCTCAACAACGTTCCCTTGCAACTTGTCAAACAGGGCTGCAAGATCCAATCGCAAATCGCTTCCCATAGACTCTACTGCCACTTATTTGACCAAAGATCTACTTTTCTCATCTATCTTCGTCTCAAATACATCTGCCATTGCTTGCCTCCCTCGCCGCAACCAACAGCCCGCCCCCCCCCAGTTTCCAAGATACACAGCAACCAACATACGCAGCAAGTCAACCCAGACCTTATCAACGAAATGGGTTGCTGCGCTTCCAAGCTCTCCCGCGGCGGCAACGTCGACCTCGACAAGCCCGGCTCCAACAACCTCGAAATGATGCACATCTTCGACCGCTCCGCCACCGCCACCGCCGCCGCCGCCGCCCCTCCTCCCCCACGCGGACCCGAGCCCGCCGCCGAGTGCGTTCGCCACCACCGCCGCCGCGACGACGAGGCCTTTGCCGAGTGGGAGGAGTGGTGGCGGGGGGTCACCGTCGCCCGCGCGGCGCGCGTCCGCGCGTACACCCTCGCGGAGCGCCTGGCCGGCCGCTGGGACAGCCACGTCGCCAAGACGCGCTGCGCGATGGGCGTGCCGGGCTGCACGTGCTACCGGGGCGTGGACGAGGGGCCGTTTTGGAGGGACGGGGTGGCGCCGGGGACGGGGTATCGCTGCTACGGCATCGTAGAGCGCGAGATGGAGGGGATCCTCGGGCCGGCTCCGGTTCGCGAGTGATGAATGACCGAGGGAAGAGGAGGGGAAGGAATGATACCCTCCTCATTGCCTTGAAGGCAATTTACAAGATTTTTGTTCGAGACTAGCTTCGTCTCTGGAATCATGCCAATATTTGAGAGGGGTCGGCTCTTTTGTGTTGGGTTTCGGAGAGGGGACTTGTTTGGGACGTCCACTCACTTTACAACCTTTCCTTTGTCATTAGAAGTCTGGTATTTCTACTACGAATTTTATAGTCAAAGAATCTTATCGGAATTCAATAAATTGTCAGAAAAGAACCAAGTACCCAGCTCTCCGTCAAACTCCACCACGTCCAAAGTCGGACTATGCATGCTCGTCGATGAAGCTACAGTTGTGCAACATCATAACAATAGTCGAGAATGGTCTAATTCAAGGCATCACAATCATTAGGCATCAATGTATCGTGTCCTAAAACAACTCCACCGATTGCATGCCGCACACACGCGCGTCACACTGCCCGCCTCACTTCCTAGGACGCTGTCACCAGCACCAATCCCTCCTGCCCGCCTCACTTTACCACCGTCCTACATAAACCGTGCCCCTTCCCCCCTTCTATCCCTCCTTCTCCATCTCATCCTCATCGCCAAACTCTACTTCCCATGAACTCGCCTCCTGCCAGCGGTAGTGCTAACCATGTCCCCCCTTCTAGCTAGGCTGTGTCCCGTCGCTGCCCGCCTTGGCGTAGGTAGGTATTCGAGGTGGCGCGGTGATATCCTCTCCGGCCGAATTGATACTCGTCCGCGAAGTGGCCCGGATCGAGGCGCGGTGATGTCGTTGGGGACCCAGATCCAGCGCCGTTAGGATGGCGGGATCGTCGTGGTAATGGCGGTGGTTGGTTCGGGTTTGGCTTCGGTTTTGGTGGAGGGGGGGCCCAGCTGGGCGCTCCCAAGGACATGATGGTGTCGGAATGGCAATGGTTCCGGTGACTGTAAGGGTTGTGGCGAGAGTGATTGGGATTAACAGGTGCACAGCACGCTCGGGCTTGTCTCCTTTTCAGTGTCTGCAGGTTGGGCACGGGGTTGTAGCGATTGGAATATAATACTCGGCTTCATTGATGGAGAGCACATCGTAAAGGGGGTGAATCTGGAAAGTCATAGTCAACGGTTTGCATGGTCTCGAGCCGAAGGTGCAGTTCTATCATGGCATTCACATCTGCTACGTTGGCAAACATTGTGACAATTAATAATTTATTTCATGCCCAGAGGGCTCCCTCGTTAAAAAGTGATAATACAGTAGTACATTTCCTGGCGCCACGGTAAACCAGCCTAATGGCGCGCAGCCTCAAATAGCAAGCCGAAAGGCGGGCCAGACTCATACCCCGAGCAAGCAAGACAGCTCATGGTCGAGATGATCTAAGATGAGTGGCTGGTCTCGGAGGAATCAGTCTTGGAGAGGTTATCGCCGTGTTCCTCCTCTTCAGCGAGGGGACCGTGGAGAGACTCTTCAAAAACGGGTTCGGGGTCAATAACCTCAAACTTGGTCCTGAAGTCTTTGGCGTGATGGGAGACGGTGCTACTGTTGGAGCGACGACGAGCATTGGTAAAGGTAAAATCCTCGTCGGCAATGTCTTCATGAAGGGTGCCCCTGGTGAGGAGTTAGCGATGGTAATGTGAGGCAATGACGTCAACAAGCATATTGAATGCAATTCAATGAACTTCAATAGGCAGGTAGGTTGGAGTGATGACGGAGAAAGAGAAGTGGATATGCATACCAGTTGCCTTTGCCAGCACCGTCCTTTTTGATCTTCTTGGGATCGACGTCGGCATAGCCACTCTTGGCGAAGTAACGGGGGAGGTGCTCGATGGGAAGAGCAGTGCCCTCGGCGATGCCCTTGTGATCACGGTCGTTGGCCTTGTGGGAGCGAGTCACTGCGAGTAGTTAGTACCTGTGTTATGATGTATCGGAGTAGGGAAGGGGCTGAAGCGACTCACTGATGATGGTGATTCGTTTGTAAGCGGGAGAGATGTGGCGTGTAAATGCGATGTATCAAGGACGATGGCAAGCCAAATGTGATGAACTGGCTGGGGTTGAGATGGAAGAGATGTGCCGGAGGTAGGAAGAGTGCGTTTGCAATGACGAGGGACAGGCTAGTCAATGGGAGGCGGACAGCTCAACAAAAAAAGATGATGGTTGGAGCTGAGGCGACGGCGAGAATGTAGGAAAATGGGACGAGTGGTGGCAGGGGAGTCAATGTACAAGACGCAGATGTGAGTGTTGATGGCAAGATGAATTGGGATGAGATGGATTGTTGATGGGAAAGGAAGAAATATCGAAAGTGATGATGAAGGTGTGAGAGAGGAGGGGTCGGATGGAAAGGAGGTCTAATTATAAGTGCGCGCGGCAAAGAGGAGGCCGGCCGGCCAAGAGTGGCAGAGGAGAAGGGCCTAGATGGATGGCGAGCGACTGCGCCGAGAAGAGCAAGTTGGTGTGTGGGCCAGGCTTTCTGCTTCTCTCTGCCGCTGCTTGCTGCTATGACGGTACTGCTGAGCGGGCGAAGCTGGTTGGTGCTGGCTGATCTCTCTCCTGGTTTGTCTGAGCTTGTCGTCACGCGAGCTGTGTGGATGGATGGCGAAGCGGGGGTGCTTGGATTGAGGCTGGTGAGAAGAGGAATGAAGGGGAGGGAGGGGTGTCAACAGCTAGCACGGCGCCATCATGCAATGAGCCGATAAAAGTTAATGCGGTACCTACATTCTGCGTGCTTCCTTTTCGTGGGGTCCAAATATAAAAAAAAAAGGTACCTGTCCCAGCGGTGACGATGCCACGGTTTATTCAAGTCGCATCGCGTGACCTGACGCAACAAGCACCTGGTGGCCGGCCGCCCACCCAAACGGATACCACCCACGACCAGGGAAAAAAGAGGGGTTCTGCTCAAGGTCGTCACTGGAATGACGCGGGAATTGGCAGCTCTCGTCTTGTTTGTTCTATTCCATTCTACCTCTGTTAATTGGCCATCTTTGCGGTTCCTTTTACTTCCTGTCCCATCTTGCCGTCACCATTCAATTGATCCCCTGTCCCCTGTCAAGCAAACGGATGACAACAGGCTCGTACCAACAAAGCTGTTTCCGGCGCCGCACTATTTTGCGGGGGTGGGCACCGCTAAAGGAGAAGAAAAGCGGGACCAGTTGCGTCGCACAGTGCTGTGACATGGTACTGAACAGGGGGTGCTGAAAGAGCTTCAACCCTCGACGGGTGGCTTCTTTGACGAAAGGGCGGACGACGGTTCATGGTTTTCTATTCAAAGTCGAGCTAGGCAACGACTACAACGCACGACTACAACAAAGAGAAACGAGACATCATATTGATCTGAATGTGCACTCCCCGACAACTCCCGCGCAATTGCCCGATGTACCACACCGACGGCACACCGAACGACGGACGCAGTGGAGCACAACGCTTGCAAACGCAGCATCACCGACTCCGGAGCTTGTCAGTCTTGAGTGTGTTGTTGGCCTCGCATCGGACCGTGACGATAACCTTGCCTACCCATCTCCATTGACTTGCAACGAGTTAGTAATTCAATGCTACGCAAGCGATCGACCTGCAAGCATCATAGCTAACTTACATGTCGTTTTCGAACTTGTCATGGCATCATCTCTCCGTCAAGCAAGTCTGACGTGAGTTTGCATCACCCATGTCGTGATCCGGCGGCAAACAGTCCGTCTTTGAGGCGGCATCCAATGCTCCCTTCCTTTCACCAAGGACATTCACATCCCTCCAGCCACCTCTGTAGCGTTGTTGAGATGCCGCCCCTCCTCATCGCAGCAATGCATCCACAAACAGTCGCGATCGCTCGACTTGGACTTGCCACGCTGTTCTGTACAACCACATCCGCCGCCACTCTCGCATCCTCATCATCACTCGCACGCGCACGCACATACGAATACGTTACACGCCAATTCTCCGAGCCCCATGCCCAATTCCATCCACCAGTTACGTTTGACCGCCGACGATGCGGCCTCGCCACAAAGGATGCCCGCCGTCTCCGACCCCCTGCCCGGCTGGCCGGACCCAACGTCGCGTGCGAGTCATCGCCCGCGTGACAGCTTTCGTCTCCCAACAATTCCCCCTCCCCTCATCTCCATCTCACCTCCGGGGACTATCCCAGTCTCTATCCGTAGAACAAGAGTGAAAATAGCCCAGAAAGAAGCTCAGCCCCAATGACAGGCTGCCTTGCCTTCCCCGATTGCGCTCCCCGCCTCAACGATGCCAACAAGGACGCCCAACATGATTGCGAGACCCGCCTGCACCCAGCCCAGTGGCACAGATCGGGGGGGTCGATCCACCTGCGACCCTGGATATTTTTCCTGCACCTGATGGCCCGTTGTAAGAACTAGTTATGACTACGGATACCCGTAGGGAAGGCTGGGATGTTGTGTTTTATTGGGCCCTTGACCGGTTCATGCACGTCGGCGACGACGGTGTTACGACAACTACGCCTCGTAGCCCTGCTGCGGCCCTCCGAGATCTCGGCCGCTCCGCTCCGGCCATTCAGTCTTCATTGTTTCCTACCAGTTCAGCTGATAACCCCCCATCATTTCACCTTTCACATCAAGTCACACACAGCTTCAGAATACACGCTTGTCTGGTAATCTCAGTAGTTTCATTGCCCAACGCCAGTCAATCCAAGCCTCCTCACCCTATTCTCAAAGCTCAATTACATCTATTTTCTTTGCTTTTTTCAGTGCTTTGCCCCCGCGACTTATAGTATCAGCTGCCGCTTCAAATAATACCAGTAACGCAGATAACGAAAAAAATGTGTGTAGTATAACAGTAATCTTGCAACCCATCTTCCCTCCCCAATCTGACCCTTTGTCAATCTTGGTCATTTACAGACCTCCCTCCGCCGGCTCTCATCTTGACCCCATTCTGGAAAACTCGTTTTGGAACCGTAACTTGAAGCCGTTGCACAGGGCACGCATATCAGGATACTGGTACCCCTTGAGCTCGAACCCTTGTGGGATCACTCGAATCGGGATGCCAATTACGCTCGACGTGCGACTGGCCTTGAAACACAGCCAGAAAAAGCCTGCATGCTTCGTGTCGATGCAGAAAGCATACGCCGAACGGCTCGGGTTCGCGTCAATATACGTAGTGAGCCATTTTTCTGTTCCTGGTTAGCCCTCATGACTCTTCTATCGTCCAACGAAGCAACAAACTAAGAAAAAACAGGGCAAAAAAGAAGTATAAAATGTTGGGGAAATAAACTTACCAGTCTCACTGCGGGAGCGGTTCTGATACTTGTCGTGACGCATCATCTCATCCACCTTGCGAGCCATCGCCTTGACATGGTCCACGATCAACTCGTCTAAATCGCTGTAGGTATACCGCCTACCGATGCGCAGAAGCTTGCCCACGGAAAACTCATTTTCCTTTTGCATCTCCAATACATCAATGTGCTGATAAACGTTGTCCGCAACCTTCCACGTAATGGCCAGGTGATCGTTTCCTTTCGACGACGGTCGAATAATCACCTCACCAGACGCTTGTGATCCCAGAAATTCTTGCGCCTGCAGACCATTGAACGGCTTGAAGTTGGGGTGCTTGACAACACGTTGCGTCCGCCCAGTCGTCTTGTCCTTTTCCTTGAGCTCCTCCTTGTCCGCCGCCTCTTGAGCATAGTCCCAGCCGTCGCGTCCGTGGTTGATGGGACGCTTGTAGGGAATGCGCAGGGAATCCTCCCGCATCGAAAGCTTGGCAGAGAACGCCTTGTAATCCATCTCCAGAATCCTAGCCCGCGCTGTTTGGCCCACGCTGAGCACGTCTTTGACCGACGGCCGACTTGTCACTTCGTGGGCCTCCGCGCGACCCTCGATGCCACAGTCGAGCTTGGCAATGGCAAAGTCATCCCTTGCCACGCGAATGTTGACAGGAACAATCATGCCCTCGCAAAGTGTTTGTTTCGTCTCGCCGGTAAAGATGGTGAAGATTTCTGATTGTGTCAACGGCGCAAAGCTCCTGCGCAGCTCTTCATACTCTGCCTGAAGCTCTGCACTGATGGCCTCGAGAGTGGCACGCTTTCGCTGGTTAAAGTTGCGCAGAAGCTGATCCGCGTACTCGTCCAGCACCAGCTCATTGACTCTTTCTTGTTCACCCTGCTTGAATAGCTTACGCACGATAGCACCTGGACCATTCTCATCAATCTCAGCCTTTACGTCTTCCTCATCAAGTTCCAGCGCATCCGCCGCCATCTTGCGACCAAGTTCATAGTCTTCAGGATGCACACGAGTGTTGTCCAGGGGATCTGATGCGGGGTTGGTGACGTCGTAGTCAATGTACAAGAAACTAGCACAGTTGTTCCACACACGGGGACCAACAACCGGAAGCTTGCGGCTTTCGGGATCACCCACAAGCTCTTCTCTCGTGTTTACTGAGCCGCCGTTGGCATTGATGGCCTTCATCACGCTGGTGGCCTTGCGTGGACCAAGACCAGCAATGAAGGGGAGCAGGTTCGCCGTGTACGTGTCAGCCATGGCATCGTTGATGTTGACTCCAACCATGTTGACGGTGTCCACCATTGCTGATTCCAGATACTTGGCAAGCTTGTCCTGCGGCAGCAGTTTCTGACAAGGATGGAAAGAAAGCGAGATCACATCCTTGCCAAGCGCGGCATATTCCTTCATGGGATTCTGCATGTAACGAGCCAGGGCAACGCAGTATCTCGTGACAGGGTTAAGCGATGGGTGTTCGGCCACTGCCCGAGGACTGTCCTTGTATAGCCTGGCAACTTCGTCGTCAACAACCATGACCTCCAACTGCTCGGTTCGGTAATCATTTGTCTCGGGGTCCTCGAATTCCGGGCCCATGAGAGCCTTTTCACTGACAAGGCTCTCCAGATCACGAACGAGCTTGTGAGTGTCGCAGGACCAACCACAGACAGCAATGACATCAGGGCGGCGGCGGTTGACCAGCTCAACAAAAGCTTCACGCTGGCTCTCATCTCGCCCCAAGTTGCCAAACTTCCCCTGTTCCGAGACACGGCCATCTTCAGGCACCCACGCCCAGCAGATGGGGTCACGCGAGGGGTCGCCCATGCCGTTGGAGAGCGCGAGAACACGCGGTGTTGTTCCCAGAATCATACCCTTAGGCTTGTATGGCGCCTGATCCAACTTTCGATAGTAGTCTTGCCGGATCATCTTGAGCACTTCATCCTGGCAGAATGTGCGGATGACTTCTTTGATATTCTTGGCAATGCTTTTCTCGATTTTGGGATAGGCCGCATCCAGAACTTTTTTGCGCTCCTCTCGCCACTGCTCGGCACGGTCACTGAAGTTTTCCGACTCAAACTCCTGGTAGAGCTGTTTACGGAAATCGTAGCGAGAAGGCATGACGACCTTGATCTCAATAAGACCTTCCTCCTCGGCCCGCATCATCTTAAGGAATGTGTCCGGCTGGTGAACAAGGTCGGCAATCGTTTGATTTTGAAGATATTTGATCTCGTAGTAGGGATGAGTGTCGTCGATCTTACGGAGACCCTTGTCTGTGCGTCGACAGCTTATTTCGGCAAGCTGGTAGTACGAGCTCCGGAAGTACTTTCTCATGCGAGGACTGGCGTGGAGCTCCTCCACGTACATTTGCCTCGCCGCATTGAGGACTTGATCTCCAGTGCTGAAGCTCTCGTCAACCAGGCTGTCGGCAAGATCCATGGGGTATTGCCCAACATCATCTGGGGTCACCTTTTTGCCCTGGCGGAGAGCATTTTTGGCCAACTGGTCGGCGGAGATGCCGTAGGCCTTGACGAAGTAGTATGCCTTGCCATTACGCACGCGATCCAAAAGACTGCTTTTCGAACCAGGCTTTTTCATCTGAGCAGCATTGCCAGCCATAACAGCCAGATCTTTAAGCTTGGGGCCGTACTGAAACTGGAGATAGTCCTGCAAGTCTTGCAGCTCTTCCATGGTGGTGGCTTCCGGAATCATTTCTTCAACCATTTGATCCTCAACATCGACCGTCTTGAGGTTCTCAAGAGTCTTTTCCAAGGCATTCTTCTTTTCAATAAACGACCGAAACTTGATATCGAGTTCAAGGATTCGCCAGAGATCGTCCTGGTTAAGCAGTTTGTCGGATTGAATGGAGTAGTCGGGGCCGTCCGGGTCGTCGTGAGTTGACTTGCGGATCTTCTTGGAGTGAAGCAAATAGTCCTTGCGATGCTGGAAAACAAAGGGGACCTCAACCTCATCAACAACGAAGAATTCCAGAACCTTGCCGACGGCTTTGCCAAATGGCGCCTGTAATTCTGGAGACAAGCCCTTTTTGGGCCACAGTTGGTTGCTGATCCACTTGGCCTCGTCGCGGAATTGCTCAGCCGTCAGCTGAAGGTTCTTGAACGGCTTTCGCTCGAGCTGGAAACGCTCAGGCTCGTCGGTAAAGCGGATAAGATTGTCTTCGTCGGTAAGGAGCTTCTCCTTAAGCTGTGAAGGCTCAAAGACGTCCTTGAGCTCGATACCCTGCTCTTCTCGTTCACGCTCCTCCTCTTCATCCTCCATCTGGAGAGCCCAGTCGTAGTCTTCGCCATTGCCAAAGATGGCTTCCATGTCATCGAGAGCTTCTTTGTCAAGGCCGGTAGTGTCAACAATTCCCGATACGCCGCGATCCTTGGAGCGCGCGACCTCAACATCTTCCTGGGCGCGCTCGCGCTCATCGTCGTCCACGGGGTAATCGTCTTCGATGAAGTCGTCGAACTCGTCGGCTTGGGCGCGCATGTTGGGCCTGTATCCTCGTTGCTCTCCAGCTTCGTCATCTTCATCGTTGAATATATCTTCGAGCCCAGCGGCTCTGGTCGGATCGCCGCCATCGCCACGGTGGCCACGCTTTAAGCGTTTGAATTTTGACTGCGTTGTGTGAGCGCGCTGCGAGGAAGATGCTGCGTTAGCTTTCTTACCTGTGGCTGTGATTTGGGCTGCTCGCCATACTGCTCCCCAACGAGATCGTAATCATCCTCGTCTAATTGTTCTTCCTGCTCACGATCGCGGTGCTCGCGCTTTCTCTTTACGGGTCGATCGTCATCGTCGTCGCCAGCCTCTTCTTCGTCCTCATCTTCATCTTCGACAATGAAGCCTTCGCGAATCTATTGATAAAAGATGGGTTAGAAGATGCGGTAGTATAGGACTAATGCGCACAAACCTTGCGCGCCTCTTCCTCGTCATCGTCGTCTTCCTCTTCCTCCGAGGAATCGTCGAAGTCTTGAGGACGGTTCCTGCTGCGTTGACCGGTAGCTCCCTCATCAAAAGATTCATCATCTTCCTCATCGTCGAGCTCTGCCTCGGCTGAGATCAGATCACGCATACTGCTGCTCATCTTGAAAATGCTTGCTGCCTTGGGCTGCTCCTGGGCGTTCTAGCGCGTTTGGTGAGCGATGCGCAATTCCAGGCAAGCAAATCGAGGTTGCAGATTGATATGGATGGTCAACTGCCGGATGTAGCTCCTCGTATATTCCCTGCAAATATGAATCCGCGGCGCGACCTCCTCCGTGTGACGTATAATTTTTTTTGAGGACGGTGGTTCCAACTATTGTCGCCCGTGTCGCGCCTAGATGCAACGGTGACTGATGGTTGGCTGGAAATATCATGTTCCGTATGCTTATGTAATACAGCCAGTTTTGTCCAGGATGCCTAACTACAGGTAGGTAGGTAAGTAAGTTGATGATTGGATGATGACTGCAAATATAATGCCGGAAATGTTTCGGTAGTTCTTGTTTACTGTTTAATTTTGTGCTTTTGTAATATTCCCCCATGACCCCCAAGAGCATTGTGTTGGACGTGGCCTTGACTCTGGTCAGCAATGCAAGTTTGGAACGCATTACTGTCTGGCAAGTTTGCTTGTCATTTCGACTGGGGAGAAATGTTGAGACGCATATTCAATAAAGAAGAAAAATGTTTGTTCGGGTGCAACCTGTGTTAGGTACGACGGTGACCTGTTACCAAGCGCCTCATTTATTGTATTTTCTGGTCCCGATAATACCCAGATAGCCAGTACCGTTGCCTTGGTAAGGTAGGTACATGGTTAGGCACAGATGGAAAGGTTAGATCGGCGTAGTACAGTATTGTGGCTTTTAAAGTAATATTATAGCGTTTAACTAGATAACATTGCCAGGCACATGACAATGCTATGCGCCAGAAGACTCTGTAACACCAGAGTTGGCTGCAACACGACGCAACCAGTAAAATTCTCCAGCGGCATCCAGCAGCCACCACTGGTAGTCGTTTTGCTTGGAGTTGCCCCTGGAAAAGGAGCTTTGGGTGAATCTGGTGTGCCGCTCGAGCCTCTTAGCGTCCCCCGCTATTGGGCTTGGCTTGGATGGTTTGGGCGGTTAAGCCTCTGTAAGGTACCTGCCAGGTAGTAAGCAGAGAGGTGTGATGCCTTTAAATTGCTTTATAGATTATTTAAAACCGTCTTCATATGTTTTAATTATGCAGATCTCTGTGATTATCAGCCAATTATTTTCGGCAATTTCTACGCAATTGTACACTGCCTCCCGAAGTCCCTGTCCTGTCCACGGAGGCACGGCACCTACTAGCACCAGTTGCCTTGACCCCACCACTCTCGACACACCTACCTCATTCGCGCGCCGCCCAACGTCAAATCATTTCCTGGCATCCAGCATTCACCTCTTTAAGATAACTCCCAGCCCTGCAATCCGGTAGGACATCGTCTCTGCTCACGCCAGCCTCTCATCCACCTTTTACCTGTTTCCCTCGTGCCGTCTCTCGCTTCTCGCCCCCTGCCACGCTGCAAGCGCCTGCGACTCTTCTACCCCACAGCTCAACCCGAGCCTCTCAACCGGCTACCCGCTATCCACCTCGACATTCCCCCCTCGATACCGACGTCGTGTCCCCCGTTTGACAGGGTTTTGTCCTCAACACGGCTGCTGTCTGACTCGAGCTGGGAGATGAGCTTCCGACTTGTTTGAGCTTTTGTTCTCTCCGATAACAATATTCATTTCACCTTTTCTCCCTCCTGCACATCATCCCCGCCGCCTCACCTTTCACCATGGCCGACCCGTTTGCCCCGCGCTCCATGAAGCGCAAAAACGTAAAGGGGCTTGCTCTTACTCCCGCCGCGCCCAAGCCGCCTCCTACCGCTGAGAACCGCGCAGATTTGGATGGTGCCGCCGATGGAACGAGCAAGGATGGTCAGCTTGAAATTGGTATCGAATACAAGCTCGACCTGCGACCCGAAGACCTCGAGATCGTCAAGGAGCTCGGCTCTGGAAATGGTGGTACTGTGAGCAAGGTGAAGCACTTGACCACGGGCACTGTTATGGCTCGCAAGGTACGTCAGGTTTATATGCTCGGTTGCAACATGTCGGTTAACTTCTCTACAGGTCATCCATGTCGACGCCAAAAGGGAGATGCGCAAGCAAATCATCCGCGAACTCCAGATTATGCATAACTGCCACTCGGATTACATTGTCAACTTTTATGGTGCTTTCTTGAACAGCAACAACGATGTCATCATGTGCATGGAATACATGGACGTTGGGTGAGTTCTCCAGGCTACATCTTTTTGCCCTTTGCCCTCCTAATCACGGTGCAGCTCTTTGGACCGCGTCTCCAAAGTTTTTGGCCCTGTTCGAGTCGACGTCCTCGGAAAAATCGCCGAAGCTACGCTGGGTGGCCTTACATATCTCTACACAAAACATCATATCATGCACCGCGACATTAAGCCTTCAAACATTCTCGTCAACTCTCGCGGATCAATCAAGCTCTGCGATTTCGGCGTTTCCGGAGAACTCATCAACTCCATCGCCGATACCTTTGTGGGCACCTCAACATACATGGCCCCCGAAAGAATTCAAGGCGAACGATACACCGTCAAGTCTGATGTTTGGAGCTTTGGCCTCACCATCATGGAGCTTGCCATCGGTAAATTCCCCTTTGGCTCCAACGAGCAGCTTTCGGAAGAGGACTGCGCGCCAGCCGGCATCCTCGATTTGCTACAGCAAATTGTCCATGAACCGGCCCCAAAGCTGCCCAAAAGCGATGCCTTCCCTAGTATTCTCGAAGATATGATTCAAAAATGCCTATACAAGGAGCCCGAGAAACGTCCGACACCACAGGATCTTTTTGTAAGTCTGCTGGTATCACCATTGCCATTCAACTACTAACAGGTATAGGACCGCGATGCATTCGTCCAAGCCGCCAAAAGAACGCCAGTTGACCTTCGCGAATGGGCTGTGGGCATGATGGAACGCGATAACCGCAAATCGCACCTGGCTCCTCAGCTATCACCTTCTACTCAAGACTTGCTCCGATCCAGCGACTCCCCCACGTACAACAACGGGTCCGAGGATAGAAAGAATCATACGCCAACATCTGGTGAAATTCCTATTGGCGGAGCCGGCATCGCTACACCCCGCGATTTTACCAATGGCGCCGGTCGCTCGCCTTCAAGAAATGGCTACAGCAGCAATGCGAAGCCACCTGTGTCTGCCCACCCTGGCCTGGGGCCTCGCTACGCATCCGAATCTGGTCACATCCCAGGCGGCTATACTGATACTCGTGGTCCTGTCAGCGCCAATGCCGCTACATTCAGTCTTCCAGTCCGGCCGGCCCCTCCATCGGGACCACTCCCTCCCGCACCCGCACGCCGAAATACGCCAGACGCTCTGCCACGAGAAAATCGCCGGCAGGCTACATTTGGTCTACCTCCTAACCCAAGCTCCGGATACGGAGTATGAAACCCACTAGCCAAGATGAATATTGACTTTCTTTTTTTATATTCTTTCCTCTCATTTTTGAAACTTATATGCCAGTCGATTTTGCATTGAATCTTGCGAGCAGAGTCATCGATCTTCGTTCCCCCAAGCATTGTACGGCGCAGCACACATGACGATATCCCTCACGGAAACTAGAAAGAAAATACTGAACAGTGAAGGGAGTGAAGGAAATGGGGGGTGTTGGGCTGCGTTGCAGCGTTTGTTCTCTTCAGACATGGGCCACAAGGCAGTTATAGATAGAATGCACAGCCAGCCACCAGATTTTGCTCTTGCCTTGCCAGCTTTTGCCAATTGTGCGAATCGTGGCTAATGCGGTACCGTTTCATGAACGGAAAGTCTATTTCTATACAAATGCCGGCGGCGACAATCTACGTACAAGGCTAACTGGTTTCCGTGTTCCGGCCCTGGAACCCGTTCTCCAAGATCTCGACAAGTTCATCTAGGCGGCTGATGACAAGATCGGTATGCGCGTGCTCCGCGAGCTCCCTGTTTGCGTCATTCACCAGCAGCACCGTCGCCGCGCCCGCCGCCCTGCCCGCCGTCATGTCGTCGATCGAGTCGCCGACCATGATGAGCCCCGTGGCGTCGCCACTCGCCACATGATCCTCGCCGTTGTCACCACCCTGCTGCCGCCGCAGCGCCCACTGCTTGGCGATGTGCAGGATGCCGGCGGGCGACGGCTTCGGGGGCGAGAAGTCGCGGGTGATGACGGGGGCAAAGGTGGTGTAGGCGAGGAACTTGCCGAGCAGGTGGTCGACGGGGACGTTGAAGTTGCGGGTGCAGATGGCCTTGGGGACGCCGCGGGCGTCGAGGTAGCGCATCAGTTCGTCGAGGCCCGGCTGCGGCGCCTGCTTGGCCATGGCGGCGCGCTCGATGCCCTGCACGGCGGCGTGCGCGGCGGGCTGCTCGGCGGCGGGGAGCGCGTTCATGTGGTCGATGATGTCGACGGCCTTGGTGATGCCGAGGGCCGCGCGCATCTCACCAAACATGTAGTTTTGCGGCTCACTAGAGTTTTGTATTTAGCATCTTTTCTGGTTTCCGTAGGCTATCTGATGTTTGCTTAGAGCCCGTCCGGAGACGTGCTTTCTCTCTCGTCTTCTCACAGGGCGGCGGAGGGTTTTACACACCAGAGGGTTCCGTCCATGTCAAACACGATGCCCTGCAGCTTGGGCGCGTCGGACGAGGTTCCGGCCTTCAGGGGCGCGAACCGCCAGGGCGAGCTGGGTGCAGCCATGGTTGCTAGGAATCGCCGCATGCAGCGGGCTTCGGACCAAGAGCGGCGGGATGAGGAGCCGGGGCTTGAGCCTTTTATGCGGAGAGGGTGTTACAGTGGTGCAGCCAGCTGCCAAGAACGCACATGCAAAGGGGACTCGGATGTGGTGCGCCGGCGAGCTGATTATGACGCACCGTTCAGCCGATCGGATAAGAGAGGAGCGGAAGATGCAGCAGTTCAAGATGCTTGCGAAAGGGCGTTCTTGATGAGAAGAAAGGTGGGGAAGATTAAGCAGACTTGAGGCTGTGGAAGCTATAGATTGCAGCATCCAGCTTTTCAACTATTTTTTTTTTACATGATCCGCGACACAATCCGCGGCGGTTACAAATGATCCGGGATCTATTCCTTTGACTGTGAATTCGAAAAACAATGTCTAATATGTACGCACGAGAGCAGGTGCTTAGTGTAAATCATAGATAGTCCACTGCCGCCGCGCTGCCACTCTCAGGTGAGGCCAGGAAAGGCGAATAGTAGGAAAACTATGAATATTCCATGCCAGACACGCAGCTAAATTTGGCCTCGATCTACCATAGACACCCATTAACGGTATTGTATCGTTGAAGATGGTAAATGGTGGATGGTGTTATACAAGGCAGGAACAAGTGCTTCTTTAGGCTGGCCTTGTTGGTGACGTATGTATGTATGTATGTACATACCTACAGAGGTACATATATGTGCATACGGAAGCACTGTCGTGTAAACGGTAGTCATTACTGTCGTTCTCATGTAGCTCACTTGAAACTAAATAATCATTCTCTTGGAGCTGGTCTTTTCAAATTCGACATCTATTCATTTAAAGCGCCCAGCAATCGGCTGGTCAAAGTTGACCAGGGGTCACCTACTAGGTAGGTACGTACATAGGTTCAGCGATGACGCGCCAAACCTCCACTATAAAATCGCTGGTTGGCCAAGTGCCGAGTTCCAGTCGAGGCGCTTTCCAGCTGCTGTTCTTAGATGCCCTCCGTGCAAATTCCTAGTAGAATTTGGAACCGACTTTTTTCGCTGCATCACATAATGCTCCCTCCAAGTCGTCAATCCCCCAGCTAGCCATCGATTCTAGCCACCCTTTGTTCTGTCTGTCTTTGCGGTCTAGTCTCGCAGGACACAGTGCCCCAACAGCATTAAGGGAACCTGACGGGCGCGTTGGTCGTGCATCTCCGTCTTCGACTTTCGATCCTAGCCCTTTCCTCTCGTTCCACACGTTGCCAGCTCTCAAAGACGGCGCGGCCATCGATGAATATGAAACTTGACACACACCTCGCCCTGACCTACGCCACCGTTGTACAGCGCAATGATGGCCTCTGAAGGGAGCACGTCGGCGGCGTGGCCGCCTGTGCGCCCCAACAAACGTGGTGTACGCTCCCTCGTTCCCCTGGTGGTCACGATGCCATCGTACCATGGGGGCAGCAAGGCAAGATTCTAACGTGGCTTGGTGTCCAGAAAATGCGAAACGGGACCTTCGTCATTCCTAGCACGGGCGAGCGATCGCGAAAGCAGTTCACCCTGCGCGCCTCGGCGACCGCCAACAGCCGCGCCAGCATCATCAACCGATATACCGAAGCCGAAACGATATGCGAACGATGCGCCGCTATGGCCCACGATGGAAAGTCCAGAGCGCTCGCCCTCTGGCACTGGCTCTGCTCCGACCAAGGTCACCAGGTCCTCAAATGCACCTTTGCATACGTGCTCGGCAGTCTCGCCACCTTCTCGCCGCTCCTCTCCGACTTTCTCGGCGACCGCGACGGAAAGCACATTGTCGCGACGCTGACCGTCTTCTTCCACCCCGCGCGAACGACCGGCTCCATGATTGAGGCCATCCTGGTCGCCATCGTCGCCGTCATCTGCGCCGATCTAGTCTGCGTGCTCAGCATGACCGTCGCCGTCCTTTCACGAAGGCAGCTGGACTCGGTAGCCCCGGCTCATGCCATAATTCTTCTCATGGCAGTCGGTGGCGGCCTCGGCTTCATCGCCTGGGTGAAACAAAGGTTGAATCAACCACTGGTCAACGTTGCCGCGACCCTAGCCTCCATCGCTATCATTTCCATGGTTACCAAGGACGACTCGATCCAATACGGTTATTTTTCCGATGACAGGATTGTTCAGGTGCTCAAGATGCTCCTCATAGGAATCACCTTCAGCGCCGCAGTCAACGTGCTGGTCTGGCCCGTGGCGGCGCGACATATCTTGCGCAAATCCATCACCACTGCATCCTCCACCCTAAGTGACCGATTGTCCTTTGTGACCAGAGGGTTTCTTATCGGTTCCGAGGAGGAGGTCAACTCACCTGAATACCACCGTGTTTCCAAGTCTTACACGGCCGCCTATGGCCTGATGACATTGACGCTGCGAGAAGCCAAGCTGGAATATTATGTACTCGGCCAAGAACGAATATACCAATATGACAAGCGGCTCGTCAAGTCCCTTGACTCGGTGTCACAGGCTATCGGCGGCTTGAGAAGTGCCCTTAATACCCAGTTTACACTTCTCAGAGAGGGCGTCGCAGCTGCCGAGAACCAAGAGACGACAGCTGATGGTGCCCTGCTCTCACCTAAAATGTCCGGCAGGGCATCCTCGCTAATGGACGTCGTGCAGCGGCTATCAGTAATTGAAGAAGACGATGAACCACGAAGCAACCCAGATTTGAGATCTGATCCCTCGCAGGATCTAACACCAATCTTCCGCGTGCCCTCCGATATCTTTGCACTTTTTATGGCCCTCCTAGGGCCCTCGATGAAATCTTTGGCCTATACTCTATCCGAAATATTGCGCGAGCCCCCTTTTGGTAAGGACTTGACCAATGAGGTTGCGGAGTCGGAACAACTACGAGAATCTCTGCGAGATGCGTTGGGCTTGTACAACTCGGCACGAAGCCGTGCTCTGCAAGAGGTGTACAGGAGTATGGAGCTAGGCCGCACCCGGTCCGAGGCTATCCGGGCAGACATTGAAGAAGTCGCTGCCGCCTGCGGACATTTTTCTTTCAGCTTGCTCGCCGTAGCAGAGGCTATGGACTCTTACCTGGACGTTCTGGAAGAACTCAAACACTCGACTGAAACCCTTGACAGGAGCTGGAACTGGATGAAGTTCTGGCGATTTCGATGGAAGGCGCAGGACGCAACAGGCGAGGACGCGGAGCGAGAGCCCCTCCTCGCCAGAACGCAGTCCGGTATTCGTCGCTCTGCCCTTCCAAAGGGTATCCCTACTTCCATGAAGAAGCAGCGCGACAGCTACCACTGGGACGCATCGTCACAATCTAGCAGCTGGACTAGGAGCTTCTCGCAGCTGATTCTGAATGTGTTGCGATTTCTGTCGCGAGAAGACGTTGTCTTTGGCATCAAAATTGCCATCGGCGCAGTTCTTTGGGCAATGTTTGCCTTCATCCCCGCTACACGTCCGGTGTACCAGACATGGAGGGGCGAATGGGGGTTGCTGTCCTACATGGTTGTCGTCGGCATGACCAACGGAGCGTCCAACACGACTGGCCTCTCCCGCCTCATCGGTACTCTCATAGGCGCGGTCTGTGCCTGTGCAGCGTGGATCATCAGTTTTGGCAATGCCTATGCACTCGCGATTTTCGGGTTCTTCATGGCTCTGGGCAACTTTTACATGATCCTTATCGTCAAAAATGGACCACTTGGGCGAATCTCACTGCTCGCGTACAATGTCATTGTGCTCTATGCTTACAGTATTTCCCAGCAGGACGAACTCGACGACGATGAAGGTGGCAGAAACCCTCTCATCTTCGATATTACCTACCACAGAGTCATTGCGGTCACATTGGGCATCGTCTGGGGAATGCTGTTCTGCCGCATGCTGTGGCCCATCTCTGGGCGAGCCAAGTTCCGCGAAGGCCTCGCGGTGCTGTATCTGCAGCTGGGTCTCATCTGGAAGCGCGGCCCGCTCACTATCCTGGCGGAGAGTGACAGCAAGCGCGACTACATGGACGCCAGGGAGCAGGCCGCGCTGCAGCGGTACGCCTTCAAGCTCGAGGCGCTCCGCGCGTCGGCCAAGTCCGAGTTTGAGCTGCGCGGGCCGTTCCCGAACAAGGCGTACAGCCGCGTGCTGCACGCCACCAAGCACATCCTCGACGGCTTCTACGCGATGCGTCTCATCAGCGAGCACCGGGGCTTGCTGTCAGCTGGCGAGCGCGCCCTCCTCGACTTCACCGCCGCGGAGCGCTTGCTGCTCTGCCAGCGCATCAGCCACGTCTTTCAGGTGCTCGCCTCCTGCATCATGCTCGAGTACCCGCTCACCGACGTCATCCCCACCATCGAGAGCAACAAGGACCGCCTGCTCGGCAAGATTCACCAGTTCCGCGTCGACCACCTCCAGGCGCAGCTGTCGAGCGGCGACGGCAAGGCCCCCGCCGGGGTGGTCCCGAAGGAGGCCGCAACCACCGCCGGGGTGGTCCCGGAGGAGACCGCAACCGCCGCGCGGAGAGGCAGCGCGAGCGGCGCCACGCCCGAGCAGCTCAGCGTGGAGGTGGAGGAGAGGGACTACGCGCTCGTCTACGCGTACATACTCGTCACGGCCCAGGTGGCTGCCGACCTGCAAAAGGTCCGCGAAGAGATTGAGGGCCTGTTTGGCGTGCTCCATCAAAACGACATGTTGCTAGAGTAGAGCCAGGCGAAATCCTTCTGTGCCTTGTCCCGTGTTTCGATGCCGGGAATATCGTTGCTTTTTAACATTGACCGGCGAAATTTGGAGTTTCGGTTAGTGCAAATCAACCCAATTTCAACAAGCCATCACACAATACATCTTCTTGATACCCCCGTACAATTAGCCTGCACCATAATACATTTTTGCCACCTTGATATTTGATCCTGTCTCTTTGACCCTCTAGAATTTACGCCTACAAAAATAAAAACAAATTCATGGTCATCATAAAATCCGATGCCGTCCGCGCCATTCCATGCAATCCTCATAGTCAATCACGGTGACATTCCTCCGCCGTTTCCGGCCCGATTTACAACGGACACTCTCGCAGCCGGCCAACCCCGCCTAGCTCGTACTCGATCCAGCGGCCGATGCTCTTGCGCCCGGGCGCAGCCACGGCGCCCGGGTTCATCACGTGGCAGCCCTCATAGGTGACGCAGAACGGCGCCGTCGTCGTGTCGACGAGCACCACCGCCGTCGGCAGCGGGTACAGCTGCAGCGCCGCGGCAAAGTCCCAGTGGACCGGGCGCGTCGACGTCGGGAACGGCGACAGGTGGCCCTGGTCGAGCAGCGTCTTGACGAGCTTCCGCGCCGCGTGCTTCTCCCAGGGCACCGCCGTCGCCGTCGCCGCGACCTCGGGCTCCTCGCGGTCCACGTCCATGGACTCCGCCGTCGCCGCCACGTCGTCGCCGTCGCCGTCGCCGCCGCTCGACGTGGTCAGGTGCACCGAGGTGCGGTGCAGGCGCGCCGAGATGTCGTCGCGGAAGAGCACGATGTCGTGGTTGGGCCCGAAGAGGCTGATGCGGCTCGGGTTGGACGTCCATACGGCGGTGCCCGGGACGCCGCCGCCGCGGCGCGCCGCCGCCGACGGGCCGGCCTCGGCGTTGGCGGTGGCGAACGCCCTGCGGACGCGCGAGGTGAACATGTCGGGCACGGGCTGGCGCGGTACCGGCGTGGACGCGCCGGCGGTGAACGAGGAGACCCAGCCGTCGTTGTCGCCCGGCACGAAGATGAAGGTCGACGAGCGTAACAGCTTCGGGTAGTCGGACAGCGTCGAGGCCAGCGCGTCGAAGCACTCCTTGTACTCGATGCTGCTGCCTCCGCCGCCGCGCGACAGGACGGCGTCCTGCGTGAAGTTGCCGGCGAGCACGAACGCGACCGGCGCGCTGCCGTCGGGCTCCGCCGAGTAAATTTCGAGGATCTTGCGCAGCGCGTGTAACACGCGCGCCTGGTCGATATTCAGTTCGCCGATGATCACGATGCGGCCGCGGGGTGGGCGGTCTCCGCGGTATTCTGTCCCTCCATTTTCCTCTTCTTCCTCCCTCTCCTCGAGTGATAATGGTTGTGCTGGCGCCGCCCGCGTCAGCAAGCGGCGCTCAAGCCGCCGCATCTTTTGGCCCACGGCCCGCTCGCTGCCGACGCCTAGAAAGTCGATCCAGCCGAATCCTCCTCCAATCGTGTCATCGAGGGCTTTTTCGGGGCCAGTTATTCCCATTGTTGTTTGTCGAGATTCGCATAGGGGATGCCCGATGAAGAAGCCTTTGAAGCGACCTCCCAGCGTGCCTCCGACGCCGCTGCCACCGCCCAGACCTCTGCCAACAGACTCTTCTTCCTCCTCATATACACCGTCTACCAGAACAATCATACCAGGGCAGAACCAGGTTGAGTCATCGGGGATGGTGATGGCTTTGTCAAGATTCAACGCAATGGTACCCGTCAAGTCACTGATTGCCAGCTCGCCAGTGGATAGGTTATTAAGCTGCCCGAGAAGCAAGTGGTTGCTGCCGTGGCGTCCAAGCATATTTGCGATCGGTGTAATCTCCATGTTTTTGGAATTTGACGTTGTTTGAGGGCCGTGCGTTCGAGAGGCTGAGACGGTAGTTCTTTTGAAAGATTCATTGCGAAGCAGTCGTTGGTGAATAACCTCATATCGGTCGCGAAAGGCGGCAGTTTTGTGCGAGGCTTGCGGTAGGAGCGATGGTTTTGTCGTATCTCTGGTAGATATTAGTGCGTATTCTCAATGATTGTCAGTAGCATACAATACCTTTCGAAGTGCTCGTTTTCGACATTATAAAAAAGTCGTGGCTGCTCAAAAGCATCAATAACCTTTAGCCACGCGCGAGGGTCATGTAGCTCGTCTGTATCCTCATCGCCCTCCTGTACTTGGAGCCCAGACATTCCAAAGCTAGTGTTGCTTTCTACTCTCATGAGCGCTTTCGGACGCACTCCGAGCCGAGTATTGGACGAGTCGCCGTGGTCGATGTCGAGCATACTATCACCGCGGGGCAATCCTTTACCCGGGCTAACCAGCTTGCCGCCGCTCATGTTTCCTTCTAGCGTTTTCAGAATCTCATGGAGCTCTTTGCTATCGCCATCGACTATAGTACCGCCATTGCGATTCTTCCAACTTCTAGCTGCCTCCTCGAGCAGCCTCTCGGCCAACGTGTCTTCGCGCCATCCCGAACCGCAGTGTCGACCAATGAAAGAGGCAAGCTCTTGCAGCGCAGACGAAGTGAGGGTCAGCGAATGTCTCTTGGTGAATATTCGAAAGGCAACCGGTCGCAACGTCGCTGGCGGGAGAATGATCGGAAGAATGCCGCCCTTGGGGGCATTGACACTGAACGGCTTTAAGGCGTGTACTGGCGTCCCAAAGGCTGGTGAAGATGACGGAAGCGCAGAGGATGGGATCTGGACATTTTTCCGACGAAATATCGGGGCCGGTGTTTTATCCATTCCTTCGACAAATCTACCCAAAGCTGCGCACAAAGATGTAGGAAACGTCACAATCCAAAGTTAAAGCTCCAAACAGCTGGGCTGGTGGACGCGTCAAGCTCCGCGTCGACGCGTTTAATTGATTCGATAAATGCATAACCCGCTTTTGTGGGGTCAACGGCTAAAGGCTATCTAGAGCATCATGGTGAGCTCATCATTGCGATTCTTGGAGAATATATTTTGTGTACAAGATTTTCGACACCGAGGGTACAATTTAATCAATTCAGGATCATAATGTTTACTCTTCGACGTCGAGCTCCCTTGCGCACACTCGCGTCGCTCAGACGCTTGGTATCGACTCTTCCAAACAATGAACATATTGTGAGCCTTCTACCTGTCGATTGATGGGACATACTAACAGAAGTTCAGCGAGTATTCAAGGATTCAGCATCAACCTCGAGCATTCTCACCTACCTAGAAAGCGATCCTCCGTCAAGGCGCCTGGCCATTGGCACGACTACTGAGGTGCCCCCTACGCCTCGCAGCTTCACTGAGAACAAGCACTTTTTACAGATTCTTGATGAAGTGCTTCGTGAATTCGGTCATCTGGACGAAGATGTCACTAGCCAAGCCCGCGCGCTTGTCACTCCTCCTTCTTTCCAGTTCAGCCCCGGAGGTGGCAACCCCCGTCGCAAGGGTGCCCGTTCTGAGCCGCAAGGGGCGAGCGGACAGGGCGGCGCCGGCGGGGCAGGTATCGGCTCGTTTGTTCATCTCGGCGACCGCAGACACCCGCCCGAGTTTGGTAGGATCGCCTGGCCCGAGGACATACTAGGAAGTGTCGAGGTCAACAACTCGGGTGAGGTCTCAGGCAAGCTGGAGCCTAGTGGCACCTACCGGCCAGTGACGAACGACGGCATGTAAGTTTTATCTTTTACAATATAGATCTTGGATGTGATTCTAACAAATCTAGCTTGGGCTTGAGCCCCTTTATACGAGAGAAGTTAATAGAGCGCCTCAAGAAGGAGGAGGCCAATGAACGGAGGTAGTGACTGCGGCGAGCATGTGTACGAGTAGCTTGGTATCTAAATTAAGTTCATGTTGTATTATATACCTACTTCAGCAGTAGCCTGCAGGTGATTTGCAGAGTGTGTGTTTCTAGATTAAGATATTCCGCGTATTTATTTCTCGCACCACAGCAAGTTCCTTTTCAATATGCAGTACCGTACGTACAAGCGAGACGATATTAACCTGGGGAGGGTTAGCTGCAGCGCTGAAATGAGTTTCATACGGAATCCTATGGGAACTTAAGTCCAAGAAGGTCCAAGGATAATAAATAGCCGAATTCTCGTCAATGCGTCGCTTAGCTGATGGCACATTTGTGCTGTGTAGGGTAATATCTGGTAGATAAAGGAACCTCTGACGTAGTTATGGCGCTATCAGCAGAGACCGTCCGCCACAGGCTCCTTCACTGTTCCAGCGGGGCGTTTCAGCTTACAGGGTACCACCACCCCAACAAACCACCAGAAGCCCGCCTAATCCCAGTGCAGCCAGTGGTCCAGCAGGTCCAGCAAGGCCCGGCAATCCATCTCTCCCACCGAAATTTCCCCGTAATATTGAAACCCCGCCTCAACCTCTCCAGCGCATTGCATTGCCTGCGTTAGCTTCTTACTTGATTGGCTTTGGCGGCCCAAAAGAATCCAGGCCGCTCGCCGTTCTTCCCCACGACACAACACCAGCTCACGATACCCGCGGTACCGTCTACCGCCGCTGCGAGCACGGCTGTTTCCCCCCTCGTACACTCCATTCTCCTCCCACCATGGCTCATCGAGGCTTCGACGATGAGGAGTTGACCATTTCGCTCTCGTCGACCCATGTTCGACGGCAGCAACAACCGCAGCAACCGCAGCAACCCCGCCATCGACACGATGCCGACCGACCGCCCAAGCCGGTGTCCCAGACCGTCGGCGCTCCCCCCAAGGAAAAGTCAAAAACGGAGCAGCGCATCGGTGCCTACAAGGTTATTCGCACTCTTGGCGAAGGCTCGTTTGGTAAGGTCAGACTAGCCACCCATATCGGCACCGGCCAGCAGGTCGCTCTCAAAATTATCGCCCGCAAGAAGCTCATCAGCCGTGACATGGTCGGCCGGGTTGAGCGAGAAATTGAGTACCTGCAGCTACTACGACACCCGCATATCATCAAGTTGTGAGTACCAAATACATCAACGGCCCTCCATCCACCCTCTAATCTCTACCCGACACAGATACACCGTCATCAAAACGCAGACCGAAATTATCATGGTCCTCGAATACGCTGGCGGTGAATTGTTCGACTACATTGTACAAAACGGCCGAATGAAGGAAGCCGAAGCCCGCCGCTTCTTTCAACAAATGCTCTGTGCTGTTGAGTACTGTCATCGCCACAAGATTGTCCACCGCGACCTCAAGCCCGAGAACCTGCTGCTCGATGATAACCTCAACGTCAAGATTGCCGATTTCGGTCTAAGCAACATTATGACAGATGGCAACTTCTTAAAGACGTCTTGTGGTAGCCCCAACTATGCCGCCCCCGAGGTCATTGGCGGCAAGCTGTACGCTGGCCCCGAAGTTGACGTTTGGAGCTGCGGAGTCATTCTCTATGTCCTACTCGTTGGGCGCTTGCCCTTTGACGATGAGCACATTCCCAGTCTCTTTGCCAAGATTGCAAGGGGAACATATAGTATGCCTCAGTGGATGCCTAGCGGCGCTGCAAACCTTATCAAGAGAATGCTCGTCGTGAACCCTGTTCAACGTGCCACCATCGAGGATATCCGCCAGGACCCATGGTTCACGACCGATCTCCCCCCTTACCTACAGCCTCCTGTCGAGGAGTTTCTCAACACCGGTGTGGATCCTAATAAAGCGATCGAGAAGAGCGACATCGCCCCCAATGCTTCTGTCAAGGTACAAGAGCGCCTGCACAACGAGGTTACCGACAAGATCAGCAAAACCATGGGCTACGGCAAGACTGATGTCGAAGAGGCACTCCAGTCCGAGGAACCCTCTGCCATCAAGGATGCGTACATGATTGTGCGAGAAAACAAAATGATGCAAGTCAACCAGCTGGTTGAAGCGGCTACCACTGAGACTGAAGAAGGGAGCCCTGTCATGAGTATGTCCTCGGTACGATCGGGAGTCCCGCAACCACCGCGCCCATATGTTAGCAAGGTTGGTATCCTGCCCTCAAGTATCGGCACATATCACAAGGACTACATTGAGCGGGCCAAGTCGGGCGTAGAAGGCACAGAGCTCGCTGAGACGGCCATTAATGATGAGCCGCCGTCGGCCCGTACTGATGCTGAAAAGGAAGAGGCTGCTCGACGTCTCAAGCCTCACTCGCGCTCACAAAAGCAGCTGGAAGAAGGCACCAAAAGACCACAAGGCATGACGCCAATCAACCCACCGAAGAAGAACAAGCCTGTTCGCTGGCAATTTGGTATTCGGTCACGCAACGCTCCATGGGAGGCTCTTCTGTGCATCCACAAGGCACTGTACAAACTCGGCGCTGGATACATCCCGGACGAAGACTATGCAAGATTGCGGCAACAAGAAGGAGACACGCCAGGTGTGGAGGAGCAAGCAGATCCTTTGGACGGGCAGGACCCTACCCAACGCTACAAACTTCCGGCCGACCCCTGGCACATTCGCGTGCGTTGGGAGACGAAGAGTATGTTAACACTACTTAGTGTCATGCCATACTGTCTTGGATTAGAACTAATATCTTTTAATAGTTATGCGCAGCACCAACACCAGCACACCAACCGAGGGCGAAGGTGGCGACGAGACCAAGATGCCCGACACATACCAAGTGCTGGAGGGCAAGGCCGCGCAGAAGCGGGACTTTGTCGCGCTGCACCTGGGCATCCAGATTTACGAAATGGAGCAAGGCGTGTATCTGGTGGATTTTAAGTGCTCGGGGTATGAGACTGCTGATGGGAAGCTGCTGGAAGAGAAGGAGGTGATGAGCCCGTTTCCGTTCCTGGACATGGCGGCGCGTCTCATCATGCAGCTTGCTGAAGCTGACTGAGCTTCTTTGATATAAATCACAACTGATTTCTTCCTCTCTTCTTCTCAGCTTTGGGGGCGCATGGCATACATATATTCTTATAGATTTGGGATTCTCTTTTATTTACTTGATGCTTTCCGCTCGATGCTTTCCGCGTCGCACACATTGGAGATATTTTTCTTTTTTACACAAACAAAGCACATTCGCACAAAACGAAGTTGCCAAACAAAGGAAAAAAAATTGAGAAGTCACCACGGGGAAGCCAACATGTGAGATTTTTTTCTCGAATTTGTACGCTAAATATAAGTGTAATGTAGCGAGTTAATAATTTTGTCATGACAAAGGAAATTCGTCATCTCACTACAAACACCATGTGTCCTATACATGGTATTTTGCGAGGCACACTGTTAACTTTTTTCCAACACGTGCCACGGAGTCTAATAAAAGAAAAAACGAACCAAAAAAACAATATCCAAGATGCGACTTCTCCAAGCGAGAAATAAAAAAACCGTACAGTTGTGGGAAATAATCAATAAATCGAGACCACACCTTCAACTACGAGCAACCTTCTGTAGCTTAGTGGAACTGATCCTCGGTGACACCCTTGCCCATGGCTGAGGTGGAGCTGACACCGCCGGTGATCATCTTTTGCAGCTCGTCAACGTAGTTGGCGCCGGACCACTTCTGGTGCTTGACGACGTCGACGCCGAGTTCCATCTCGGGCTCCTGGACGAGCTCGCCGTAGGCGCGCATGCCCTGCTTCGAGTAGGCCTTGGCGAAGCTGTCGCTGATGAGGGCGGTGGTGTGCAGGCCGGCGAGGGTGATGAACTGCCAGCAGTAGCCGAGGCTGGCGAGGCGCTGGATGTACGTCTCCTGCTCATCGCGGGGCATGGCCGTCTTCCAGTTGAAAGAGGGGGACAGGTTGTAGGAGAGCCTGGCGGTGCCGCGGTGGTTAGCATTGGCGCTGAATTGAGGAAGTAAATATGAACTCACTTTTGGTGGGGGATGGCGGCGTGGACGCCGTCGGCGAACTCCTTGGCCTGGGCAAAGTCGGGCAGCTTGGACTCCATCCAGACGGCGTCGCAGTAGGGGCCGTAGGCGATGGCACGGTTGATGGCGCAGTCGCAGCCACCCTTGAGGCGGTAGTAGCCCTCGCGAGTGCGGGGGGCGTCCCAGTTGAAGTAGACGTCAAGGCCGAGGAGGTTCTTGGCGAGGGCGCGGGCCTCGGTGTTGGACTTGCCCTTGGCCTGGGCCTTGTACTTGGCCTGGAGCTCGGCCTTGTTGGAAAAGGAGCCGGCATCAATGGCAGCGGCGACGGCGTCGTCAAAGCGCATGAGGTTGGCCTTGGACAGCCACTCGTCCTCGATCTTCTGGAGCTCGTCACCGACCTTACCCGAGGCCTCGGCGGAGGTCATGAGTTCGTTGAGGGCCTGCAAGTTGGGGTTGGTGCTGCCGATGATGAAGGCGTGGTCGCGGGGGTCAATGGTGGTGGTAATAAGGGTAGCAGCCTCAGCGTCGGTACGGGCGACGGCAATGAGGTCCGAGCCTGGGTTATTGTTAGCGACAGTCAATGTCTTTGTCACATGAGACGTGAGATGAGAAACTCACCCATGATATCGGCCTGGGCACGGATGGCGACCAGACGGCTGATGTGCTCGCTGATGGGGACGAGGACCTTGCCAGCCATGTGGCCGCACTTCTTGGTGCCAGGAGCCTGGTCCTCAATGTGAATACCAGCAGCACCCTTCTCAATGAAGAGCTTGGTGAGCTTCATGACGGCGGTGAGACCACCATGGCCAGTGTCGGCATCGGCGATGATGGGACGGAGGTAGTCAATGTTGGCAAGCTGGGCACGCTGGCTCTTGGGGACACTGAGACGCTCCTGGCGCTGCTTGCGGTCGTGGAAGAGCTGGGCCATGAAAAGGTGGCCAACCTTGTTAGGGACGGTAGTCTAAAGAAGAGCATAATTTAGTTAGCTTTCGCGATTCTGCGTTTTTGACGATGCGATTTGAGATAATAGTCAAAATAACGCAAGGAACAAATGCCATGTAAGTCAATTACACTGATTGCTTCGCATGGGTTGGTGCTAAGGCGCCTTGGCATGTGATAATATCGTCGCAGCCAAACCCACTCATGGAGGGGCACCTTATTAAGGTGTGGGAAAAGACACGGGCAGGTGTAAGCGGCTAGGCTGGGGGGATCTCACGTAAGGGTAATCAGCCAGATCGGGGCCGGGCTCGTCAGAGGACGAAGCAGTAGAAGATGATTGCCATCCAGAAACGTAGACTGTGTCGAGGTATTTGGCCATCTGGGTGAGCATGGTAGGCTCGAGGCAGCCGTAGGTGAAGGAGGCGTCCTTGGTCTGGTTTTGGCGACAAGGTTAGCGTTGAGCCGAGGTGTAGGTGGAACGCGGGTGGCCGGCTCAAGAAAGAAGCGATTCGAGACATTGGACGACCAATTGAGCACGAGAGCGCTTCCAAAAGCCAGCAAAAGTGCATGCGCATACCTCGAAACGACCCTCGAGGATCTTCCAGAGCTTCTTGGACTGGGCATTGCTGGGGTACTCAATCTTGAGGTGGCCGCGCTTGGAGACGATCTGCTCTGCAGTGAAGGGGCGCTTCGTGTGCTTCCAGCGCGAGTCCTTCCACCAAGCCTTGACCTGGGCAACCTCCTGGGCGAAGAGGTCGTCCTCGACGTCGGGGTTGACGGCCGGGTTGAGCATGTTGTTGGCAGCCATGGTGGCGGGTAGGTATAGATGGGTTAGCCGAGGTGTAGATGTACTGGTGTTGATGTGCAGGTTGGAGGGAAGCACAGCCGGCGAGTTGCAGGAGGAAGTCGAGGGGAAAGAGGAGGGCAGCCAAGAAAAAGTCTAGAAGACTGGTGGAGGATAAAAGAAGAAGGTGATGGAGAGGGAAAAGAAAAAGAAGAGGAAGAAGTCAGGCACGAGGTCGAATGCCGAGAGATATTTAGAGTCCAGCCGGGTCGTCAGTCAGTCATACTATAATTTACTCGGCACACATGGACATGGCCGTGGGTGCGGCCGTAGGTGGTCTGCAGGCGGTTTAGTGTGCTGTGTGGCGCCGACTAAACTGGTCGGCCGGTGGTTGTGTTTGCTCGTGCCAGCGGCCACTTGCGGGTGAGTGGATCCGCTGGCAGCTGGCGGAACCGTCTGCTCATGCTGCGTTTGCACCGAGAGTTTTACCAGTCTTCAGTGTGTAAGACGCTGCTGGCCACTGCACCCATCCTCAGCTAACAGGGTACATAGGTACTTCGCTAGGCCAGACTATTACTCTTCCAAGCCGTGAACCTCCCATCATACCGTAAGCCTCGTCATCCACAGCCCTCCACTATGTGTAGCATAACCCAGTTGACGGGATAATACTGCATGGCCATCCTGGGGGAGTGCTGTGGCCGGCTTGGAACACAGACCAACCAGCTCGGAGCACGCCCGGGTTTCCGCTCGTATGGCCGGGAGCGGGCAGGGGGGCAGGAGTCACAGCTTTTCGGTTTCTTTGTTCGATTTACAAGATGCCGATTTCATCGTCATTGTGAGTGAGCGAAGGCAGAGGGCGCCGCAAAAGTCCGGTTGTCGCGTAGGCAGGGGTGTGGACTTCTCGGCTCAATGGGCGACCGGAAGTTGGAGAAGAGGGAGAGCACATGCTTTGGGGCATGGAATCGCCCTGGACTTTTTTTTTTTAAGCTCATTGTCACTCCTCTGTGGGCTTGGAGCAACGCCCAAAAAGTTGCCAACGCCCGCCATCGAAATCGCTGTGGGGTTCTGGGTGGGCGCTGCAGCAACAGGCCAGGGTGAGGGCAGCCAATGATATTCGCTGGAAAAGGCAACTCCAGTCCTCGCTCTGGCATGCTCATGCTGGAGTTTCTGAAGGTGGGGCTCATGCCTTTGACCGAGGTGCCGGAGGCTGCCAGTCGGTGGCGAAGCCGGCCCACCGGTACAGAGGTAACAAAGAGAGTGACTGGGTGCTTCCGAGAGAAGTAGATCTAGGTAGGTTTGAACAATTAAATTAAGGCCATTCATTTTTCTCGGTCGACTCGTCTCGTGCCTATTGAAAACCTCAAGACATTAATTAGTTATAACTTCCTAAGTGCCCTACCGGTACCTCCAAATCTCCTCCCCTGGCTAGCAGCAGGATGCTCCAAAAACTCCCCCAAACTCCCCGCAAACCACTTTCAGCCGCATCGTTACAGGGGCTCGATTCGGCCTCGTAGCGGCTCACCTTGTCAAGAACACCGCACTTCCTCCCGAGAATCTTTCCATGTCTACATCATCACCAATAGCCACAACACAGAAGCAGCCTGAGGACAACGATAAACAAGTACGTCAAAGGCTCAAACTGGACACATTCCCATACCATCGACGTCGACTCTTCTCCATAATAAATCACTTCCCGGCGCCGCATTGTCCCCTGCCTTGTTCCGTATTTTCCCTTGGCTGGCCGTTTCTCCAACACTAGCCCCCGATTCGCTCCTTTGCGCCATCGCCGAATCCATCCCGGAGCCGGGACGGGCTGCCTTGGTGCTTAACATGTGACGGCACGACCTTCGCCCGAGACAAGGCTGGCAGCATCACATACCTAATCTGCACATTCTTGTGAATGTTAGATAACCCCAGGGTCACCGAAATGTCCAGTCTCACTGAGGTTGAGATGTGCAGTTTGGCATGCTTCTCTCTACTCGAATGCACCTCAGAGCAGACCTCCGAGTACATGAGTATGCTTGCCCCTGCACAGCGCATCTCAACTGTCCATATGGATTCAAAAACAGCATTCGTTGCATGGCAATGTTAGTACGCCTGAATATCTATATTCCGGGCATACATACAGTACACATGAAGGCACATGCCCCCCCCCGTATATGAAGTGCGCGGTGTTTGGTAATAATCGCTCTATTCTTTCGCTATGTTTAAAACCACAAACGTCTTTAATAACCACAGGCAAATTGTCACCTCGATGTTACACTTGAGCGTCGCCCTGACAGGTTCTCTCCGAAAGGGCACTTCCACCAGTCAGCATTCATCTGTATCATTTGGCCATCGTTTCCGTCGTCATCACATCTAACGCCCTGCTGGAATTGTACAGGCGTATATGCCATTTGAAAGGCCTGCGCAACTCATCTGGTGAACTCCTGTGGCTTGCATTATCTGCAAAACGGTGTATGGCGACAGCGTGCGTGTATTGCCTCTCCCAAAACTTAGTCTTTTTACCACAGTCACCGGCGGGATGAATTCCCCAGCTGGCAAACCGGAATAGTCGAGGACTAGCAGCTTGCCAAAGTTGCGCCGGGCGAATGCTATCGCGTTGGACACATACCGTTCTGGCAAAGGGACACGTTCAAGGGTCGGTGACAGCGGCGGGCCGATCACGCCGTATGGGGGAGAGGCGTCTGACAATGAGATTTTCGTTGCCATAATCTGCTAGTATGTTGGCCTTGTACAGACGAATCGCAAAGTCATTCGATACCCCATGTCTTGCCATGTCACCAGCTCTCTGAAGACAAGTGCTATTAGTGTCGTCATTCTGATATTTTCCTGCGCCAACTGTACGTCAAACCCTGTGTGGGCAACAGGAAATCGTGAGGGGAGCTCAGCCGTGCAATGGTCATCAACGCGCGTTGTTCCTCACTACCGTAACAGTATTTTGGTAAGGCTAGCTTTATGACACGGAAGTCGAAGTCAAGATCGAGTCGGCGAAGGCACCTCTGTCGTATAGTATTTCCGTGGAAGACGCTCTTGAACATTGCCAGGTCGTCATGGCTGTCAGATGCTGGCCGTAGTGTGACTTGACGAAGATTTATGCGTTCGACCGAGCGCTGCTACCGGCTGACACATGCATACCCGGCTAGAGGTTGTGTGGTAGTAGGCTCGCCTCTGACGTGTTGGATGATCATGTCTAGAATTTCGGTGGGGACGTGCATGTTCGTCTGCTTTAAATGAGCGACTGTGGAATATCAAGGCCGATGTTATATAAGGCTTTTATGTAATGTGCAGATTGGAAGTGCAAAATGGATTGCCAGTTGCGAATGGATCTGGGTGGGAAAAGAGAGACTTACCTGCCGTGGATAAGCTGCCCAGCAACGTACTTGGGACAGGCAGCATATGTGCGTGAAAAGTCGGGTATATGACGTTATAAAATGAGATAGATAGGTAAGATGGATATAATTCAACAAACATGCGAAATGTAAAAAAACTTTAAAAGATTGTGAAAACTTTCAAATCCTTTTGAAAAGATTGATTGATGTAGAATTATAGCGCGAGATATGATCCAAGAGAGCATCTGTATAGGCCAACTTAACACAGCTACAGTTGAGTGAAATTCACGTAAATTGATATAGCTTGTAGAAAGTCGTGGAATGGTCAGTCAGTAGCTGTTAATAGTCCATCAAAGATGCTCGCGTGCACCTGATCTAGTCGATCCAGCGAGCATTCGTGATACCATGAGTTACTGAGTTCCCCGCAGATTGAAATGATCCAAGACTTTTACGATTGTTCGAGATGGCTCAGGCATCTTGTCTTGGGCGCCAAGAAACGATGAAGCGGCATCGCTAGCCATGAATCAAGCGTGATGAGTTGGTGGCTTTCTGCACCCCGGGGACCCGGGACCGGGCCTGCACCCCCGGGCAGGGAATGAAGCTGATAGGACGAGTTCTCTTGTTGCCACCGCATTGGGCGTTTCAGCTCTTCCTGCTGCCGTCTTCTTACACAAACTCGTCACATCCTGCATGCTACGTCGACATCCGCATCCGCATCCCACTTTTGCATCCGACATCGCTTACGCCTGCCGTGTCGTGAGGCTCCTACAGAGCAAGCCGGCGTCAGACAGCCACCTCACGAGTAACTACCGTACTGTACTGGCGCTTGGTCGCCGGCCAGACCAACCGCATTCTTCTTTTGTTGAGGAATACTCATCAACAAAGTCTACAAAGTCTCACCATCATCCCGTCTTTTCAACCCACAAAAATAACAACTAACATTGAACCAACCTGACCTGGTCCCCTCCGCCCGCTCTCAAGCCCCCTCCCCCCTTCTGCCCTTCTGTCTCCATACCTTGGAGGAGGAGAGCTGTGAAACCCACCCCCGGCCGACCCGCTACCAGGTACTTGCCAGTAAAAGCTACCATGACCTGTCCAACTTAAATTCTTCAAACAAACATCACGGCTTGCTACCTGTCTTCACCCATACACTGCGGTAAACTGCAATCCCACCTCTCTCACAAGGCCTCCTCCATATTGCTTTACACTTGCCTCTGCATACAGACACGCAATTGGGCATCGACCCTGAGCACCCCGCGATTTTGCCCCTCGCCCCGCCGACACCGCTACTCGTTCTGCAAACAAACCATCTCGACAATGTCGGACTCGACCGCGCCCTCGGCGCACCGTCCTCGAGGGTCCGAGGATTTTGGTGTCTTTGATGATGCCAAGACCTATTATGCCTCCGACGAACGACACACTGGCCGATTTGCGAACCGCACCCGCACATACTCCCAGGTAAGCACCACTCACCGTTTTAACCCCGGCGGCAGAGCTAATACTCCTCCAGAGCAGCTTGATCAAGCAAATCGAGCGAATGAACGTCCCAGAACCTTTTCGTCGCGGAAGCCACGGTATGTAGTGTATGGATGTTGATTAACATGATACTGATAGCATGTACCAGATGAGAGCAACCTGGAGCAAGGCCGCCGCTTCCTCATCCAAGTCGATGCCACGCTCGAGAGCTTAAAAGCCCAAGAAGATACCGATGGAAACATGCAAATCACCATCGAGGACCACGGTCCCAAAGTACTTCCCCTAAGAACTGCCGCCTCCGCTGGCTATCACCGCTACGAAGTCCGTGGCACGTATATGCTGTCCAACCTTCTTCAGGAGTTGACTCTGGCCAAAGAATACGGCCGCAAGCAAATCATCCTCGACGAAGCTCGACTCAATGAAAACCCTGTCAATCGACTTTCTCGTCTCATCAAAGATCATTTCTGGGATGGCTTGACTCGACGCATCGATGCATCCAGCATTGAAATTGCTGCTCGCGACCCTAAAGATTGGACCGACGACCCCCGGCCCCGCATTTATGTGCCATTCAAATGCACCGCACAATACGACTACTACAAGCAGGTCGCAGTTGACCGCCCAGAGATTCGACTAGATGTGCAATTACTCCCCGAGATTATCACCCCGGAGATTATTCGTGACATGAATGAGAAACCTGGCCTTCTTGCCGTTGCCGTTGAAGAGATTGAGGAGCAAGACCCTGTCAAGGGCACTATCAAAACTCTCCGCGGTCTCCCTTTTGTTGTGCCTGGTGGCAGATTCAACGAATTATACGGATGGGATAGCTACATGGAGTCTCTTGGACTGTTGGTTAACGACCGTGTTGACCTAGCCAAGGCAATGGTGCTGAACTTTTGCTTTTGCATCGAGCACTATGGAAAGATTCTCAACGCTACGCGGTCATACTATCTTGGCCGCTCCCAGCCGCCTTTCCTGACGGACATGGCTCTGCGGGTCTACGAGAAGATCAAGCATGAGCCCGATTCACTCGAGTTTCTGCGTCGCTCAATCCTCGCAGCCATCAAAGAGTACCACAGTGTATGGACCGGACAGGCTCGTCTGGACCCTACGACCGGCTTATCGAGATACTGCCCGGAAGGTCTTGGAGTTCCTCCCGAGACCGAACCTAGTCACTTTGTCCACATTCTTGAGCCCTACGTCGAGAAGCATGGCATGAAGTTCGATGAGTTCGTTCGGGCATACAACTACGGCGAGATTAAAGAGCCTGAGCTGGACCAGTATTTTATGCACGACCGTGCAGTGCGAGAGTCTGGCCATGATACCAGCTACCGTTTTGAAGGAGTTTGCGCCAATCTGGCAACGATTGATCTCAACTCGCTACTATTCAAGTATGAGACTGATATTTCTCGTACCATCCGCAGCCTGTTTGGTGACAAACTCATCATGCCGGAAGAATTTTGCCAGGGCACGCCCTACAAGCCTGGCGACATTCTCACGTCTGCCATGTGGGACCGCAAAGCCAAGAGACGCAAGCTCACCATGGACAAGCTGATGTGGAATGAGGAAGAAGGCATGTTTTTTGACTACGATTTTGTCAATAAGAAGCGCTGCACGTATGAAACCGCCACGACGCTGTGGGCGCTGTGGGCCGGTGTTGCATCGCCGAAACAAGCGGCAGATATCGTGAAGAAGGGTCTTCCCAAGTTTGAAGAGTTCGGCGGTCTACTTGCCGGTACTGAAAGTTCACGCGGTAAAGTTGGCCTGGAGCGACCCAACCGACAGTGGGACTACCCGTACGGCTGGGCACCACAGCAGATGCTGGCGTGGACGGGCCTGCTACGTTATAGCTTCAACGAAGAAGCTGAGCGTTTGGCATACAAGTGGCTGTTTATGATTACCAAAGCATTTGTCGATTTCAACGGTGTCGTTGTAGAGAAGTACGACGTGACGCGGCCCATCGACCCTCATCGTGTGGATGCCGAGTACGGCAACCAGGGTCTGAACTTCAAGGGCGTCGCCAAGGAAGGGTAAGCTGCCACAACTCATGGGATTTCCCTGGACCGCACATCACTAACGCATTATAGATTTGGCTGGGTCAATGCCAGTTATGTTTATGGGCTGCAGATTGTGAATGCGCACATGCGCCGTGCGCTGGGGACGTTGACGCCGTACCCGACGTTTATCAAGGCAATTGAGCAATTGAATGAGAAGGCTCTTGCCGATCTTGAGTAGAGGATGTGGGTTTTTGCGTCAAGTAGAAACTAGACTAAATATTTATAGCGTAATGAGAGGGTCCCTCTATATTTATTAATTATCGAACTATTATCATGAGCGACGCTCCTTCGTCCTGTTGATGGCTGCCCAATGCCTGTGGATGACGATGTCGTTACAGTGCAAATGCCGCGTCAAGTCCCTCCAATACTTATATGAACCAGACATGCTGTTCGCTACTACATGCGAGTACCAAAGGCCAAAAATATTCATACCTCAAGCGGTGTGCTCATTTGGAGCATTGTCAACCTAGCAAATAGGCAGGCGCAGAGAAAGACGGCAACGAATTACGACTGCAGTTCGGCCAAGCCGGTGATGCTACCCCGCTGTCTTTTGCACTTGCCTGTACATCCGAGAAAAGCCCATTGTGAGGCGTCTTTAGCAAAGGGCCGATATACAGGCCATGAACAAGAGAGCATGTCCCGAGGCCGTGGGAGGGTGAACGGATGAGATGGCTTGCTTTGCAGAGGAGTAGAATTACAAAATCAGTCGACTTTCTAGTGCTATCCTAGTCAAGTCAGGATTCTGCCCAATCCCGGCTGCACATCTCTTCGAGAGACGGCAAAGCAAAAAGAAGCCTGAGGGGGATAATTGTAGGCATGGTGGTAGCAAGGCGCCCGCCCCCCTTCTATTCGGTACGCGCGCTTCTTTCAAAAGTCCCCGCAAGGTAGAAAAAGGGATTGCAGAAAAACGAATCGACACAAATCCGGTCAGAAAAAGCGCTGGCGACGTCGTGCGGAGTTCCCGTTTTTCATTCAGTCGGACGAGCGGCGGCGGCAGCGGCAGCGGCGGCCACCATGTCGGCTCTCCGGCGCGCGACGGCGCGCGCATCCCACGTCCCCGCGAAGACCTCGTCGCACTCGTCCTCATCCGCCGAGTCAAACGCCACATCCTCCTCCGCAGCCCTCCCCTCCCCCTCCCCGATGCGTCGTCACGCGCTCCGTCTCCAGGATGTACTTGCCCACCTTGTAGCGCTGCGACTTCTCCCGCGCATCGACGTACTTCCAGCCGAGCTTCCTCCCGCACGTCGCGCACGAAATATCCGCCACGACGTGCCAGCCCGTGACCAGCTGCCTGTTCTCCAACCGGCCGAGGCGGATGTTGAGCAGCGCGGCCTCGTCGTCGTCGTCGTCGTCGTCGGAGGGAGAGGGGGGAGAGACGAGGAGGGCGCGGCCGTAGCGTCCGGTGAAGCCCTTGGAGACGATCTGCGCAGAGAGGGCGAGGTCGGCGGAGCATGCGGAGCAGCGGAGGGTGTCCGGGCCGAGGCGCGCGAGGCGACGAGGTGCGGGTGTTGTTGTCGTTGTCGTTGTCGCGGTCGGTGTTGTGGAAGGAGAGGATGGGCGGCGGCGGCGGCGGAGAAAGGGAAAGCTGAAGCTGGGGAGGAGATAGCTGGGGAAGACGGGCGGCGTGGCGGAGATGCGCGTCTGGTGGTGGTTGTGGTGGCCGCTCCGGGCGGTGTCGGATGGTGAGCGGTCGCGCATCGTCGTCGTTGTGGAGGGGCCGTATGGGAGATCCGTTGATGTATTAGGAGACGGTTGAGAATGATGCGTGCGGGCCAGTCTATGGGCGTTTGACGGCCAGCGTCGTGTTGAGAGTTTGGAGCGGACGATTTTTGAAAGGAGAAGGGGAGGTGAAAGATGCAAGATCAAGGATGATTGCCCGTTTGATGCTCTGCGCTGAATGCGCCCGGCGGCCACTTCGCTTTGGTGGTGTGTTGGGGACAGAGAGCCCCGCTCCGAGGTCAAGGGACCAAGAAGACCACGGGACCAAGGGCCGGCCACTCAGCTGTCCGTCAGCAAGTCGGGTGCTAAAAGAACTTGGTCGAGGAATCACATGATTTTATCCCACTTGAAAGCATACGGGACTTTTTCTTCTCTCTTGTTATTGTCCGCCTTCTGTCTAGAACATGTTGGAGGATAAGTTTGTCAATCCGCCACTTGCCACTGGGCTTCCCCACAGGACAGGACCCTGTTCTTCCCTGCATCTCCACAATGCTTGCTGTCAGTGACAACTCGAGTAATAAGTTGAAGTTTGGCATTGTCCACTAGATTGATAAGAGCGATTGAAATATCGCCGTGTCATGATACTATATAATCAAGAAACTCCCGGACCCATCTGGCCATCGAGCTCATGCTGACTTTTGTTGTTCACCGCCGCCCTTCTTGTCCCAGGCTTGATGGCTCTCGGCGACTCGCATGTGTCTTTCCCTTGGCACTTGACTCGTGCTCCAGAGGCCACAAGGTACAATCAACAACATGCATTGGCTCGTTCTACGTACGCGGGCTAAGTATGGCCGTTTCTTGCATATTACGAGCTATCCTGCGCAATATGTAACGGGCATGGTCATCTTTTTATGTCCAGTCTGACCGCCCCCAAGCCGGGAACCGGCGATCGGAATCAGAAGTGGCGTCCGCGAAGAAGGCCCCGCCTCGTCGTACCAGATGCGTTACAACCCCATCGTCCCAAGCTTCACCCATGTCCGAGACTATCGAGAAACAAAAAACGCACTGGCCCTGGAGAGATACCGACATCTGCCCCGAGCGTGCGTGCACTGTGGTCAAGCAGCAAAAGCCTGCATCAATGCAACACTACTACGGCTCACGGCATCAGCATCTAACGATATGACGTTGCATCGCCATCTCGTTTTGTCCTGACATACACGCTGTCTGAGTCGCAGTGGGAGGACTGATTCGTTGCTCGCCAATCTGTCTCAGAATCGCAATTGTGATAGTAAATGTAGTAATAAATGTCTCGTTTATTAAATGCCCAAAATGTTACTCGCTATCCAGGCTCCCAGACACACAACGCCAGAGAAAGAAACAAATGCCGCTCCCACGCATAAAGATTTAAATCCAGAAGAATTGTACACATATTCAACATCACTTATTAGGTCCGGACTCGGGCCCAGTGATGGTAACACGACTCATCATCCCCGGAGGACTGTAGATGGGGAGCCGCGTTGACGACTCCACTACATCGGCCAGACTGGGGCCGCACCGAGCCCCGTAAAAGCTGTAATTTCATGCGAGTTCCTGTGACGTATTTTATCACAAGCCGCAGATTCCGCTGAGACCATGGAAAACGGGCCTAGTTTCGGCTCCAACGGCTTCATCGGCTCGCGCGCAGCCATGACCCCGTACCCGGAGTGTTTCTTCCTGACTAGTTGACCAATTGCACCATCATCCTGGCCAAGCTGTCGTGCTTGTAGCGAGAGGCCACGGTTACGGGCGTGTCGCCGTATTGGTCAGGGACGGTGAGCATGCGCGGCGTCTGGTGCTGCAGCAGCGTCTTGACGACCTCATCGGAGCCGCCCATCGCTGCAGCGTGCAGAGGTGTGAGACCGCGCTTGTTGATATTGGTCTGGGCATCGACACCGTTTTGCAACATCCAGCGCACCAGGTCGACGCTGCCATCTTGGCAAGCGAGGAGGAGGGGCGTAAAGTCGTTGTATTCGGCTGCTAGGTCGGCGCCGCCGTCAACCAGCAGCTTCACCATGTCGAGTGAGCCCGTTAAGATAGCAGTGTGCAGCGGGGTCTCGCCCGTCAGCGGCCGTGGCAGTGAAGGATTCGCGCCGTGCTGGAGTAGCAGCCGGGCAATCTCGAGCTGGCCGCTCTCAATGACTTCATGCAAGGCGGCGCAACCCATGCGGTCTTGCGCGCTGTGATCGGCGCCGCTTCCCAGCAAGGCCTCGACCATCTCAGCGTTTCCGCAGCGGATAGCCATAACGAGAGGCGTCTCCTTGGCTCGAGTCGTGGCTGATGGGTTGGCGCCTTGGGCGAGCAGGTAGCGTACCAGAGCAGGCCGTTGAAAATCGTGGGCGCAGGCGAGGTGGAGAGGCGTTTGGCCATGATTATCAGTAATGCAAATATTGGCGCCTAGGTGCAGGATCTGCCAAGTAGCCCAGTCAGAACCGGCTTTCATGGCGTCGAGGAGAGGTCTGGTATTGTTGCGGCGCATGCGGTTTATGTCAAGGCCAGCTTCGTGCCATCGTTGAAGGGTGCCAGCGTTTTGGTTTGTGAGGGCCCATCGTAGGGCATCTTTCTGGAGGGTGAGCTCGTCGACGGTGTAGAGGTGGTTGATGAGAAGATTGTAGTAGGCGCGGTCGACTTGGCAGAGAGCATTGATGTGGGAGACTTGGGGGAGGTGGGCAACGATCTGTAGCCGGAGCTCTGTTGGTAGGGTATCGAGGCCCATGTTGTGGGGGTGGTGTATGGTGAGTATGGTGATGTGGTATAAGTGAGATAGCTGGCGGTTGCAAGTAGGAAGGTAGAGAGAGGCTCGAGAAAGAGGAAGAAGCCAGCAAATAAAAAAAAGAGAGGGGTATTGAAGTAATCTTTCGAGGGAAAGTTGGAGTGAGAACAGGATGGAGGAGGAGGGCCGCGGGGTCTTTATTCATGAGGAGGGAAGCTCTGTCCGATGTTGATTGACCGAGGCGACAGGAGGGACAACAGGTCAGGCTAACAGTCCAGGCTAACAACCTGGCAAGGCTAGCTAACAGGCCAGGCTATATGGCCACAACACGGGAGAGACGCAAAGGATTAGGAGGGAGGGAGGGGGCATGAATGGCATGGCGCCTGCCGCTGTACCCGGGCGGAGCCGACACGCCAGGTAGTGGTGGCAGAGCTGCTCCCTCGTCCTTCCCCACAAATAGAACCAGGCACAACAGAAGCTGCACAACTCACGGGCTCGCAAACAGGCTTGGAAGTGGGCTTCAAACGGGCGACAGACAGGTCGACTGGTAGCAACTGGAGAATTGCCAGCTGGCGAGAGAGTTTTTCTTCTTCTTCTTTTTTTCTTTGAACGTCAAGTTGATCCTTCACCCATCAGCCACCCACTTTGTACAAACGCACAAGTAGGTATGTCTCTTTCCTTCTTTCCTCCCACCACGTCACTCGATGCATCTCCACAAACTCCTAAGTACACCGCTCGCCCCCACGGCACCGACCTGGCCTTGAGGAACATGCCATTTATTCGCTACCCTGACGATATCTCGACCTGACTCTGTCTCAAAAGTTTGCAAGCCCTCGGAGCTTGCATGTCCGTCCATACTGAAACCCCCATCTCGGCGTTCTGCCCTAAATTGTACCCTGGCCCTGGTAGCCTCAAAGGGAAAACCTCCGTTGGTCCGCACCACAGCCAGTCCAAGACTTCCCCCAAGTCCATCTCAGTCAGGCCCAGGCCCAGGCCCAGCGTCACCACGAACATTTTAGCCTAGCCACACCTTATTTGCGACGGCTCTTTTTCTGGCCTCCGCGCATCGCGGCAACCAAGACACGGACATAATAAAGCACACCTACCAATACGCTCTTGCAGTGCGATCACTCACATTGCACGCTACAAAAGGCTGATTTACTGGGTTGTCTAGGACTCGCCCCTTTTCATCCATCCCCTGGGCTTAAATATTGCCAGAGCCCCTGTGGCAGCTCAGACGGCCCGGACTCGACGTGGCTGTACGGATAGGGGACGCTTCCTCCAGCCCAAGCTCCAACCGGATGGCATCATGAGCGCCTCCCCTCCCCCGCAGCACAACACCGGCTGTGTATGTACAAGGCGGAAGCCATCCCGCATGTGATGCGGCTTCGTACAGGGGCTATCCCGCTCTCTCGACGGAGCGCCAGGGGCCTGTCAGACGCTACTTTTCAACTCAAACTCGACACACCAGGCGCCACATTCAGCTGAAATTAAGCTGTTGTCGAGGCTGGCGGGCCGTCTTGCAGGTTTTCGGACAGTCCAAAAAAGCGATTTTGCCTACCGCCAGTCCGACCTGCAGATGCGTCACCTGCCTGTACAGAGCCACCCTCGGATGGTTTCCGTCCCGGACATGTTCCGTCCCGGATGTGTAAACACGGAATTAGATTGCAGCCTCTCAACTCCTGCCGAGACTTCTCAGCCTTTACCTATGTAGCCCGCCGCCACCAGACGATGCTAACCTCCGCACGGTGTTGGCTGCACCACGCTGAGAAAGATGTAGGGCCGTCGTATAAATCAGCCCCGACGTCGTAGCCAATGAGTGGCCCCGAGTCTTAATCAACCTCTCTGGGCGGGGAGGATGAAGATCATGCCGTCATTGAAGACAATCATGCTCTATTATCAGTTATCAGCCCACTCCATTTCAGGGATTCCTTCGGCTTCAGTGCTGGTAGTATAATCTTGCTTGCACAGCCCTGACGGTGCAACCTGGTCGATTCCAAGTTGTCCAAACGCAGGGAACATTCCTAAAAATGGAATGACCATCTTAATCTATTTCAATCTGCTACGATTTAGTGTCCAAAATTAGCATCACGCTGTCACTTATCAAGAGCTACCAGTACAGCCACTCACAGTAGCCGAGACAGCTCACTAAAATGGGATGCAGATCTTGCCACATTCTCAAACCCCCGCAACGCTGACCAGTATATATCTGCTCACGAGCCTCGAGGCACAGGGGGATGCGCAGTCTATTAATGTGCAATTAATCTACTTGGATCAAGAGCTGAAGTATCAAATCGGATACACGGGCACTTGCGGGTGTTAATAGTAATGGGTGGCGTTGGCTGGCCACCTTCAAGCGACTTCCCCGCGTTGGACATTATCAGGACGAAGGGTCGAAGGCGCCAGCTTTTGCTAGCAGGATTATCTCATCCATTTATTAAACATGTACATATCTTCAACACTCTTATTCTGATTTCACTCCGGCGACGACTGACCAGTTGTTGAAGAATCCACTAAAATGGCATCGTTGACAGAAAGGGCGCGATGACGTCCTGATTGACAAGTTTGCATATATATCTTCAGCTGCCTACCTTGCTTTGAGATCCGAAGCAAGCATTGAGAACAAAACGACGTACAAAACAGAAACAAAAGAATCAACCATGAAAACCATTGGCATCATCGACGGCAGCACCGACATCGCCACCGCCGAGTACTACCGCATCATCAACGCCACCTGCACACCGGCGAGGTCATCATCAACTCGATGGACCTCGCCCGCAGCGCCCACTACGTCCAGAACGAGCTGTGGGACGAGGGCGGCGCCTGCCTCGCCACCAAGGCGCGCAGCCTCGAGCGCGCAGGGGGTGATTCTCGGGTGCACGGAGATTCCGCTGCTGGTGAGGCAGGAGGACAGGCCGGAGGTGCCCATGTTTGAGCCAAGGCAGCGGCGCTGCGGGCGATTGAAGAGGATCTCAAGGAGTGAGTTGCATGGTATGGAGTATACGGTAGATGTGCAATGCGTCAAGGACGATGGGGTGAGTGCGTGCTCACAACTGACATCTCGGCCCAAATGGAACTGTCTGAGTATTCCGTCGACTCAATGGAAATGACTCTATTTTTTCCAAGTCATTTATAAGTTTCCTGGCAGTGTCGCTTCCACAGCCACTAAAGAAAAGAAGCTGAGTATATCAAGTTGTCGCGGCTTGCGAAAGTGGGAAGTTGGCCGCCACCCAATTGCCTGTCCACTAGCAAGAGTCACAGAATCTCAAGTCATCTTAGAATTTATCCTAATCTCCTTCTCCATACCTAGTTTCAGTAGCTCATGTTAAAAATGCTGTGCTAAGCTGCCTAAAAGGGAAATGGTGCTGGGATGCGACTTGACTCATTGGGTGACTCATTCGCTCTCCTAGCCGCGCCATCAACACCCAGAAACTGCTTCATCAGCAACGCAAAGCTGCCTACTCTAAGGGGGTGGCAACTCAAACAGGCATCAACAATGCTTGGATCTAATATAAATAAACACTTCTCTCTTCCCCATTCCTAATTCCCCTTCTCTTCAGCTCACACGACACTCGTCCGCTACAGCTTCGCCACCTCGGCCTCACAACCAACACCTGTCACCCCCTCGTAATCGAATGCCTTCAAAGTCACCCTCCACCGACCTCTCCCACCTTCCCACCACCACCACCACCACCACCACCACCATGGAGACCCTGCTCCCCCCCTCGGCCACCGAGACCCGCCACCTCCCGCACAACCGCGCCGCCAACAAGACCGCCCCCGGCGACCCCTGGCAGTCCCGCCGGCACGAAGTCCGCGCCGTCGCCAAGAAGCTCGCCGCCGCCGACGACCCCTTCACCTGCCGCCGCATGGGCTTCGCCTGCGCACTCACCGGCGGCCTCGACCCGGACGCCGCTTCGCCGTGTCCCGCGCTCGCCGGCCGGCACGCGAGCGCCCGCGCGCACCACTTCGAGACGCAGCTGCCCCCGCTCACATCGCGGCCGTTGGCGGTCACGGTCACAGCCACCGCGGGCGCGCGCCGCACGTACAAGCGCGACCGGTACACGCCGACCGACCTGGACGACGACGTGGCGCTCGCCAAGAGCGCGGTGCGCATGCCCTGCGACGACAACTCCCACAACACCATCGCTGCCGCCGCCACTGCCGCTGCCTCGCCGCGGAGCGTGCAGACCGAGTCCGAGGACGCGGTCGCGGAGAGGGCGCAGGTGGCGGCGCTGTACGAGGCGGGCCTGCTCTACCGGGACGCCGGCGCGGGCCGCCGGCTCACGCTGGACAGCATCTCGCATGAGGAGCCGACGTACGCGATCCGCACCGCCAAGCCGCGGCGGCGGATGCACGGTCGCCCTGGCGGCCTGGAGCTCTCCTTCTCGGATATGGGCGACGAGGAGAGCCTGGTGCAGTACGTCATGGCGCTGACGGCGTCCGAGGCGGACGCGGCGGATGCCAGCTCGACGCTCAGCTCGCCGACGCTGCAGGCGATTCAAGAGATGGACGATGCTTCGCTGGAGTCTTGGGTGGTACTCGACAAGGATGGTGCTGCCCGAATTACTCTGGATGGTTCATCCTCGCGCCTGTAGAATCTAGATCGTCGGTCTTTTTATTTTCTTTGTTTTCAGAATTTATACCGAAAAAGCATGACATAGCGGAACTCTGCATCTCATGGCGTTAGCATATGCCAGAAAAAGGGTCAGCTCGGTCTGCATATTGTTGATTTGCATCTGGTGATTCTTAATTATACAACGATTTCTTTCTACTCACTTCATCAACCCCGTGACGACTGTAGCAAGAAGCTGTTGAATTCATGTACCTAATTCAATCTACATTACTTGCAAGTACAAAATATGATGTTTTTGTTGTTTTGTTTTACTCCTTGTAATTTTAGCTCTGGGGCTCCTCGGCAACGTAGTGCAGGTAGGCGCCGAGCAGCTTGATGCCCTCAATGTAGTTGCGCTTGTCGAGCTTCTCGTTGATGGAGTGAGCGCCGTCGGTGGAGCTACCCATGGGCAGCAGGAGGACGTTCTTGCCGGTGGCCTCCTCAAAGGTCAGCGTGACGGGGATGCTGCCGCCCTCGCGGGTGAAGTCGGGCTGGACGCCCCAGACGCGCTCGACGGCCTTGGCGGCAGCGGAGAAGTTCCAGTGCTTGGGCGAGGCGACCCACCACTTGCCGGCGTGCATGCACTCGACCTTGAGGGTGTTCTTGCTGCCGAGCTTGGCGAACTCGTCCTGGACGTACTTGAAGACGGCGGCGTTGGTCTTGTCAATGTCCATGTCGGGGACGGTGCGGATGGAGAACTTGCCAATGACCTTGGCGGGGATGACGGTCTTGGCGCCGGGAGAGGCAAAGGCGCCCTCGATGCCGTGGAGGGAGAGGGACGGGTAGCGCCAGCGGGCCATGAGGGTGGGCTTCTCGGTGTCGTGGATGGTGGTAGTGCTACCGAGGGACTCGTGCAGGTTGGCCATGGTGAAGGCGATGGAGTCGTAGAGGGAGGCCTCGTCGGCTGTGACGGGGGCGACCTGCTCAGAGATGCCGGGGATGAGGATGTTGCCCTTGCTGTCGACGAGGCGGCTGAAGAGCTGGGCGACGTCGGTCATGGGTTCGTGGGCCTGACCGCCGAAGACGCCGCTGTGGAGGTCGGCGGCGGGGCCGGAGACCTCGAGGGAGTAGTAGTTGCAGCCGCGGAGGCCGTAGGTGAGGCAGGGCTTCTCGGTGCCGAGCCAGTAGTTGTCGGAGATGCAGATGGCGTCGGTGTCGGCAAAGTACTTGCCGGCCTCGGCACGGATGAAGTCGTCCAGACCCTCGGAGCCGTACTCCTCCATACCCTCGAAGCACATGAGGAGGTTGACGGGGAAGTCAACGCCGGCCTTTTGGTGGGCCTCGATGGCGTTAAGCCAGCCGAGGACGGGGCCCTTGTCGTCGGTCGAGCCGCGGCCGAACATGCGGCCGTCGGCGTCGACGGTCAGCTCAAAGGGCTCGGTGGCCCAGCCGTCGCTGCGGTCGGCGGGCTGGACGTCGTAGTGGCCGTAGACGAGGATGGTGCGCTTGGAGGCGTCGCGACCGTAGCGGGCGACGACGACGGGGGGCAGCTCGAGGTGCTCCTTGTGCGGCTGCTTGCCGAGCGGGCGCAGCTCGACCTCGGCGCCGAGGGCCTTGAGCTCGCCGGCGAGGAAGTGGCCCATGCGGACGACGTCGGGTCGGCGGGCATCCTCGGCGGAGATGGAGGGGATGGCGACGGCCTTGCGCAGGCGCTCAATGAAGGCGTCGGCGAGGTCGTCGACCTGCTTGAAGTAGCCGTCGAGGCTGGGGGCCATTTTGAGAGCCTGGTGCGCGCGGACGGCGTCTGTGAGGTAGGAGCGGCGGGAGGTCGGGAGGTGAGACGAGGGCGAGGAGAGTTTGGATGATACGGCGGACGGCAACGGACGAGCGGTGCTGGTTGTGAGTGTGGTGATGGTGGTGATGGAGCGGGGAAGAAGAGGAGGAGGCTGTTGACGACAGCAGTGCAAGGCAAGACGTGCAAGTTGAGTGCGGGGCATGTTGCCCTCCCTCTTTTCTCTGAGGGGGAAAGTCACGGAACGAAGGAACCTGGATAGCAGATTTGCACTGCACCTTGTTTGCTGCATGTGGCGGGGCAGAGACGGGTATCACCGGCCAAACAACGCCCAATAAACGACGGTGAGAAATAAATCCATGACCAACTGTTATTTCCAAGCTAAACATAGCCCTTTTTTTATACGGAGTAAAGCTCCCTTTTGGGTGCAGCCTGACAGCCTCAGGTCCTCTTCACGACCCCCGTTCGTCTCCACGCCCCCGCCCAGAGCAACAAGACTCCGAGCTCTAACGAGCTCCGGCTCCGACGATGGCTCCAGACACCACCACTGTCAGCAAGCCAAACTCAAGTCCGACATCCTCAACGGCCATTGTCCAGGCCCACGATGTAACAGCCTCTATCCGGGCCGTCCCCACGGCGACAACCCGCAGTCCGTCCTACACCCGCGCCTTGCTCTTCAACCTGGCCTCCTTCATCCTCCCCGCCCTCTACAGCACCCTCTCCAAGCTGTGGGTGGCCCGCATCGACGCCTCCCTCGTCGCCACCACCGACGTCTACACCTATATGGGTGTCGTCGTCGAGGTCGTCAACGAGGGCCTGCCCCGCGCCGCCTGGGTCGTCATTGGCGATGCCGCTTCGCGCAGCCTGGCTCGCCGCCTGGCCCTCGCGCACACCCTGTTCCTCACACAGGCCCTGCTCGGCCTCGTCCTAAGCGTCGCCTTCGCCTCCGGCGCCGCGACCTTTGCCGCGTCCTTCGTGCCGGGACAGGCGCGCCACGTGAGCGTCCTGTATGTGCAGCTCACCGCGTTCACCGCGTTGAGCAGCACCGTCGAGGCGGCAGTGTCCGCCGCTACCAGGGCGCTGGACCGGCCCGACGTCCCCTTCGTCATCAGCAGCGCCAAGTTCGCCGTCAACATTATCCTGGATCTCTTGATCGTCTCGCCGTTCCACGTGGGCAGCCACACGCCCTCAGTGCTCCATCAGGCCGCCATCCTGCTTACTTGCAACCTCGTATCCGCCTCGGTCGGCGTCGTGTACTTTCTCTGGCGCAACTCTAGGGTCGCCCTCTACACGCTTCATAGCCATAGCCGTGAGTCTACCCGTCCCAGCCTTCGCCTCTTGCTTGTACTCGCCCGCCCAGGCCTCTTCACCTTTGCCGAGTCCGCGATTAGAAATGTTCTGTACCTCTGGCTCGTCGCCAACATTGTTTCCATGGGCTCCACGTACGCAACTGCCTGGGGAGTGTTTAATACGATCCGCTGGGGCTTGATCATGGTCCCTGTCCAAGCTCTGGAGCAAACGTCCCTCACATTCACCGGTCATATATGGGGAGCCTTCAGAAGCAACATTGGGACGTCAACTTTGCGGCCCGTTGTGGGACTCCGCACGATCCTGTCTATAATGCGACCAGCTGCGACTTCTTTCCTATTGGCCCTAGTTTTCGAGGTCCCCATGTGCTTGTTCCTGTCCTTCTTCGGCGCTCGACCCTTTGCCCGTTATCTATCTGGCTCAGACGACGTCGCCGACGTCACAGCCATGATGTGGCGTACTATAGACTGGTGCTACATCTTCTATGCCATGTCAACCCAGATGGCCACCATTTTACTGGCAACGAGACCACGCTGGTATCTATGGCAAAGTCTGGTGAGCAATCTATTGTATGTGTTGCCTTGGGCCATCGTGTGTCAAACGGCCAACCTGGATGCAGCAGGGGCCTGGACATATCATTCCTTTGTTTTTGGGGGAAGCTTGGTCTTTAGTTTTGTGGATATCCTTCTCGTTGATGCGCTGTGGGTTTGGACCCTTCATACTGGCAGGATGAGACTCGAGACCCTCAGAAAGTGAGCCTCGACGACGGTGACACGACCCAGTACATTATCTCCTTCCCGAAAGTCTGAAGATTTTTATCTTTCAACACTGTCCTGGTGTCGGCGGTGGGCTATTATGAATTTCCTATTGCCCAATCTTGCCCAATCTTGCCCAATCTTGCCCAGGATGTGCATCACTTGACTGACACCAGAACCCGCGACCAAGTCTTCTGGCCCCTCTGCGACACAAAAAGTAGCTATTGCTGTCTCAAATGTCTGTTGCAGCCGTCGTGTTGTGCATTGCAGTCCTCTTTGTCCTTCGCTATCGCCAAGGGGCAAAGAACAACAGCGCGGCCGCAGCGGTCGCCAACGAACAAAGCCAGTCGCACTTAGATGGCGGCTCATGCGTAGCGGAACGGGAGGCGGCGATGAAGGCCGGCTCACTCGAGCTGGCGTCTACTGTTTTGCCTACAGAGCTTCCTGCAGGCGACCAGCGCAGGGCCGCGCACCATTACAGTGTAGAGCTGCCGGGATGTGTGCCGCAAAGTCACCCGTAGTCGGAACGAGGCCGCTATTCGCCAGCGTTATGCTTGCTGGGAGAGGGATCGCATCGGGAAGGCTCGATTTCGGAGATGGAATACAGAATGCCGAAACGGAAATGCAAAGTTCAGGATTGACTGGCATACTCAGGACATATGCCAATGTCAGGGAGTATATGACAATAACACGCAATTTGGCAGACACGTTCAAAATTAAGTTACAAATAGCATCACCTTGTATTTTCTAGTGTCTGTGTCGTGATCGTAGAGGGCGGGTTCATGAAGGGTGGACTGGCGGCATCCACGAGCCGAACTTGTTGAAAAGCTTGTCATCCTGGGAGCCGCTCTCGCTCGTTTCGTCTATTCTGGTGCTTCCGAAATCGTCCTGGACGGCTGCATTACTATCCACCTCAATGCTTGGTAAGACGTTCTCATCTGCTGTCGTGTCGCCAACTGCGGTAGCCCGGCCGCTTGCTCCGCCTGAACGTAATTGCGCCAAGAGACTTTCGACCATGCTCTCAAGCTCTTCGATCCGTGAAGATGACGTATTCGTCTTGCGCGTGACACCACGCTGCCGCATGGAGCCCCTCGGCTGACAGACCTTACCAAGGCGATGACATCTCCGGCACTCGTTGGTGGTCCTGTCGCCAGACATGGCAGCACATTTGCTTTTTGCTTTGAAGCAATTCGAACACGCTAGTCCATACGGACCTGCGTGACCGGGGCCATGCCTATCCATGTTTTCTTTATGTTGGTAGCCGCGCTGCTGCACCGGCCTGTGAGTCTTGGTAGAGCCGCCCATTAAGGTCTGTATTGGCTGTGCTTTTTCGGAGATATTAGCTTGCGAATTGAACCAGAAATCGTCGAAAATGCTAGATGGGATGTACCATGCCTTCTTCGAGGAATATTCTAAAATAACATACTGCCAATTGTGCACGACGGTCTTGGTGGTCGTTTGGCGTAAGTTAGCTATGGCTCAGCGTCCGTGGTGCACTTTGACCGACCTTGGCTATCAAAAAGGAACTTTCAAAATTCACAAACATGTAGCATTATAAATATATATATTGCAGCGTATTTTTTCCGTTCGCTGAAATTCCGGTCGTAAATCTCCGGCTTCCGGGGTGGATTGGTAATGAATGGGACGGAGTTAGACGGTGTTTATCTAGGCCTGAGCCGGTCTCTAGACGGGCTCGGCTTAGAAACAGTGTCCATGACTGGTTAGAGGTCAGTTGAATGAATTTTTACAACCAATTTCGTGGATTTCGAGGCTTGTCTTTGTTTTCTGTTTCTTTTCTTGTTACTCGTCTTGTCACAGCTTCCTAAACCAGTTGGGTGTTATGATTCAAGTCTCAGTAGGTGACAAGGAGGTGGACCTAGAGCGGGTGAGCCCAAGTACCTAATAATGTAGATCTATGCCTTCTTTAATTCCAATAGTATTTCATGAAAATATGCAAAAAATCAAATGTAAACAAAAAGGGGATATCGATATCTGGCGATTGCTGCCACTTGCCAATGCCTTTCTTCGTTCTAGACCCTGTACAAGTGTCGCAAAGTACTAACTAACTTAGTTAGTCCAAAGAAAGAGTACCGAGAACGGATACTTGATCACTTGAGCAAGGCTTCCAAAGTCCTTTGTCCAGCTAGCTGGTATCCGGAATAAGTATTACCCGACCCGGACTCCTCGGTGAAGTGAACGCCACCGGCTCCGCCCGCCTTAATTTGCCTGCTGCGCCCGCTTCTCGCCTCCTCCTTTCACCCTCCTGCATCACCTGCTCGTTTCCATTCCATCCATCAAATTGCACAGCTATCGGGCACGGCACATCTGAAGGCCCTTAGTTGTCTACCTATTTCTTCTCGGAGGCTTCCTCGTAGCTTTTTCGACACCCGCGCGCGGCTCCTGCCTGGCTCGTGACCTGCTGAAACGCCACCCGATTGTCTGCGTCTCTCGAGCCAGCACGTTCCCTTGCATCGGTGCACGATTTGATAGATACTGGGAATTAGCTAACGAGGTTCTTCGCTGCTACCAGAGGTTTCGTGGTTGCTTGATAGTGAGGAGGAGTCTGGGACTGTTTGTTTTCCTGTTGGCTTCGGCCACGTGTACTCGTCATCGTGCCCAGTTCCCTTTGCATTTCCATTTCCATTTCCATTTCTCTTTTTTCAAGTACAATCAATTTATTATTTCCATTTGACCTGAAAAGGCGATTGAGTGCAAGAAAGGAACAATCAAAGAAGAAAAATCGAATCCTTGCAACAAACAAACGGATTCCGGTGCGAAGAAGGGATCAACAGCCACCTCTGAAGTGAGCAAGCCGGCTTCACCTTGAAAGGGCTACTTGACTCTTGGGAATCAAGCTTTTCAGTCAACACTTGAAAAATGGCCTCTTCGGTCTTTTTCAAATTCAAGTCACAGAAGGAGCCGACGAGGGTAGAGTTTGATGGCACCGGCATCTCGGTCTTCGAACTCAAGCGCGAAATCATCATCAAGAGCGGCCTGGGAGATGGAACGGATTTCGACCTCTTGATTTACACCGACGACAACAGCGAAGGTAAGTCTTGCAGCTCTCGCATTGCAAGCGGATAGATGGCTAACCCACCGCAGTCTATGATGATGATACAACCATTATTCCTCGATCAACCACGGTCATTGCCCGACGTCAACCTGCGGCCAAGCCGGGCGCAGGTAGAGCGGCCCGATATGTCACCGGCAAGATGCCTGTCGCGGCCAAGAATGCCGGGCGAAAGGAACAGACCGCCAAGGTCCCAGCAACCAAGACGTCGGGGGTGGCCATCAACCAAATGAACAATGCCATGACGGAGGAAGAGAAGATGGCCGCCATGTTTGCCGCCCAGACGGAACAGTGGTCCGCTCAGCAGGAAGAGCTTTCTCAGTATGTTGAGCCCAATACTATGTACAATGACGAATGCTAACAATCAGCAGCCAAGCACCTGTCTTCAAGCCCGGTGCCAAGCGACCGGTTAACGTGCCAGATCACGAGCCGCCAAACGGATACATTTGCTATCGGTGTGGTAACAAAGGCCATTGGATCCAAAGCTGTCCCACAAATGACGATCCCGACTTTGACAATAGACCACGCGTGAAGCGTACGACCGGCATCCCGCGTTCATTTTTGCAAAAGGTGGATAAATCTGACATTTTGGCCCAGTCAGAGGGCGACGAGTCCAAGAGGCCATCTGGTATCATGGTGAACGCCGAGGGTGACTTTGTCATCGCAGAGCCCGATAAGGCAGCATGGGAAAAGTATCAAGCCAAGGCTGCCAAGTCGGCTTCGGCATCTAAGGAGAATGAATCGGCCAACAAGGAGATTCAGGACCGTGGATTGGAGTGCTCTATTGATAAGAGGATGTTCATAGATCCAACGAAGACGCCCTGTTGCCAAAAGACGTTCTGTAACGACTGCATCAGCAATGCTCTTATGGACAGTGACTTCGTCTGCCCTAGTTGCCAGACAGAAGGCGTTCTCTTGGATGATTTGCAACCGGATGAAGAAGCTTCCAAGCAGATCCAGGAATATTTAAAGGAGAAGGAAGCTGCTAAAGCCAACCCAGCAGCTGCCGCCTCACCAAAGGATGAGGCGAAAACAGAAGAGAAAGAGGCGGAGAGCACTTCCTCCAATATTGAAGTAAACGGGATCTCTGCTGAGGTTGAGGCTCCGCAGAAGTCGGAAGACACCGAAACCTCAGACGCCAAGGAAGAGTCGCATTCCCCGGAGAAGACCATGTCACCAAAGAAAGCCGCAGACCCTGAAAAGTCTCCAGGGAACAACGACACTAAAGAGGTTGCTCCGCCAAAGAAGCGACCCGCTGAGGAGCTGCTGGAGAACCCCAAAATCCCCAAAGGACCTCGCGCCATGCAAAACCAACAAAACATGAACTATATGAATGGTGGCATGAACGGTATGAATGGTATGAATGGCATGAACGGCATGAACGGCATGGATATGAACATGATGTTCAACAACATGGGAATGATGCCAAATATGATGGGTATGCCTAATATGAACATGATGAACATGGGCATGGGGATGCCCAACATGGGGATGCCAAACATGATGGGGATGCCAAACATGATGGGGATGTCCGGGTTCAACGGCATGAACAATGGCTTCGGCGAGGGCGGCTGGGGAGGAATGAACATGAATGGGATGGGGAACATGGGCATGGGGGGCGACATGGGTCCCATGAATGGTATGAATGGAGGATTCCAGAACGGCGGCAACGGCCTCCATCAGCAAGGAGGTAACGGGGGAGGCGACGATGACGCGTATATGCGCAAGCCCGTGAACCCGCACCGACAGCAGAACAAGATGCGTCGCATACGCCCAAGCGATTACAGAGAGCTCTAGAGGAGCCGCTGATTGGAGTCTGTTGAAACATGGCGTTTTTTGTTGTTTTGGTTATTGTTTTTTTGGCGCAACTCACAGACATATATATACACATGGAGGCGCAGGGCGTTTTTTTTTTTGGGCAAGTTTTGGATGGGATGGGGGGAAGGGCAGGACGAGCAGTCCGTGTTGTGCTGGCTCGGCTCCGGTCTGTAACAAGGCAATGAAGATGATGGATAGCTTGAGAGGTGAACATTACTCTTGGGCTGGAAATGCTACCGTCATTAGGAATCAGGAATATGACTGAGACATGCTGTCAACAACAGGCTCTCTTCTGCGTTGCCAGATAATTCGGTGCATCTTTAATTGACTCGTTCTATCAAACAACCTCTCTACCTTATGCCGTGTGAATGCCAGGCTGTGCTGCCTTTGCCAACCGTGCTCTCCATGTAATGGCAACACTCTACCCACGTAAAGCCAACTCCTAACGTAAATAACCCATTGATTTTTTTCTACATTTCTTCATGTCCAATTGACGTCATATCTTCATGTGCAGTGGAAGCTTCTCCAAGTTCACTGCGGGGGGACGTAGGGGTGTACGAGCATGTCGCTAAACTTCTCCAGCCTCTCCTTGCCGCGGACCTCGTCGACGAGCAGGGGCATCTTGACGACGTTGAAGTCCTCCGCGTAGAGCTCCTCGTACTGGTCCAGGTACTTGGCCTGCATCTTTCTCCGGGCCGTGCACTGGTCGCAGTCGGACCCCGATTTGGGAAACAGCAGCTGGTTGACGACGATGGAGCGGGTGTCGATGCCGTAGCCGGTGAGCTCCTGGATCATGCGCTCCGTCTCGTAGAGGCTGAGGAACTCGGCGATGCAGACGCAGACGAAGGTGGTGAGGTCGGCGTCCTTGAACTGGGCGTTGACCTCGGCGATGGTGGCGCGGAGGGACTCGAGCTTCTCGGTCATGTCGGCGAGGGACTGGCCGTTGGGCAGCTGCGCGTTGGGGCCGAGGAAGCCGGTGAGGAGCGGGCCGTACTGGGCGGAGAGCTGGGCGAGCTTGGCGAGGGCCTTTTCGAGGACGGTGGGGAACTGCAGGAAGCGCAGGGTGTGGCCGGTCGGGGCGGTGTCGAAGACGATGGTCTCGTAGGAGAGGGACTTGACCTGCTTGAGGACCTCGGCAAAGGACATGGCCTCGTCGATTCCGGGGATCTGGGAATTTTTGTCAGTACATGAAGCGGGTGGTGAAAGAGAGGGAGAAGGGGGCAGCTTACGGAAAAGGCGAGGTCCTGCATCATGCCGCCCATGCCGGAGCTGGCGTCGTCCTGCTCGGCCTGGCCGGCGAGCATGTCCTGCATGCTGCCGTTGGGGTCAATCTCCATGGCGCTGAGGTTGTCGAAGCCGTTGACGAGGCGGGCCTCCTTGCCGAACTTTTGGGAGAAGGCGTCGGAGAGGTTGTGGGCGGGGTCGGTCGAGATGAGCAGGACGGAGCGGCGGACGCGGGCGAGCTGGATGGCGAGGGAGCACGAGGTGGTGGTCTTGCCGACGCCGCCCTTGCCGCCGACGAAGATCCAGCGGAGGGAGCGCTGGTCGAGCAGCGACTGCAGCGACGGCTCGAGGGCGTCGTCGTCGGCGGAGATGATGGCGGTGGAGGACATGGTTGAGGAGGGGGTGGGGGGGTGACGCGGGGTTGCGAAAGAGGGCGCGGGGAGAGGGGGGTACCGAAGAGGTAAGGTTTCAATGAAGGGGCAAGGAAAGAAAACTGAAGACAAAGATTAAAGAAGATGGTCGCGGATACGGATGATGGTGGTGGATGGCAAGGCGGAGGGCCGAGTGCGGTGACGTTGTTGGAGGGACCAAATTTCTTGGTACCTATAAATCTTAGGTGGCGGCTGGTGCCTTGCGCTTTTGCGCCACCTTTTCCCCTCCAAGAGTGTGGCGGCCAAGTACATGGGTAAAAGTTCACGAATGCACGCGCAGTACCACGGTTTGCACAAAACAATACCAAAAGACAGGAAAACAAGGCAAGCAAACGAAAGATTCCAACGTAAGAGCATGGTAGTCGACAAAGGAAATGACATTAAAACGAGCGACAACTACCTCTAGGGTAGGGAGGATAGGCTAGACTAACAAAAGGGTATCTGGTTTAAGCTACAAGAGTAGCAAGAACGTAACAAATTAAGTCTTAGGGGGAGCGGACTCCTTCGGAGAGTGCTTGTCGGTCTCGGTAATCTTCCCAGCGCTCGCGCTCTTGAGGCTTTCGCTCATGAGGCTGGCGCTTCGGCTGCTGAGAACGGGCGTCACCAAGCTCCAGGGGAACACATCCCCCGAGGACGTGTTCCACGGTATCGGCCGATCGGTGTTTTGGAAGATGCCATCGGCGAGGTTATCTTTCCTAGACTCGCGGGTGGCAATGCAGGGCGACGGGCTCGGATCGCATGTCTTGGTGCCCAGCTTTTCCGGCGGGCACTGCGTAGTAGGGGTTGTGAGTTTTTTTTTTTGTTTTTTTTTCTCTTTTGCCTTGAGAGAGAGAGAGAGAGAGAGAGGGAGAAAAAAAAGAGGGACTTACGCAAATCTTGCACCGTTCGATGGCTCTCTTCAGGTACTCGTCCTCGTACTTGGGCTGCGGCCAGACGCCGGCGCGCGCCCAGCAGTTGTCGCACATGTCCGTGCCGGCCCAGGGCCAGCCGGCGGTGAGGATCTCGGCGAGCTGGATGATGGGCGTCCAGAGCCTGCGGGTCGTCGTCGTCTTGGTGGCCTTGGGCGGCTTGGTCTTGGTGGCGAACGTCGTCGACGGCGAGGGGCGCGCCTCCGATGGGTTGATGGTCGACGTCTGGAAGGTGGTGGGAACGGACGACGACGACGATGTCGACTTGCCCATCGAGAAAGAGGCGGCAGAGGTGGCCACGATGACAGTGGAGAGCTTCATCCTGTTTGTCTTACTGGTGAAGGTGCAGAAACAAAGAAAGAAGAGGGACAAGGGAAGGGAACGAGAGACGGGCCGGTTGTGTTGAGAAAGAAGGCGGCTGGCGAGATGAAAAGAGCGTGGGAAGAGGAACTTGATTTATAACCACCGCCACACCATGTTTGATCAAGTCCAAGGCTTTCTTCTTTTGATCCCGTGGCTGGTGCAGAATTTGCGAATGAGGGTCTGGTGCGGCCTGAAGCCATCGCGGCATGTGTTGGTTCGCGGTAGCGTCTCGAAGGCGACGACGCAAATGTCACGGACAAGTCTCCGGTACTAGAAATGCGCGTGTGGCGGTACTTGTGCTCTACATGACACTACGCTGCAGCGGCGGAGGCTAGAGAGGGCTGAACGAAAGTTAAGATGGTCGTGATGATTCATTTGAGAGGGCAGGCTAACCAGAAGGCGCACGCGACTTGGTGTTGTTGAGCAAAATTGCAAAACGTACGCGAGGTTCCCGTGTTGGTGACAAAAACAAGAAATATAATACAACATGAGGGGTCAATCCTCTGAAGCCACCGACCTTTACAGCCCTTGGTAGCCAAAGCTTGACACTCACTCACGGCTCCCCGTTGCGCTTGAACAGCAACAGCGTGCCGTCCATCACGATCCTCACGCCGTGATCCCCTTGCAGCACCTCCTCCATCTCCCTCCTCAGCCTCCTCACCACGTCCCCCTCCCCCCGTGCCCAACCTGTCCCTGTTCGCCGCACGCCCAGCGCGTCACCGGGCTGAGCGTGCCCGTCGCCGCCTCCACCAACGTCCAAGCTCACCGCACGCTCGCCGCCCGCCATGAACCCCAAACTCTCCAGCCTCGCGGCGCTCGAACGCGGCCTCGTCGAAGCCCGCGATCGGCGGGTCCAAGGTCCACGGCAGCGGCAAGCGAGCGGTACCGGTTCCGGAAGAGCAGGTTGCCGGGGAGGCAGTGCGGGAGCAGGGTCGCGCTCGACGAGCCGCTGCAGGAGCGCGCGCCGAGCGCGGGCGCGCCGGGTGTGGACGGGTGCACGACGCGCTCGCCGGGGATCCAGAGGGCGACCGTGCCGCCGGGGCGCAGGGCCTGCAGGGCGGCGCGCGCCAGAAACGCGGGGCATGTCGAACCAGTGCGTGCGCCGCGCTGGCCGCGGTAAATGCGGTCCGCGCTGCCGGGGTTGATGTCCCGCGCACCGCAGAGAGGTCCTCGGCCGCGGATGCGTACAAGGACGGGGCGGCGCGCCGGTCTTGGGTCGTCGCACCGGCGGCGCAGGGCTCAGGGCGTCCCCGGCTCGTGGCGCGCCATGGACGGGCGAGGCGTCGAGGCCCGACGCCCGCGTGAGAAGTTGCGGGCCGAGGGCACGGGTTACGTTGCCCGGGCCCCGCAGCCGACGGTCGGGAGAGGAGCGCCTCGCGGCCGCCGGTGGACTGGTGGAAGCGCAGCAACGGCCGAGTACAGCGCGGGGCTGTATGTAGTCTTGCCGGCCGGTGGCGGGCGTACGACTCGGCCTGTTGGTCGTCGTCGTAGTTTCGAAATGTTTCTTCCTTGGCTGCGGCGGCGGCGGCCATGCTTGATGTGAGTCTGTTGCTGAGGGTGGTGATGGTACCAATGGCAGCGAAAGTTGTCGGATAGTTAGTGAGGCAACCAGGCCGAGGCAACGACGTGCGGCTCGGGATCAAAGGGAACGGGCGGCTTTATAGGACCACGCTTTCCAGCTGCCATGATGAGCATCGGGCGGTGACCGGCCGCGGAGGCTTGATGGCGACGATAGCCGCAGCGGCCCCCATGGCGTCCCTTGAATGAGTATCCGTGTACGGTTTGGCATTCGAGGATCCCGCCCAACAATGGCGATGCTAGCCACAGCCAGCTGGATACGGCATAGCGTAGCGGTCTTGTCGGTGCCCGATTGAGCGACCAAGTTGTGACGGCGTCAGACTGTCAAGATGCCAGGTGTGGTAACTCGTTGTGCCTTGTACAAAAGGTGAATGGAAGGGCCAAGTTGATTTCTGTTGGTTAGATGAAAAATTGTCGTAAACTCTCAGGCCCGCGGCAACGCTGGTGGTTGTCCATCAATCAACGCCAAGCGTCCCCGGCCCGGCCGGCACCCGCCGAGCGGCCCCCTTTCAAGCTGTGGGGGTTTGGCGGGGGAGAGCTTCCTGAACCATTTGCCTCCAACTTGCATTCTTTCATCAACAACCCATTTTCCAACCTTGACTACTCTCCTCTCTTCGGACAACAGTACACCCCCTCTCTCTCATCGCGAAATTTTTGTTCATCCTCACGCAACATGGCGACGCCGCAAAAGGACCCCATCACCTGCCACGTCCTCGACACCACCGCCGGCCGCCCCGCCGCCAACATCGCCGTGCGCCTCGAGGGTCCCGAGACGACCACCGCCGCCTCGCCGCACCGGTACACGGCCGTGACCGACGCCGACGGCCGCGTCACCCGCTGGCAGCCCGATGACCCCTTGGCGCCACTAGCAGACGCGCTCGCCAGCGTTGGCAGCGCGACGTCGCGGTGGCGGCTGACCTTCGCCACCGAGGCGTACTTTGGCGAGGGCCGGACCTTCTTCCCCGAGGCCGTCGTTGTCTTTCGCGTGCAGCAGGGCCAGCACTACCACGTGCCGCTGCTGCTGAGCCCGTTTACGTTTACGACGTACCGCGGGAGCTAAGGGGGTCGACGCATGCGATACCTGTGAGGCGGGTAAGGGGAGGTTGGACAAGGCGGATGGAGAAAGAAGGGCAATTTGAATTGAATTTGACATCGTCTACATAAAAAGATAGTTATGGCTTGGAATGTCAACACTTTAGCTAATGCAGCTCAGACAATGGCCCCGTTGGCGTACGCTGTGGACCGCCCAGGGAAAATGAAAATGAAATGTACAGTTGAACCCAACTCCGGCGCTTAATTAAAAAAGAATGATATGATGATAAAAGACAGAAATGAGGCATCAAGTCGTGAAGCCGGTCAAGATGAAGCATAATTTCCTTGTCTTCCTTTTTCAATACTGTTTCGTTGACATGCCTTTACCGTCGACGAAACTTGTTCAGCAACCGCCTTTTCGACTTGACAGACGCGTCATCCGGCGATGTGGGCGGCGTCTCCTCCTCATCTCGCCTGGTCGTCGCGAAGCTGTCCCGCGCGTACTTGGAGCCCATCGGGCTGGGAGGCGTCTCGACGATGGACGGCTGCGAGTTGCTGTGCGGGCGGCGGAGCGGCTGGCGGTGGCTGCTGCTGCTGCTCCTCTCCCGCGTCTGCGGGCGGGAGTCGCCGCCGCCGCCGCCCGGCGCCGTGGAGGACACGAGGGAGACGGCGCTCTGGCCGGCGGACGACTGGGACGCGGCGAGCGCGCCGTGGACCAGCGTCCCCTTCCTGTGCTTCTTGGAGCGGTGCAGGAAGGACAGGCCAGTACGCTTGCGGGTGAAGTCGACGTGGACGTCCTCCTGGCCGATGCAGGCGTTGGGGGAGAGGTCGGCTTCGGGGTGCGGAAGGGTCGTGTTGCGGCCTGTGATTCTTGTCAGTTCTCTTCGCCTGGGGCCATCGTCTTGGATCAATGCCAAAAAGGGGGTCTCAGTTGGGTATCTTACCGGAGCAAAAGGGCTCAGGAAAGCCCGTGTCTCGCGGTAGGTGAGCGGCGCGGATGGAGTTGGAAGGAGACATGGTTGCGTGATGATGGAAGCATTCAATCCGACGTTGGATAGATGGGAGCGGCGAGTAGTTTATCGGGAGACGGGTAGAGAGTTTGTTTGGAGTATTTCGGAGCGCGTGCTGAAGTAGCAGGTAGATTAACCAGGTAGATGATGATAGTCGTGCGGTAATGGATGTCGTTGGGCGCCAGGCTAGAAGCGAGACGTGCCGTAGTGCAAACGACCACTGGGTGATTCCTGGCCGGATAGGAAAGCCACGCTCGCAGTCAAAGAAAAGGACGTTATTCCGGTGGAAAATACCGATGGTAATGCAAGGTGAGGGAGAACAAAGCCACAGTCACGGTAGACTTCGTGCCATGTGAAGCAGCGAAAGAGGCGCTTCGACAAGGAGTGACACCCAAGGGAGGACAAGGAGAGCGAGGGTCTGGGTGGCGGTGGGTGGTGTTGCTGTATTGACGGAAGGACGGAAGGACGGGGGCCGAGAGTCACAAAAAAAAAAAAAGCCCAAGTCTTTCAGTTTATCCGCCTTGTGAAGTGTGCGTGTGCCGAATCTCGGTCGGAGGTACTTTTGAACTCCTGGGCGCGGGAAATGTTGAGGAGGCTTGGCTTGGGATGCAGATGACGACGCAGGCTGAGTCGAGTCGAGCTTATTATTACCTTAGTAGCTAGGTTGCAGTGGGTGTGTTGTCGCGGCCGGCGTGGGAAAGGATGAACGAACAAAGGTTGGCGACGCAAGTTTTTTGGGGGAGAAAAGAAAAGATGATGAAGGATGTGGAAGACGTGGAATTATTAATAAAGAATCACAGGGGAAGAGCAAAGGAAAATGCTATCCGCCTCTTGTTGAGAAAGGGGGCATCGACTGGGCCACATCTTGTCGTGCCGATTTCCCGGGGTAGAAGATAGAAACGACGACAATGCAGTGCCAAGCGGCGGGTCTTCTTTTTAATGATTCAACGTCATCAGCGAGACGACGACGCTAGTTTCGAAATCCTGGCGCCCTGTCCTATGAAGAAGCCAAGCAAATACGCCGCAGGAGTGGGAAACGCGCAATCTTGGGGTGACATGGGGAACGGGGGGTCGTGCAGGGATCACGGACAGAAGAAAAGGCCCCTGTCGAGCTGGTTGGCTAGGGATGATTTGCCTGAGGAATTGCCACGGAAAAAAAAAAAAAAAAAAAAAAAAAAAAACCACCAAACAAGGCCAGCGTCAACCAAGGCGGCAAACCGGAATTCGGCAGCCCATCTTACGTGGTGAGTAACAGTCCGACAGGTTTTGATACAATGCATGTGTACCGAGCACGCAGGTATCGAACGACTGCATCATCCAAGCTCCATTTCAGCTTGTCCCATGCCAGAGTGGCCTGCGCAAGAAATGTTAAGCATAGCCTCGAACGAGAATAATCAAGTCAAGAATACCATCTTTTGTTTGCCAACTAGCCTCGCAGGGCTGACGGAAGCTCCCGCCCGTAACCCGCCCTAGTACGGAGTACTGAGGTGCCTTTCTACTAACTATGTATGTATGTACAGTATGTATGTAGGTACCTAACTAATTGCGCTACTACCTACTACTGGAGTGCGACGAGCCGAAAATGCTGTACAGTTCTCTCTGCACATACGGCTGCAGATCCGCCCTCTTTTTTTTTTTTTTTTCTCTTTTTTCTCTTTTTTCTCTTCAATGAAATCACTGTCACATGTTTCAAGTATCGCCAAGTTCCAACAGTCCCCCAGTGTCTGTACCAAACCGCCTCGCAAACACAACGAGCTTGCCACCCATCACCATCCCAACACAGAGCACAAGTTCTCGGCGGATGGAAAATGGCTACGATGCATTGCTGCTACTAGCTCGTTTGCAGGCGCGGATCTAACTCTTGCCATTTTTATGCTTATATCCCCTCGAGATGAGTGTCACGCAAACCTGCCTACACACCACCAGCCACATCGCACATCGCGCATCGGACACACTAGCCAACCTCTCAACCACCTGCTCCGCCTTGGCCACAGCTCCCCTTTCAGCAGCCGAGGATGACATCTCGCCACGCGACATGCGAGACCTACGAAGATTTTCAATCTACCAACAGCTTCTCCACATCCTCCTCCTCCAGCTCGGGGAACCGCTCCTGGAAATACGGCTCCTCACCCTCATGATACATCACATGACCGAGCCGAGCGCAAAGATATCGTCCCGTAACGTCGCAGTGAATAACGTCAACCGCGTGGAGGAGCGCTGACGGCAGAGGCCACTTCCAGCGTTTTCGTAGCTAGGCGGAGATGGATGCCGATGGCCTTCGATAATTTGTGAGGCTTCCGTGCTCAACCTCCACAGTGAGGCCGCACCTTTCTGGTACCAGTTGATTAATTTGCGGACATATACGCAGTCCCGAATTCATGAGTGCGAGAGCGAGTTATTGTGCACACGGCCCAAGGAGGGGGTAGCATCAGGTTGTAAAGTCTTGTCCGCATGCGTGCTGGCAAACGACGACCGACGTTGCATAATGTGCCGACTTCTTCCGTTCCGTTTCCACCCAGTTGTCGAAGCCTGAAGCACCGATTAGGGAGCGACTGCAGAGGGCACAGCTCCAGCGCTGCAGGTATCGAAATTATGTGATAATATGATGCAAGAGTGCTGCGCCTCGCTGTGGCCTGCAGCCAGCTGGACAGGGCATGAGTTGCGCCAGCCCGCCCTTGAGAGTTTGAGTACGCGGAAGTTGCCGCCAGCCACAGCAACAAGATGTCAAAAAGGCTATACAAAAGCTCACATGGCTAGAACTTCTTGTTCTCTTTGAAAAAGAATGCTGATACTGTCGAGCGAATTTGTCGGCCCGGTGCAGAGCCCGCCGGGTGCTATGGATATCAATGTAAGACTTTCAACACTGCAACAAGGGCTGCGAATTCATGTCGGAAACAAGGTATGTAAGATTTTCGCTCTTTTTTCAGCCAATTTCGCTTCTGCCTCGCCAATCTCGTCGTAGAGTCCATTCTCCTTCAGATACGCCGTGTACCGTTCAGACGCTCTGAGTTGCTCGGCCGCTTCGGCTGCCAGTGCTGCATTCTTGCTGTCCGCAAAGAAGCGATCCACAGCCTCTTCTCGCGAGTCGCTAAACATTTTCGGAAACAGGAAGTCGTAAAAGAGGCGCTCGAGTTTGTTGGGGTGGCAGAATATTTCGGCCATGGCCAATGTGCCCGGCCCCCCGATTTGCCTCCAGTGACGCTTGAGCTCCTGATGCTCGCTCAACTGCAGGGCCATTTGAAAGTCGGATGAAATTTCTTTTGGTGGCGGGAGGAAACCGCGGCCGTCATGACCTGTCGCCCATGCCGGCGGCCGAAACAGGCACAGCGGCACTGTCCCCGCAAACTCCCAGTCAATGAGGCCTTGGATCCTGAGCTCTTTGTTGACCACGATGTTGGCATAGTGCAGGTCAGGGTGTGTGAGAATGAATGATTCAGCATCTTGTGATTGCAGGCAGTTCAGGCCTCGATGCGCTTCCAGTCGCAAGTGGTGAAGCGCAAAGGCCTGCTCCTTGACACGGCTGAGCGTACCGTCGATCAACGGCAAATGAGCTGATTCAGAGACAATGTCGAGATGATAATCCACGTAACTCGCGGCGGAACGAAGAATCCCGGGCACTGGGTGGCTGCTACTTGTTGACAAGAGCAGCTCATTCATTGGCATGCTGAGCAGTCCCTCAATACGAGGGTTGCCATCTTCGTCGGTACCGGGGAAAAGCGATTCAGAGACAGGAAATTGAAGTGTGAGAAATTGGGAATAGATGCCGATGAGATCCGAAAAGAGCTCTTTTCGCTGTCTTGACGTGGCGTTGCGAACCCGTCCCAGCGTCAAGCACTGGCCAGGTATATAGTCGCAGAGCAGGTACGGCTGAGGAGTTGAAGGGTCGTTAGTTACCCTTGCGTGCTGTCCATACGCCCATACCCTTGGCACCGAGACGGATGTGTGTTTTCGCAAATACCTGCTCAGATCAGACAGAGGCCATCAACAGACTCAACTCGTAATTAGCCGCGACTCACGCAAGCGTCGCCGCCTCGCTCTGCACCTTTCTCCAGCCATCACGCACGGCGGGCCGTAGCGGGAGACGCAACAGCCTCCTAGGTATTCTGCCAAAGAAGTCGAGGCACACGGATGCGTTGTAGCTTCCGCGGTCGATGCTGAGGACTCGACAAGGTAGGGCGTTGCTGTGTGAGGATGCGAGCTTGCAGATGGCAGCCTCATCGAGGGAGGCGAGGACGGCATCGCAAAGCCTTCCAATTGTCGCGCGGGGGATGGGAAAGTGCTCTGCCGGGTTCATGATAGGAGCTGCCTGTGGAGGAGATGCTGAAGGCAGCGCGATCTAGTGTGAAGGTGGCCCTGGATGCGGCGCAAGGAAATGTGGCCGTGCATTCTTGTAGAGTGGTAACATGAGGTTTGCGAAGGGAATCCGGGGCTTTGCAGCATCCTTATGTACCTACTGGGTATGCATTGTAATAAGGCACCGACAAGGTGCGATCAAGCTGTCAACGCGCAGGTTGTTGGGTACCTATGTATGTATGTATGTATGTACATATTTATGTACATACATACATACCTTCTACCAGTACCTACAGGCTCTCAGGCAACAAGCCCCACACTCCCACCCCAGGACAGTTATATCTGCCCTCCATATTTATCACTAATGCCCCTGAGACCGACAAGATGGAGTTGTTTCCATCGCCATTTACACCCATCCCATCCTACTCGCTGCCCGGACCAACGAGTTCAGCCGCATTACCAATTGACTCAATGTCTACGGAACGAGCCACTTCTCAAGATGTTAACAACCTAGCAGGGAAAACAGCACCGTACCAAGGTATCTCACGCTGTTTGCGTTCAAGACTATATCCCGATTCTATAAATGCGAGGGACCCTGTGTCCCTATCTCGAGAAGAACTATTGTGAAGAAAGGCACCAATGTCCATCCCACAGAAGCAGCGACCATGTCCTTCGTTGCTTCTCAGACCAAGATTCCAGTTCCTCGTGTACATTGTGTATTTACGCATCGAAATAATACCTACATATTGATGGAACGCGTACGTGGGAAAACACTAGCCGACGCCGTGCCTGATTTGTCTGAAACCGATCTCGAGCGCGTTCTTCTGCAACTTCGCGACATGCTGAAAGAGCTGTGTGCAATACCGGCGCCGGGCGCCGCTATCCAAAGCTGTCTGGGAGGCTCACTTAATGATTCTCGCATCCATCGGCAAGAGCCAAGGTTTGGCCCGTTTTCCTCAACACTAGAATTCCACGAATGGTTAAGAGAAGGCCTTGGACCGGAGCAAAAGCCAAAGTACGTTGATGACGAGGAATGGGCCGAATCAAGGACATGATTGCCCTGCAAAACCGGGGATGGCAGACGCCCGTCTTCACCCATGGCGGCTTGAACCCCTTCAACATTATCATCCGGGATGGGAAAATAGCAGCCATCATTGACTGGGAATTTTCAGGCTGGCTTCCGCGGTACTGGGAGTATACATCTGTTTGCCCGGAAACAAGACAAGAGAAGCATGGCAAGACATGGCAGCCAAGTTCATTGACCCTTGGCCTGCTGAACTTCGAATGGAAACTATCAGGCAGAGGTGGTGGGGGGACTTTTAAACTGGCATTCTGCGTGCATCGCCACGACCTCTTTCTTCTCCATCATACCACAGGTGGCGTGGGTTCCAAGATACGGCCCTTCTGCTTGTATCTCCCTGCTGCAGCTCTTTTCTTAACGTAGCGCGTAGCTTTCTCGTGAGCAGACTATTCGTGCTTTTATGCCAAGCCCTGCAACGGGTGGTTGTTGACATTGCAGGAAGAGATGCCCGTTTACGTGCATGATGGTAGCTCCGATTCAATTACTCATTCTAAGTGTACATCCCGCGGCAGCGTGAATTAAATCCCGGTGTATAAAAGAAGAAAACAAGAAAGGAAAAAGCCCACGACTGGATGGATTGCATAGCCTCGGGTACACACTCATGATGCTTCACGTCACTGTGGCTCGCCACCTCCGCCCAGCGATCGATGAAGATGACAGCCGCGTGCCTTGGCAGTAGTAGGCAGCAGAAAAAAGAAAGAGATCGAGCGCGCTCCGTTGCCAGGTTTGATCTGGAGGCGACGAATCAATGATGCTCCCGCAAAACAATTGCTGGTTACTGACGTATTTATGTCGTCCTCGAACCAACTCGGCCGCGTGGCTCGACGACCTGCACGGCAGCCCAGTCACCAGATCTGCTGGGCAGCCAGCGAGCAGGGTGGTGTCGGAAGCCTCAGCCGTAGTATTCTGTGGGGAGAAGGGCGCGAGATGGTGTGTACTAACACTGATAGCGTGGACTGGTGGGTAAGGTTTCCGTTTCCTCGACGCGCATTCGGTGTCCGGCTGCCCAAGATGCCCTTCCGAAACTTGGCCGGCTTGGTCAACTTGCAGGACCCTGACAAGCCCTTGGGCGGGTAATCAGGCTTGCCCATCCGACGATGTGCATTTTTGCCACGGGGCAGGCACATGCTCGGTCAGGATTGTCTCTTTGAAACAGCGATGACGGCAGCTGACACGGAATGTTCCTGTTATCGTGTCGGAGGGGCGAAAGAATCTGACGCTCTTATCAGACGCTCTTGAGATAAAGGCACAAATGGTCGACCAACGTCGTAGCTGAGGTGATCGTGATAGTCGTGATAGAAAACCGATAGGAGAATGCCATGGACCGAGAACCTGATAAACAAACAAACTAGTTAGTTGGAAGTTAGTCACCTGGCTGATAGGATGGATCGCCCGTGCTCAGAACAGATGGTGCGGGGAATGCCATTGGGCGGTTTGCCACGACCCGAGAGATAACCTGCTAAGCCGAGCCGGCGCCGCGAGTCTCTGATTCCTGTTACCCTATCACTCCACTGTTTTCTGAGTCGAATGCAGGCCGACTGCAAGATAGAATGCCACCCGAATGCCAGATTAGGAAGACGGCGGCTGTGGGGAGCCAACCACGAGGGGGTGTGGAAGACAAGTTGGGGGAGGCTTGGAGGGGCCGGTCGGGGCGGTTTGCAGCATGCATCAGGTGCCCCGGCGATATCGGGCCCGGACAGCGCTTCCGACGACGCCATCTCACCAACACCCCCGATATAAGGCGAAACAGAGTTTCCGGATGGCTATTTGAAAGAGCCCTCCCCTCCTCCTCGTTGATTTAGTTTGTTTTTTTATTTCCCATCAGTCTGCCATTGTTTGGATTGTATTTGACCAAGCGTACAAAGACGATATCGAGTGCTGGTAGTATATTGGCGACTACAGCTACTTCCGCTTGTCTTACACCACGCCGCAGACCACCACAACAATGTCGGCGCTTGCCCCCGTCACCACTTCCCTGCGTAGGCAGGCCCTCAAGCCTCTATACAGATACTCTGGTGTCCGATGGCACGATAGCGTGCGACATCTCACCGGCACTACCACGGCCGGGCCCTCTACTTCCCCCAGTCCCTCCATCCCGGCTCCCACACGCACGGCACTCTCACGCCTACCATGGCTCACACTCCTCCGCTCCGCGGTCCTCACCACCATGATGTGCTCGCCGACGCTCCTCAAGCCCTCCATCCTCACCCTCGGCCTCATCACACACCCCAAGACGCCCCTATTCAACCCCGAGACCAACCCGCTCCTCAACCGGTTGGTCCGGCACGCCGTCTACGATCAGTTCTGCGCCGGTACCAACGAGGCTGAGGTGGCCAAGTCGGTTCGCGACTTCAAGGCGCTCGGCTACCAGGGCGTCATCCTGACCTTTGCCAAGGAGATTGTCCTGTCCGAGGAGGAGCGCGCCCACGCCGCCGCCAACCCCGGGCGGTACACCCAGGCGCACCACGATCTGGTGACCTCGTGGCGCGACAGCTCGCTCGCCTCCCTGCGCATGCTGCAGCCCGGCGACGTGCTCGCCATGAAGATCACCGGCGCGGGGCCCATCGCCATGGAGGCGCTGCAGGCCCGCGCGCCCATGCCCGCCATCATCGACGAGGCGCTCACCGCGCTCTGCACCCAGGCCAAGAAGCAGGGCTCCCGCCTCTGGTTCGACGCCGAGCAGCAGTCGGTCCAGCACGGCATCGACGACTGGGCCATCGAGCTGATGCGCCGCTGGAACGGCGACGGCCAGGCCCTAGTCTACAACACCATCCAGGCCTACCTAAAGGGCGCGCGCGACGTCGCGGACCGCCACATCGCCGCCGCCGCCGCCGGGGGGTGGAAGCTCGGCGTCAAGCTCGTCCGCGGCGCCTACATCGAGCACGAGGAGCGCTGTCTCATCCACGACACCAAGGCTGACACCGACGCCTCCTACAACGACATCGCCGACAGGCTCATCAGCCAGCGCCTGCCCGCGTCACTTAGCGACGGCGAGGTCGCCGTCGCGTTCCCCAAGGCCAGCCTCATGCTCGCCACGCACAACGCGGAGAGCGCCGCGATGGCCACGGCGACGCACAGCGCCCGCGTCAGCAACGGCCTGCCCACCTGCAAGCTCGAGTGCGCCCAGGTCGCCGGCATGGCCGACGAGCTCGGCTGCGAGCTCATCATGAACTACGAGAACACGCTCGCCGACCAGACCGCTGCCAACATCATGGCCCCCAAGCCCTACAAGTGCCTCACCTGGGGCTCCGTCGGCGAGTGCATGGGCTACCTCCACCGCCGCGCCATCGAGAACCGCGGCGCCGTCGAGCGCACCAAGCACATGGCCGCCGCTCTCCGCAAGGAGCTGTGGCACAGGCTATCCTTTAACTAAGTGGCATCTGTATTTTGATTTTGATTACGACCCTCTTAGCAACAGGGAGGAATTTGCATAAAACATCATGACTGATAAGCGAGCATGGGTCGGCCTTGATTATTCTATAATATTAATTTCAGCTAGAAAACTCCAGATTAGACTAAAAATCAGGCAAGTTACCTATACAGCAGATCGCTTCTTGTGACATGCAAAGAGTTTTCAGTAGCGATAAGTCTTGTTGGAAAGATCTGCGTTTAAAGCAGTCACAAGACACGGCACGGAATGAAGATGATCATATGATGTATATGTTTCGGATAACCAAGGGTCTATGCAAGTCTACGCAAGTCTAAGTCTATGTAGCACAAAATAAAATGAGGGGAATTGTTCATTGTGCCCTAATTCAGGCACTCTTGTCCGACTCGAGGCTAGAGAGCAGCGCCGAGTTTGCCTTTTCGTCCGCCCACCGCTTTCTAGGCAGCTCAAACGTCGACGTGATGCGGCCATAGGACATGCCGCCGAGCTGCGCGATCGGACGCAGCTTGTCGAGCTCAATGTGGCTGACGTCGTCGTTGGTAGCGTCCTCGCGAACCCAGAAGCGCGTAGCCTGGATGAGCACGACGCCGGCCGCGCTCATGCCAGGCTTGCCATGGCCGAGCTCTTTGGCGTCGACGACCTTGCCCTCGATGGATAGGACGGACTCGTGGACGCGGCCGGGTCGCACCGTCGCCGCCGGGGCCTCGTGCAGGCCGGAGATGGTCCACTCCGAGACGCCGTGGGGAGGGTCCAGCGACGTAGCGTTGACCGCCTCCATCATGCCTTCGGACACGGTGTTGATGACGCACTCGCCTGTGTCGCGGAGGTTGCGGTACGTGTCCTTTTCGCGGCCCGGCCGCGACGAGAAGCCGACAACGAAGGTGGGCGGGTCGTGGTCGACGACCTGGAAGTAGCTGAACGGCGCGAGGTTCTTGGTGCGGCCGTCGGCCGACACGGTGCTGATGAAGCCGACGGGGCGCGGGGCGATGCCGGACACGAGCAGCCGGTAGTTGCTGACCATGGGACGGTCCGTGGCGTAGGGGTCGACTTCGCGGTGCGTCCACGACGGGTCGTAGTCGCGCGCGCCGCCGCCGTACTGCCAGCCGGGGTTGGGCTGCTTCGTCACCTGGATGGGCGTGCCGGCGTGGTCAAAGTCGGGCCGGCTGGCTTGCTTCTCGGCGAAGTCGGCGGCGCGGTCCACGATCTTGTAGCCGGCCTCGGCCTGCTTCACCTGCTCGGCCGCGGAGCTGCTGCTCCTTCTACTAGACATGACCAGAAAGACAGGTCGGTGTCCTTTTAGGGAAAGTGGTCTGCATTGGAGGGGGATTCATTTGTGTAAGTGCAAGGATTCCGAGGCGGTACGTGGCAATTTTGTGATGTCAGTGGGAGGCAACGAACCTGGTCAGGGGAGCCAACAAACGTGCCGATTTCAGACCCGATGACATTTGTCTTATCGCGACCCCTCTCTTCGCTGTAGAAAAAAAAAGGAAAAATGCTGGATCTCCGGAAGCGATCGTGATTTGTGCCCAATTGTTCCTTTTGTAGCCGATCGCATTAGTCATAGGAATGTCATGTTTTCATACTGGTTCCAGGATGTCGGATGGGTTGTCCGAGACCGTTCCGACGCCGGAGGTGCCCACAAAAATTTATTGATAGCGGATGTCCATATTTACTGGGCGCCTTCTGGAATGGTTTGGTTGCTTTTAGTGGCTCGGGGAAGCTGCAAGCAAAGTACTCCGTAGCGTCCGTCCAATCGCCGAGTCGGCCCTGCTGCTGACCTCATCCTTCTCCATGGTTGCAGCGGCGCCTCGTCAAAAGCGACAACTCCTCAACCACTATACCACTGTCTGCTGCGCAGTGCCTGACGAGGATTCTGCCTCTTTAATTACGATCGTATGAATTAATGCATAAAGACAAGCCCGGTTAGACCCTAGTCAACCAACCAAAAGCTTGTCTGTCACAAGGCCAAGTGGGGATTTCGCCCCCAAAATCTGGCACCAGCGCACTCAGACTCCTCCAACCACGTAATACCACTGTTTTTTCCCCTGCAAATGGTGTGCGATTCCCCCAGAAGACGCTGTCCGAAAGTATCGACTTTCCCGGGCTTCTGGATCACAACCCGACCGACAACATGGACAGTCGGCCGTCACCTTCCAGGGTGACCAAGAGGACAGTCCCAAAGGTCTCGAAAGCGTGGGTGACAATTCCGATGGCAACTTTGCTTCTGCCACCCTCCCCCCGCTCCCGCGGGGTTCCGACACTCGAGCTCGGCTGACCAGAAAAATTTTGTGAATCAGATGTGAAAGATGTAGGGCTATGAAAGTAAAGTGCAGCGGGGAACAACCCTGCTCCCGCTGCGCGAGACAAAACGAGAGGTGCTACTTTGTGGCCGAGTCCAAGCGGATATCAATCTCTGAGAGGTGAGAAACAGCAGCCAAGCCAACACACAACGAAGGACACGCAGACGGCGGCCATGAACGGCCTCACCACGGATCCCGCTTCCGTCGCCGGCAATGGCCTGAGAACACTGAACCCTCAAGTACTGACAACGCCCGTGTCGCCAAGATATCTCCGTGAGCTGGAGGGTCGCAAGGCCCAGGATGATCGCATGCTAGATCCCGTCGCCGCACCGCGCCGGGTGGATGTCGATGCCCTCCTCACACAGCCAAGCCCGAGTACTTCGTCGTCGCGCGCAGCCTTTGGCTTGCACCCGCGCGATGTAGCCCAGCACAATGATCACCATAATCACGGCCAAGACAGCAATGGTCAGTCGTCCCAAGGACCTATTCTCTCGGCTGAGTCGTCCTCTAACACCACATCAGGACCAACACCGTCACTGGCCCCCGACACTGGACGTCTATCATACCACAGCAGCCATGGCAGCAGTGTAGATGACCACAACAGCATCGAGCCCTCGTTTATGCAGAATCCCTTGGCAGATAACGACTACACATTCACTAAAATGAAGGGCAGATTCTGTAAGCATCTTTCCCCGCGCTTCCTCCTTTACACTGTTACACAAACTGACTCTTGTTTGTCTGGTGTCTAGGGTACATGGGGCCATCCTCGTCATGGTCCTTTTGCCGTCGCGTTTTAACGCTACTCGGCCAGCACCTCCCGGACCAGGGCTACGTCGCAGACCCGGGTCACTTTGACGGCGGGCACAAGCTCGTATGGAACGCGGTGCCGTGCGACGAGACTCCCGACGTGTCCAACTTGCCGCCGCTGGACTACGCGCTGTTGCTCTTCAACGTGGCCAAGTTCTACCTGGGGTCCATTTTCTACCTCATTGACGAGCAGGACTGGCTGCGAAACCTGTACGAGCTCTACGAGGACCAGTCGGCCAAGGCGGCGTCGTCGCGGCACTGGTACGCGCAGTACCTCCTCATCCTGGCCTATGGCAAGGTCTTCATCACCAACCAAAGCAGCGCTGAGGGTCCCACGGGACACCAGTACGCGGCGCGCGCCATGGCGCTTATGCCAGACCTTTCCGGGCTCGCACCCGACTCCATGACAGCCGTGCAGGCGCTCGTGCTCGGCTCAGTGTACCTACAGTCGATCGACATGCGCGTGGGCGCGCTGCAGCATGTCTGCCACGCGATGCGCATCTGTATCATCGAGGGCTGGCACCGCCACATGCCCGTCGAGGTGGTAGGCGTGCAGCACTCGCAGCGCTGTAACCTCATCTTCTGGGTCGTGTATAAACTGGAGCGTGAGTTCGGGTCGCTCATGGGCGCGCCGTCGTCAATCCGTGACGAGGACATCACGGCGCGCGCGCCATCGGATCTCAACGACTGCTTCGACGCGCGCAACATGGCGCTGCACGTCCGCCTCGCGCGCCTCGTCTCCAAGATCCTCAACGCCATCTACGGCGTCGGCCAGCGCTTCGATGGCTCCCTCGTCACCAACACGCAATCGGTGCTGCGCGACCTCGCCCAGATCTCGCGCGATGTCCACGCCCTGCTCGAGTCGCACTTCCAGGGCTCCATCAGCAAGGCCTCGCGCATGGCCGTCCGCCTGCTGCTGTCCTACCACCACTGCGTCGTCCTCACCACTCGGCCCGTCGTCATGTGCGCCCTCCACATGCACATCAAGCGCACCAACTCCATCGTCGCCGGGCCCGTCATGCTCTCCACCCCCGTCGCCTCCCTTCTGCAGTCGTGCGTCAACTCGGCCCAGACCGTCCTCCGCATCCTCCGCGTCATCGGCGACGAGGACCTGCTCGAGGCCTTCCTCCCCTTCCAGCTCGAGGACGCCTACTCGTCCGCCTTCGTTCTCTACCTCGTCCGCACCATCTGCCCCTTCCTCGTCCCCGACGACAACTGGGAGGAGAACATGCAGAGCGTCCTCGACAAGATGATCTCCAAGGGCAGCATCGTCGCTCCCGTCCGCAAGATGGAGCTCGCGCAGCTCGAGCGCTTCATGAACGCCTTCACGCCGCCGGCCCCGGCCGGTAGCAACGCAGGCGGTGCTACCGGTGCCGGTGGTAACGGCGCCGCGCACGGCGACGATCATCACATGTCGGAGCAGGGCCACGGGCACGACGACAACCTCGACACGCCGCTGACGCCGAGCGTCGCGGCCGACGAGCCGGGCTGGGACCTGTTCCAGACGGACACCATGATTGGTATCTCGCCGGGCGAGATGCTTGACCTGGCGGCGCAGCTGGAGCTCAACAACCCTTTGCTTTCAGCGCTACATGAATGAAGGGAAAAAGGAATTAAAAAGATTAAAGCGAACATCTTTACGAACTGATCAAGACTCGGCGAAAAAAAAAGAATAAGGCATTTCCAGAAGTTCGATGTGAATAACTTGACTCGATCCGTTATGAGCTTTGTTGGAGTGTTGTGCGACAATTGTTTTGAAAAACACGCATGCCAAATCTTTGGTGGTGCTTGATTCCATGTACGGCATGTAGTAAGCATACTTCGTGAGTTTGTCGACAATGACCAGTTACCAACAAAGCTCATAACAGATCGAGACAAGTTATTCATATCGAATTTCTGGAAATGCCTTATGGAATGCCGTTGAAAGGTTCTGCTTGACCTTTTTAACAGCATGAGCAATCATGACAATGCCTGAAAAAAAAAGCAATCTTCATTAATGCAAGGGATACTTGTTCTTTCGCACTATGCTACAATTTCTTGGTCTATCCAGCAAGCTGATGATATTTTGTCTACTGCCACGCTCCCATCTCCTTCATCTCCTGCGCTTTGCCGCGCCTCATTGCCCGCCGCCATGGACCGCCGAACCGCCGTCTAGGCATCCGGGACGTACACGCCATCCTTGCAGAGCACGACCACCTTCTTGAAGAAGCGGCGCCACTCGAGCGGATCGCCCTTGACCTTTGTGAAGCGGACGTCGAGCACCTCGCTCCCGTCGGGTAGGGCCTGCCGGTGGACCTGGATCTCGCCGTGCAGGCTCTGGTTGCGGCCGTCGACAGCGCGGACCTTGATTGTGGCGACCGAGTAGGCGTAGAGGTTGGGCGTGACGGGGACGAGAGGCACGTTGAGCTGGTGCAGTGCGTCGCTGAGCATCTGGACCAGGTGCGCGGGTGGGACATGTGAGAAGAAGCGCGTGAGCGACTCGGCGGGGCAGATGTCGCGGAACTGGCGGGCTTGCTGGGTCAACGTCATGGACGGGCCGGGCGCCTGGGAGAACTGTGACATGGAGGGCTCGTCGGCCAGTGCTTCGAGCATGACACGCCGTCCGTCGCCGGCCCGTGGCGGCAGCGAGGCGGACGGTACGGCCATGGACCGGAGGGCGGGGCGCTCGAAATCCCAATCGGTATCGACTATAGGCACGTCGGGCTGGGTTGCGGCGAAGCGACCGGCATTCATACCCGAGTCAACGGCCATGTCGTCGGGCATGGACGACGGGCCACCCTGCGACAACGGGGACTGTCTTGAGAGGTCGACGCGGAGATTCTCGAGCATCTGAGTGGCGAGGTGGATGGGATCGGCGACGCGGCCATCGCTGGTGAGCAGTGGGTTGTGCCGCGTGTACCAGGGATGTTGGCGAACCTGCGCAAAGCTGAAGCGCTTTTCTGTGTCGACACACATCATACCACGTAGCAAAGACAAGGCTTCGGACGGGACTCGCTCCCACAAGGCATCGGTGCTGTGGCCGCCGGATTTTACGTATTCGGTGAACTCCCAGCTGTTGGGGGAGGGCTCGTCCCAGGGAGTGTTGCCGACGAGCAGGACAAAGAGGACGACGCCGCAGGACCAGACGTCGACACGGTCTGGGGCGTACTTTGTGGCTGTAGCAGCCGCGGCAGACTTGCTGTCGGGGCGGCCGCAGGCGAGAATTTCGGGGGCAATGTAGGGGGGGCTGCCGCAGAGGGTGGCGCTGAGCTTGCGCTGGCCCTTATACTCGAACATGGTGGCCATGCCAAAGTCGGCAAGCTTGAGGGCGCCGTCAGCAGAGAGGAGGACGTTCTCGGGCTTGAGGTCGCGGTGTGCGACGCCCTTGGAGTGCATGAAGCTGACGCCGCCGACGAGCTGGAGGAAGTACGCCTGGGCTACGTCCTGGCGGACGCCAACGTCGGCCTCGATCTTGTCGAAGAGGTCACCACCCTCGGCGTACTCCATGGCGATCCAGCGCCAGGCGGCGTCCTCGCCGGAAGCGAACCACTCGATGACGTGGGGGTGCTGACCGATGTGGGCGTGCAAGGAGACCTCCATGGCGAGCTGTTTGGCGGAGACGCGGCCATTGCGGACGGCGTAGCCCTTGTGGATGAGCTTGACGGCGAAGACGGGCGTTTGGGCGTCGAGCGGGATGGCTTTTTTTATACTGCGCATCGGGGGGTAGCGCGAGAGAAAGGCCCGGGTGTTAGTCGGGAGGCTATCATTATTGCATGTTTTTTATTCACTTGTTACAGTGGGCGAGGGGCGTACGAGGCATAGGCACCGCGGCCGACCGTCTTCGAGATGATGCGAAACGGCAGGTCGCTCGGTAATGGGTCTAATTGTGACTGACGACCGATTTTGTTAGCGGGTTACATTGTTGTGAACAGAGTAATGGTTGCGTTTCTATAATAATAATCATATCGATAGAAAAAAAAAAGGACTGTGTATCTTTGGAGCCGTGTTTTGTGATACCGTGCAGACGCCAATGGCGGGGTAGAGTGAGGCCGTTGGGGAACGTACCATGGCTCCGGCTGAGGGTGCCGCAACGGGGGCACGAAACTCAACTCGCTCGATTACCTAGCTGCAGATAATGGATACACGTAGAAAAAGAAAAAGAAAAAATGCGTAGGTATGACGAGGGCGGTCCCGAGTCCGGCGCGAGTACAGGGTCGGATGCGTTTGTTGTTGTGGTGCAGGCAGCTGCAGCTGTTGGTCATGGGTGGATTGTGTGACCCCAGAGTTGTGTGGGACTTTTTTATTTTGGTTGTATTTCTCCGTGAGCGTCGCGTCGGTGCCGCGTCTGACCGCGTAAAGCTGTTTTCATCAGCAAGGGCGGCCGGCCCCAAGCCTTGGCCTGGCCTAGTAAACGGTTGGCCAGCAGGCTGTGGCTGGTGGTTTCAGCGCCTCAAGTCCCCTGGACATTGGCAGTGCTTCACTGGCTGTAGCCCCCTTGTGGCGCCACATCCATCTAGCCCGTTGCTGGGCAAACAAAAAAAGCACCCGCCACCAACAACCCAAGCGCAAAGCCCACTCACTGACTGAATCACTCGACTTCCGCTTCCAGCGCTTCTTCTCCTCCGAACCTATCAATCTCCATCTTGCCGCCCATTTTGCTTCATCTTTGCTCATATCCCAGGGGCTTCTTTTCTTCCAATCCAGCACGAAAGAAAAATAAGTATCATTTCTTGTTTCACCGCCGCACATACAACTCCTCTTCTACTGCAGTTCCGAAACCGCGGTGCCCGTATAAACCACCCGTCGTCGTCGTCGCATCGTTTTCTTTCTCCCTAGCATCCCTCTTCCCAAAACCAATCTTGATTCCGTCTGCAGCCTACCGTCGCATCTACTCCTTTACTTCACTATTCTTATTCTCGTTCAACCAACAGCCACCAGCTTTAACTCTCAACTCTCAACTCTCAACTTTTGCGACCTACCATCCATCGTGCCTACCTACATCGCCACCAACTTGTCGCCTCCTTCAAACGCACACCACGCTCAGCTAGGCCGTCGCCTTTTCCTAAATCACAATGGATTTCGCAATGGAAGACAACCAAAACTCTGCGCCCGGCAGCGTCCAGGCTGCTAAGCTCAACGCCTCACGCAAAGGCCCCGACTCACAAAGCGTCACCAAGCGGTAAGTCAAGACAGCTGTTGGTTCCTCGTCCTGGCTGCTGCAAAACGCAATTGGATCTCTCGAAGCTAACCAGCGGTCCTTCATTAGCTTGCAGACAGAGCTGATGCAGCTGATGACATCGCCCGCGCCCGGTGTTTCCGCGTTCCCCTCGGCCGACGGCAACCTGCTCTCCTGGACGGCTACCATTGAAGGCCCCGACGCCACGCCCTACGCCGACCTGACCATGAAGCTCAGCTTCGCCTTCCCCTCCAACTACCCCTACGCTCCTCCCACTGTGCTTTTCAAGACGCCAATCTACCACCCCAACGTCGACTTTTCCGGCCGCATCTGCCTCGACATCCTGAAGGACAAGTGGACTGCGGCCTACAACATCCAGACTGTCCTGCTCAGCCTGCAAAGTCTCTTGGGTGAGCCCAACAAGTACGTCCCTATCCAGTGTCCCTGACAGCTCTCTCTCTCTCTCTCTCTCTCTCTCTCTATTTCTTTTAATAACACAAATTTAGCTCCTCTCCGCTGAATGGTGAGGCTGCAGAGCTCTGGGACAGCGACGCTAAAGAGTTCAAGCGCAAGGTTCTCGCCAGACACCGTGATGTTGAAGACGAGTAGACGGGTGGTTTCTGGTGTCTTTTGTATCACGACAGCCGCATTTATCAATATGGGAGTAATCTGGGAGTCTTTTGGGGGGCCTTGATTACTTTGGAATTCTCGCCATGGTTCTTGGATTGCATCAGCGTTTCTGTCCCTGCGAGAGCTGGATATGCCTACCTACACACACACGCAGGTGCTTGATATACCCTCTGGCTCTCGCAGCCTGGCAGAGCGTACAGCCCCTCTGTGCATTTTCATTCTTAGATACGACAAAGTCGACCTGCCTTGCCAGCGAGACAATACATGATTACAACATGCGATTGGTTCCATCAACGTGAATGACTCTTCGTGGGTACGACGACCTGCATGCACTGTAAAGGACCTCCATACGGCGCTCGCTGGTTTTGATTTCACAATTCATCTGTATTTTTTTGTTGTTAAATCAGCGTGAAAAGCTACAAAAGCCGGTTGCAACTCCAGAATGCCATGCCCAACCGAAAAAAAGAATCCATTTTCCGATGACCGAAAAAAATGAGTTTCATTCTTTTTTTATTCTCTTTTTCCTTTCAAGAGTGTGTAAGTTTTTCATGATCCGCTCCCCCTCGCTATCAACCTCGACCCCTCCCCCTCCTAGTCCAACGCCAGTTTCCTCTACTCCTCAACCACGACGGTGTGGAGACCCTTGGGGTTCTTGACGTTGACGGCCTGGACGTAGCTGTACAGCTTCTCCTTGGCGCCCTCCTCGTCGTTGCGTCGACGGGAGATGCGGACGCGCAGTCTGTAGGCGACGCCCTTGACACCGTTCTCCCAGACCTTCTTGTTCAGGGCGGGGTCCAGACGGACATCGTTGGTACCCTGCATTCGTCACTCAGTCAGCAATTCTCGTTCCCTCCTTCGATAGTCTGCTCCCGCAACCAAGTTGTGTCCTCCCGTAGCTCGCATTGATCGTTCCATACGGTTTCGCAACTGGTTCGCCGGGTGTGTGGGCGGGGGAATTGGCTCGTACCATGGCCTTGACAGCGAAGTCCTTGATCTCCTTGATAGCGCGGGGAGCACGCTTCTTGAAGGTAACACCATGTAGCTACACATTCAACCGTTAGCCTTACTCTCCATCCTGTTTTCGTTTTCTCGTATATGCCATGTCTTGTCGTTCACCCGGGGCTTTCGCAACGGCACAAAACATCGTAGGACGACGTACTCTCTTGTGCATGTGGATGGTGTACTCGCGGGCAACAACGTCCGCGATGGCGGAGCGCTGGGCCTTTCCGGTGGGCTTCTTGGACGACATTTCTGTAAAATGGATTCGAGTGTCAGCGGTTTTGCCTGGACGCGGGCGAGAAAAGAATTGGCCGAGCGGCTGGCGATTGTCGGGGGCGAAAGGGAAAGTGTTGTTGCTTCGGGTTGTTTTGGGAACAGGTTTGGATTGGCGGTTCGTACCTATATCTCGTCTCTTCAAGGTATCTGGTCGGTTGAAGGATTGTCAGGGTTGGTCGGGTTCGCAAATTCCGCAAAATCTTTGTGCGTAGGGCAGGCTTGGAAACTGGTGGTGGGTGGAGAGGTAGCGAGCCAATCAGGGTTGGGGTAGCCGGTGCCAGCAGCTATCAGTCACGTGAATGGGTACGTACCTTTTTTTAGTGATACGAGCTTGGCCCATTCCGAGACAACCCAGCAGAGCAAGGTACAATGGACTAATCAGATAGGTCCGTCTCCCGAGCACTGCAACACCCCAGCCATTGTACCTGTGCCGTGTGAGAGTGGCTTGATGCCAGTCGCCCTTGTTTTTCGCTGTGGCTACCCAGCTCCCTGCATTCCTCCTGCTCGGTGGAAGGTGACGAGCCCAATTTAAAGCACTGCCCGTTAGCAGGGAAGCTGGGTGCAAACACCATCGCCTCGTATTGGCCGTGCATTTGTCTCTTTTTCTTTAACAAAGTTGTTTCTGTCGTTCACAAGGCACGGTCCCGTCGAAACGGCACAGTTCAAAGGGGGCCGCAAAGCAGAAGACTCTTTGTGAAACGCAATCCCTCGCCGCGTTTGCCCTTTTCCGCCCTCCCACCCAGCCAACCTCCTCTCTGTCATCTCGCCGTTGCAGAGAACAAACATTTGAAGATCCGACCGTCGACGATCCCTGCATTGTGCTCAACCGCGAGTTTCATCCTGTTGCCCGGTGCCTCCTTCTTCCGGACCTTCAGCACGACGAACTCCGTCCAAAATTCCTCACAACGCTGGTCATGGTTGCCCGGACGAGCGTCGGCGCGCCCATGGCACAGTCGGACCTAACACGCAATCGACTGCCAACGCTCTTCGAGGTGCTCAGCAGAAGAACGCTGCCGCCGGTGGACTTGTTTTCGTTCTATATTTACATGCGAGATCAGCAGCGGTCTGTTGATTATCTGGACTTTTGGTACGCCCTCACCACCGCATTGCCCTCACGCGGCCCCTTGGACGCCCGTCCTGAGGAGGCATAGCGTCCGTCCCAACCCATGGGAAGACAAAAATTAACGTGCATTAGGCTCGACGTCGCGCAGCACATGTCACTATGCCGCCACTACGTCCGTGAACTACGTCGCTCCGTGCTCGTGGCCACGCCCGACATGGAGCGGGCCGGCGGCGCCTCGAAGCGATCCTCGACGATCCTCGACAGCATGGGTGATCTGGAGCCCCGGCCGGCCGGGCCGTCCATGTACGCCACAGAGAGGGAAAAGAGCCAAGACGCGCAAATGTCGGCGTTCCTGCGGGAGGAGCAGTCGGAGCGCGAGTCGCCGCACACAGGCTCGCGGCCCAGCCCGGCAGGAGCCAGTCCCCGCCGTGACCTGACCGACTCTAACTCACCCGCGCACACCGTCTCACGCCAGGACATCCGGGCCTCGGCGGAGAAGATTCTTTACACTTTCTTGCTACCCGGTTCCGAGCGCGAGATCATCCTGCCGGGCTCGATCACGCAAGACGTCATCAGTGCCATCGAGGAGCACGGCCGCGACGACCCCGAGGTTTTTGACACAGCAAAGGACTATGTCTTCCAGGCAATGGAGCGCGATGCCTTCCCAGGCTTCCTACGCATGAAGGCCCTGGGCAACCTAATCCCGCCCACGCTGGTGATGCGTCTGATCCTCGGCTTAGTTGCCATGTTCGGCGCCTTCTGGACCGCGTTTGTCCTCATCTTTCTCAATAAGAGCAGAGCCACAAGATGCTGGGTATGGTTCCGGAAACTACATGACAACTCTCATCCACCGTCAATGCTAACTCTTTCCTAGGTCATTCTGCCGTTCACAGTCGGCGTATATTTTCTCGCGTCGTACCAGTATTCTCTGGACCCCATCATGGCACTCCTCGGCTTCAGCGAGTACACGCCATTTAACTTTTCACGCATCCGCGAACCTTACGTACGCACGCTTCTCGTGAAACGAGCCTTTATTGTCCTTCTGGTGACGGCTCTCATCACCGCCGCTCTGTGCGTCCTGTTCATCTTTGTGCCTGGCAAACGGCTGTAAAGGAGAGACCGGAGCCACCAATGACTCGCAACAGCACTATAATATAATCTACGCAAAACCCCCTTTAATGTCGCAGAGCCGCTTGCTATTTATCGGCACACCAGAGTGTCTCTTCTACAAGATGCTCTCTTTTTATTATTCCTTTTTAACGACTTTTATGACAGGGGGAGAGAGAGCCAGTGGAGTGTTGTTAATCCTAGACAAGGGCAATTTTGATACAACGCCGTTGGAGAGATTTCAAGTTCCTTTATTCTTTTTTTTACCTCTATATACCCCGATAGAGGAGCTAATCAGCATGTACGGCCATAGCCGAGTGAGAAAATCTGGATCCCGTCCGATCTCCGAGCGATAACCACTCGAGCGCCCGAATAGTAGCTGGGCCGGTGACGACCAGCAAAGTCCGGGTGCTGTACGTTATTTTTTTTTCTCGTCGACCCCGAGCAAATCTCTTTCTATTATGCAGCTGATTCACTTGATGTTGTCAGCTTTCTTTGACCATCTTTAGAACACTTGGTTCTCGTTTTTCTTATGAAGCAGGATGTGGCTTGGCCACCGTTCCCTGTCTAGTGAGGACTGAACATATTGAGTTTGTATGTAGCAAGTTAGCGAGTTTACAGAGAATCATTTTCAAACAATCACCAATGCAGAAACGTGCCGGTGAAAGGTCATGATGTGTTGTCATTCATGCAATGTATATCGTTGCAGCACCCTTGGTGGGTGTAGAGCTCATTAATGTAAAAAAGAAAGCAAGACTCTAGTCGATGGCTTTTTGCTCTCCCAAGCTTATGCTATTCATCCACTGACGTAACCCCTGTCGCCCCCAGAGTAGTCCTCTTCATCGTGTATTCCTCCTCTCCCCACCCAGTTCACATCTTTCGCTTGCCCGCCCTCTTCTTGCCGTCGTCGGCGGTGGGCAGGGGCGCGTCCAGGTCCATGGCCTCCGCCAGGGCGCCCTTAGTCGTCCCCGCGGCCGAGTCCAGTACGTTCGTCGTCCGCCTCCCCGACGCTGCCGCGGCGGCGCGGCGCGCGAGCTGCTCGCGGACAGCCACACCGCCGCCGCCGCCGCGCTCCGAGCGCCGCGCGCATCTCCCTAGGCTCCTCCGGACCGACGTCGCGCAGGGGCGCTACGCGGGTGACGCGGACGCGCTGCCGTGCCGGGTCGAGCTTGGCGTCGACGAGCCCGGCGTCAATCGCAGTAGCGACGAGCGTCTCGAGCTCCGCGGCGGAGGCGAGGCCCAGCCGGGCCCGGAGGCGCGCGTAGGTCAGGTCCTCGCGGCGGCCCGAGGCGGCGAGCGACAGCAGGCTGAGCTGCCGCAGCTTGAGCCGCTGCGCGTCGCCGAGCGGCGGCAGGGAGGGAGTCGCGACGTAGGTGGCGTAGTCACCGTGGGAGAAGGCACGGAGGAGGGCGAGGTGCGGCCGGAGCGCCTCGGGGTGCGAGGCGGCGAGGGCGCGCAGCGCGGGCGCGCGGAGGAGCTCGGCGAAGACGTAGGTGTTGGGCGCGGAGGTGGCGCGCTCGATGAGGTCGGCGGCGGCACGCGGCGAGGTGGCCGTCTTGGAGAGGGCGATGAACGGCTGGTTGGGAGGGCGGGTGTTAGCGGTAGTTTGGCGGGTTGGGTGGAATAGCCTCGTTGGAAGCTGGAAGACATACCTCTAGAGCGTTCAGAGCTTTTGTTTGCTCCATGATAGATGTGATGGGGGCTTGTACCAAGGTCCAACGCAGACGAGGCTGGTTACGGACGTTGGAAAGGTGATGGATTGTCGGTTGTTGTGTTTAAGCGGGGCTCGTCTGCCTGGGCGGCAGTAGGACGCGGGGCAGCTTGTAGGATCGATGGCAGGCTCGTGTGTGAAAGATCGTGTCAGGCCAGATGGGATGAAATGCCGTGAGGATTTCGACCTAACCTTTGAAAACTAACCGTTTCGGTGAATTATAGGTGCTACGATCATCTGGAATGGATTGATACCAAGGCGGTGGAACTGTCGTCAGTAGGCTGTCCTTGGTCTACTCTCGGGTAGATTCCTTCAACTGCCCGGGCGCTTGAGAGTCGCCGTTGGCTGGGGGCTGCTAGCCACCCCGGTCAAATCGGGGAAAATTGCCCAGAATTTTGATTGCCGTTACATGGTGAGGTTCTCCACGAAGAAGATCAGAACTGCCTATGTAGCTATCTAGAATTTACTGGTAAATGCTGGACAGTGACATGCTGGCGTTGCAAATTTACGTTTACATGATTGAACAAAGAACCACATACGCATACTTACTCAGCAATCGGGGGCACTGGAAAGACATGCTGAGCGGCCGAGACCAAAAGAGGTAAAGTGACACAAGACTTGTTATTTTGCTCAAGTCGAGAGAGGTATTTTGGGCTTGCTGACTTGTGGCCCTATTGTCAGCTGTTTGGCTTATTATCGTGGGTGGCTTGAGCGTTCGTTCCTGGCCGAGCGCCCGACGCACAGTGGGCACGGACAGTGGTTCATGCACTGCACCGAATCACCATCATCAGCATAACCGATCCGACCAGTTCTCTCTGCCCTGTGTTTCCCGTACTGTAGATATCATAAGATGGCCGGATTGAGATGCCTAGCTGTCAGTCTGGCTGGGCGCGTTGGCCTACCCTTTTTGGTGGCGCCAGGGTGCGGCGTCCATTCTGGCCCTTCACATCCTACTTGGGTTAGCGGGTATTGTTATTGATCTGTAATCTGTAATAATCTGCATTCCTACCTCCGGAGCACCTGTACCCAGGCAATGGATGTTGCAGCAATTATAAGTTTCCAGGCCAAGAAACGGGCCTGAAACGTGTCCCTCGACCGCCCCAGCGCCGACCACCCGCTCGCTTGGTCGACCGTCGCCCCCTTTTTGCTTTACCTGTGTTTTGTGGCAATTTTAAAGAAGTTATGAGAGAAAAAGTCAAACACGGACGGTACCTGGGTGGGTGTGGGCGACGACCCCGTTTCCCGAACGGCGGTTGCAGCGTAACAATAAACTGGCGTCATCAGCATGGGGTAGGTGGTGATTTGAAACAGCAGACCCTATGGTGCGATTAGGTGATGCTAGCTGCGATGATGTGCCTGGTTGGGAAATGAAGAGCTACTAAACTAACTAGGTGGGAGAAGAGTTTGAAGATCAAAAAAAGAAGCAAAGACAGAAGAGCCAGACTATCAAGAAACACTTTATGAATGAAAGACTGAGAGAGGGCGGGGTTTGACTGCCGAGCGAGTGTCTGAATGTACATACTTATGGATGTATATTATGCATCGTGGCCCCAGCCATCGCATTTGTTCCCACCTCGTCGTCCTGCCTTTTTTTTCTCCTTGATTATCTCTTGACCAGTCTCTCGACCAGATCTCGTCGACGCTGGGTCCCTCGGCGCATTGCTACCGTTTTGCTGAAGCCATCGCGTTGGCTTTGGGCTGGTGAATTCATTGGCTTACCTACCACACAGACGCTACCGTTCAGACCACACGTTGCAACCAGCGGCCGGTGGTCCTGGGGCCTGACCAAATATATTGGCAGTCCACTACTGGTGTCGAGTTATCAGGTCATGCCCTGGATGACACTGCATGTGGCCGTGACAGTGCATATCTCCAAGTCGAACTAGCAGTCCTGTTAGTCCAGTGGTGGGTGTGATTTATGTTGGCTTTGCGCCACCTTGACAGCCTCGAAACGGGCGTCATAATTTATTAGCGCACTCGCTGTACTACAGCGACAGACAACAACAGGCTCGCATTCATTCATTCTTTTTTCCAATTCATTTTTGTCCAACTGGTTGGTTCCTCGTCTACCGCCAGCGGAGAATTCCTCTGTTTTTTCCCCTTTCATTTTACCGGTCCTCAGTGGTTTGCTGATACCATACACTTATTTCTTCTCTTATTTCTCTTCCCTTTTTCCTTGTACCCAGTTCAAGTCGAAACCTGCCCCCACAATCCTGCCGCGCTCTCCGCCTCGTCTGCACAGCAAACGTCGCATCGAAGCCTCTCCTCTTCCCCCCAGTCAAGCAAAACCGCCGCCGCCCCCGAGCAGCGACCTGGGCGCTGCGTGCCTCCTCTCCCGACAATCCCGGAGCGCCGCCCTCACTTCTCTTTTCCTCTATCATAACTTACCTACCTCGTATTCATATACCCGCGACTCTGACGGCTGTGCCAGCCAGCGCAGTGCTGTGCACAAGAGCTTCGGCTTCTGCTTCGTTTCCTTGTGCCCAGGATGGCTCCCTCACATATTCAGATCCCCAGCCGGGAGACTGGCCATCTGTCTGCGACCTTGGCCTCGCCCGGCGCAACGCACATGGCCACCACCACGCTGCGCGTGAGCGGCATGACGTGAGTTTGAACCTGTATTCCCTGTCCCCGAAATGACCTCTGGAGACGCCATGTCTCGGCCCGTTGGCGCGCCAGAGTCCACTGTCGAGAGCTACCCTAACTAACTAATCTTGCTGATCTGCAGTTGCGGCGCTTGCACCTCGGCTGTTGAAGCTGGCTTCAAGGGCTGTAAAGGCGTCGGCAGCGTCTCCGTCAGCCTCGTCATGGAGCGCGCCGTCGTCATGCACAACCCTGCCGAGATCTCCGCCGAGCAAATACAGGAGATCATCGAGGACCGCGGCTTCGACGCCGAGGTCCTCGCCACGGACCTGCCCAGCCCTGTCGCCTCCCGCCACCCGAGCGTCTCTATCGAGTCTACCACCGTTTCTACCACCGTCGCCATCGAAGGCATGACCTGTGGCGCCTGCACCTCGGCGGTCGAAGGCGGCTTCAAGGACGTCCCTGGCGTCAAGAGCTTCAGCATCTCCCTGCTTTCCGAACGCGCCGTCATCGAGCACGACTCCAGCCTCCTCAACGCCGAGCAGATCGCCGAGATGATCGAGGACCGTGGCTTTGGCGCCGAGATTGTCGACAGCGTGCGCGTAGCGCCGGCCGGCAAGACGGAAGAGGCCGCCAGCAACGTAGCCACCACGACGGTTGCCATTGAAGGCATGACCTGTGGCGCATGCACGTCGGCCGTCGAGGGTGGCTTCAAAGGCGTCGACGGCATCCTCAAATTCAACATTAGTCTGCTCGCGGAGCGAGCCGTCATCACACACGACGTTACGAAAATATCCGCGGACCAAATAGCAGAAACCATCGAAGATAGAGGCTTCGACGCCGCTGTTTTGTCATCAAATCTTGACGTGCAAGACGTCGGCGCCGGAACGACGACTGCCCAGTTCAAGATTTACGGCAATCCGGATGCTACTGTGGCCAGAGAACTGGAAGCCAAGCTCCGCGGACTTGCCGGCGTCAAGTCTGCATCACTGAGCTTGTCGACAGACAGACTGTCCGTGACGCACAACCCGTCCGTCATTGGGCTACGAGCCATCGTGGAGGCTGTTGAACAGGAGGGTCTGAATGCGCTTGTTGCCGACAGCCAAGACAACAATGCCCAGCTCGAGTCCCTTGCCAAGACGCGCGAGATTACCGAATGGAGGACAGCATTTAGGACATCCCTCTTCTTCGCCATTCCCGTCTTCGTCATTGGCATGATCCTACCCATGGCCCTCCCCAGCCTGGACTTTGGCAAGATTTCACTGCTTCCTGGTCTTTTCCTCGGTGATGTCATCTGCCTCGCCCTCACTCTACCTGTTCAGTTTGGCATTGGCAAGCGCTTCTACATTTCTGCGCATAAGTCAGTCAAGCACGGCTCTCCCACCATGGACGTATTGGTCATTCTCGGCACGTCCTGTGCCTTCTTCTTCAGCGTCTTTTCCATGCTGGTCTCTATCCTAATGCCCCCTCACTCCCGCCCAAGCACCATCTTTGACACGAGTACCATGCTCATCACATTCATTACCTTTGGCCGCTACCTAGAGAACAGTGCCAAGGGCCAGACTTCCAAGGCCTTGTCTCGTCTAATGTCCCTGGCGCCTTCCATGGCCACCATCTACGTGGACCCTATTGCTGCCGAAAAGGCCGCCGAGGCCTGGGCCAAATCAAGCGACGCCACGACTCCCAGAACGCCGCGCATGCCTGGCTCCGAGGGCTCTGCGTACGAAGAAAAGTCGATCCCGACCGAGCTGCTGCAGCTCGGCGACATTGTCATCACCAGACCCGGCGACAAGATCCCCGCTGATGGCACCGTCGTTCGCGGCGAGACCTACATCGATGAGAGCATGGTGACGGGCGAGGCCATGCCCGTCCAGAAGCGTCTCGGCGACCACGTCATTGGTGGTACCGTGAACGGCAACGGCCGCGTCGACTTTCGCGTCACGCGCGCCGGCCGCGACACGCAGCTCAGCCAGATTGTGCGGCTCGTGCAGGACGCGCAAACGGCCCGCGCGCCAATCCAGCAGATTGCTGACACGCTGGCAGGCTACTTTGTGCCGACCATTCTCGTGCTTGGCCTGGGCACGTTCCTGACCTGGATGGTGCTGTCGCACGTGCTGTCGAACCCGCCCGACATCTTCTTGCAGAACGCGAGCGGCGGCAAGATCATGGTGTGCGTCAAGCTGTGCATCTCGGTCATCGTGTTTGCGTGCCCATGCGCGCTGGGTCTGGCGACGCCTACAGCCGTCATGGTCGGCACAGGTGTCGGTGCTGAGAACGGCATTCTTATCAAGGGCGGCGCTGCGCTTGAGCGTACCACACAGGTCACAAAGGTCGTCTTTGACAAGACGGGTACCATCACGCACGGCAAGATGAGCGTCGCGCGGATGACGCTCGCACCGGCGTGGAGTGCCAACGATGCCCGCCGACGGCTCTGGTGGGCCGTCGTCGGGCTTGCGGAGATGGGCAGTGAGCACCCCGTCGGCAAGGCCATTGTTGGCGCCGCCAAGGACGAGCTCGGCCTCGGCCCCGAGGCCGCCATCGCCGGTAGCGTCGGCGAGTTCAAGGTCAGCGTCGGCAAAGGCGTCATGGCGCAGGTCGAGCCGGCCCTGTCCGCGGATCGCACTCGCCACCGCGTGCTCGCCGGTAACCTCAAGCACCTCAACGCCAACGGCGTCGCCGTACCCGAGGACGCCATCGAGGCGGCCGAGCAACTAAACGTCCACGCCGCTCAGTCCAAGCCCACCGCCGGAGGAAAGTCAAGGAGCCGCACTTCCGCGGCCGCGGCCGCCGGCACCACCAACATCTTCGTCGCCGTCGACGGGGAGTACGCCGGCCACTTGTGCCTCTCCGACACCATCAAGGACGGCGCGGCGGCCGCCATCGCCGTGCTGCATCGGATGAAGATCAAGACGGCCATGGTGACCGGCGACCAGCGCTCGACCGCGCTCGCCGTCGCCGCTGCCGTCGGCATCCCCGCCGCGGACGTCTACGCCGGCACCTCGCCGGACCAGAAGCAAGCGCTCATCCGGCAGATGCAGACCGCGGACGGGGACGTGGTCGCCATGGTCGGCGACGGCATCAACGACTCGCCCGCGTTGGCCACCGCCGACGTCGGCGTCGCCATGTCCTCGGGCACCGACGTCGCCATGGAGGCCGCCGACGTGGTGCTCATGCGGCCTGGCGACCTCATGTCCGTGCCGTCCGCGCTCGCGCTCACCCGCAGCATCGTCCGCCGCATCCGCATGAACCTCGCCTGGGCCTGCCTCTACAACGTCGTCGGCCTGCCCATCGCCATGGGCGTCTTCCTTCCCCTCGGCGTCCACATGCATCCCATGATGGCCGGCCTCGCCATGGCCTGCTCCTCCGTCTCCGTCGTCGTCTCCAGCCTGCTGCTGCGCCTCTGGCGTCGCCCGCGCTGGATGGACGAGCAGGAGGCGGGTGGTAGCCTGCGCTGGCGCGCGGGAAGCGGCGTGCTCGGCTGGTTGCGCGAGAAGCTGGCGAGGCGCGGACGGGGTGGCGGCAAGGGCGATGACGGGTACGTGCCCCTGCGGGACATGGATGCGTGAGGATTGGAGTGGTTCCTTTTTCTTTCCCTTTTTGTTGGCGTTTATACCTCCCTGTTGGATTGTGTGAAAAAAAATTAAAACAAAACTTGTTGTTGGCCTGTTTCTCGTTCAGCATCGCTCGAAGAATTGCATGCATTTATTGGTTGATATCGGCATAGCGCGGTACATGTACAGTCCTACCCAGCATCTTACTATTATAGCAACAACGTACAGTATTGTCAAGACCAAGCCCCCGGCGCTCAAACCGTGGTAATGGAACACATGGCAAAGCATTACTTATTATTAAATGAGCTTCGTATTATCCCGCTCACAAGTTCTAGCGTTTTTCTTCCCGCCCATGCGTCACTCCCGTGAACACCAAGCAGGCTACCCCCCGTCCCAAGTAAAAAAAAGTCTCATATGTACAAGTAACAACTCCAGTGACCGAGAAAGGAAACCCAAGTCCCATTCCCTCCCCCGTGTCCTTGTTTCGCCCGAAATTCTATAATTTGACTTGTTCACACACTCTAGCTTTTTCAGTGCTCGTCCCTGCGCGTCCAGCGAACCTTGGCCGGTTCCAAGGGCCGCGAGAAGAGCGAGGCGTAGTCTGTGCCGGAAATGCTGTCACCGCCGTCAACGTTGGCGAACCGGAACAAGCGGACGGTCTCGGCGACGATGGTCTGGAGCTGGACGTTGGCGAATTGCTCGCCGATGCAGCGGTGGCGGCCGGCGCCAAACGGCAGGTACGGGGACGCGGCGCCCTTGCTCACGATGCCGTAGCCGTAGTCAATCTTCTCGTCATCGTCGTCGTTGCGCGGGGCGATGGTCGGGGCGTTGGGCGAGCCGGGCAGCCAGCGGCAGGGGTCCCACTCATCCGGGTTGGGGAAGAAGGTCGGGTCGCTGGCGCTGACGCCGGGAGCGGCAAGGAGGACGTGCGAGGTTGGGATGACAAACTTGGTGCCGGGCACGGGCAGGGGCTGCTTCACCGCGCGCATGATGGAGTGGATGGGGGCGTGTAGGCGGAGTGTCTCCTTGATGATGGCCTGGTTGAGGGGCAGCTTGGCGAGGTCCTCGTACTGCAACGGGGGCAGGTCCGCACCGAGCACGGCGACCTGCTCGTCGTAGAGGGCCTCCATGATCTTGGGGTTCTGAGCGAGGCGAAGCATGATCCAGGAGCTCGTTGACGACGACGAGTGCTGACCGGCCATGAGCAGGGCAATCATCATGTGCGCAACCTCGTGGTCGGGTACGGGCGTGCCGTTCTTGTAGCTCGAGTTCATCAGGTGCTTCATCATGTCGAGTTCGCCATCGTCGTCGGCGCGGGCGCGGCGCTCACGGATGGTGTCCATATAGATCTTGGCAACGGTGCGCTGGGCGTGGTCGCGGCGGCGGTTCCACGGCAGCGGCGCCCAGTGCAGCATGAAGTTGATGGGCGTGAAGCCCATGTCGAGGTCGTGGTAGAGGGCAGCGAGTGATACGTCAAACTTGCGGCGGATGGCGCTGCCCTGGAGCGCGTGCGAGGCGGTGAAGATGGTGATCTCGGCCATCTTTTGCGGCACGTCGACGATACCAGTGGCGCCCTTGAAGCCGGAGTCGCGCTTGTAGTAGGACGTGACCTCGTTGGAGATGATGGGGACGTAGGACCGGAAAGCCTCAGTGGTGAGGGCAATCTTCATGAACTGGGTAGGGAGTGTTCATGTTAGCGGGCTGGCTGGGAGGCTGAATGAGCTTTTTGGCGGTTGTTACCTTCTTCTGCTCCATGAGCTTGGCGTTGGGGCAATCGTAGACAACGTCACGGCCGAAGACGGGCGTAGTCAGGACGGTGTAGATTTCTTCGGCATTGACGTCCTTGAGCTTGCCGTTGAGGATGAATTCGTTGCCGGCAGGGCCGACCGCGACGGTGGTTTTCTTGCCGAGGAGGATAAAGGTGAAGACGTCACCGTACTACGTTGAAGATGGAATTAGCAAAGGAGACGGCAGAGGTAGAAGACAATTGTAGGCTCACCTTTTTACGGTTCACGTGGAAAAAGGTGGGAGGGTCCATGCCGTAGGTGATGGTGCTGCCGATAAAGGGGAACCAGTGGAAGACCATTGGCGGCTCGTTCTTGTTCCGGAATAGGATCTGGCCGGCGACATTGAGGATAACAGAGAGCGCGATCACGCCAAAGAAGAGGACGGCGGACTGAACGACGATGCTCTGGGCCTGGAAGGCGTGCATGAGCGGGTGGTTGGCCGCGATCTGGAGGACACCCATGATGGCGGTCGGGGGGGTCCTGCGCCGGACTGTTTCTGTGTTGAAAGAAGGAGTTTGGTAGGGGATGGATGGATGGTGCTAGCTACACTGCGTAGCAGCGACCTATTGCAAAAGGGCGACTCGTAGGGGCGGGGAGAAAAGGGAGCAAGAGTGGCAGCACCCGTCTTCTTGCTGGATGCGAGTTGAGAAGATGAAGAACGAACAAAACAAGAGAGGGCAGGGCGTAGATCTAGATAAAGAAAATATGGTTCGAAAGTTAGGGGTGGCGTAGGCTAACAAGCCCCCCATTCGTATTCGGATAAGATGAGACCAACTCTGTACCTTGTCGATTTCCGACTCTTGTTGTTCGTTTTTTTATTTGCTTTTACTTCTTGGAAAAGGCAAGTGGCTAGATTGCATTTCTGATACTCCGTATTTACTACAAATAACACCAACCACCGCATTCGCATCGTCAGTCTCGGCCCTCCGTGCCCTTCAATATTGTGCCCCTGCGCCACTGGACCACTGAAAACACGCGATAGGACGAGTTGAATATGACAGTTGCCCCAGTATTTTGCGGGGCATTGGCCAATTGTCGAAATTGGATTTGCCTGTTCATTTCACTAGTATTCACAGTCCAAGATGCGAATAAGAGCAACGTCGAACAATATTCATTAGATATTCCTTTCGCAACTACTTTCCAACACTCGAGAACCAACGAGGCATCGCATCACTGTTGCATGACATCATCTCCATGTTATTCATGTTGAGTATTCAACTGTACCAACGTTAGGCGCGCTCAGACAAAGCGCACATATACCGGCTAGCGAAAAGCAAATGTCCATCCCTTGGGAATCCGAAATCATATCTACCAATTGCAGATTGTTCAACGTACCAACAACGAAAATACCACCCTTTGAGAAGCAGATAAACCCAAACTCATATTTAGCCAACTCCGTATCGTAACGCGAAATCATCATAGAGGCGCAGATGTTTTTGCCTCTGCGCATGCGTGTATATGTTTTATATTACCCTTGTTCCCGAAACCTAAGCCTGAGCGACGATGCTCCTGCCGACAGCGCTCCAGCGCAGCTTACGCAGTCCGACCGAGGAGCGGATGACGTCGCCACCGGCTGCCGTGGTATCGTTGACGCCGCCGCTGCTGACGCTGGCAGCCAAGACCCCGCGCGCCTCCTCGCGGCCGACCTCGCGGCCGATGACGTAGCCGGCGCCAAACCCAACCACAGATACGAGGACGACGACGCCGGCGCTGACAACCCAGCTGAGCAGCGTGGGGGAAATCAGCGCGTACTCGGCATCAGCACCTGTCGTCGACGCCCCCGTTCGCTTCTTCTTCGCTGGTCGCGGTCCACGGCCGGCTGACTCGGACCGCTTCGACTTGGGCGATACGGTACCGGATGACGGGTGCTGGCGGCGGGCAGTGGACGGACCGGCCTCGGCTTCATTTTGCTTATCTTCGCCGGTGAGCGCCGACTCGGGGATGAACCGTAACTCCATGGGCTGGTTGTTAGGCGTAACGCCTGTCCGGACAGTGCGCTGGGCGTCCGTCTCTTCCTTGTTCTTGGGCAGGCCTCGGGCTGCGGCGGCACAGGAGAGTAGAGTCGTGAGGGACGCCCGCAGCGCAGCGTCGTTGTCTTCGCGGACTGAAGGAGACATGAAGTTGGGCGTGCCGCGGTGGCCGCGGGGCTGCCGGTGTGGGTACGAGGAGCGGCGGAAGGAGCTGTGCGGGTGGGGGTGCTCAGCCGAGCTGGTCGAGTAGCGGCGCTGAGCCGGGCCGGCGGGAGGGTGGCTGAAGGCGTTGGGGTGAGGGCGGAAGACGGGGGCATCGGAGGCTCGCCCGAGTGTGGTGGCGTTGTCACCGTCGTCGTCGTCGGACTCGTCGTCGGAGCCGTCCGAGGCGTCTTTTTCGGAGGAGTGGATGTTTTCAGCGGAGCTCGTCATGACGCGGTCCTCATCACTGTCGCTTTCGTCTTCTTCCTCCTCCTCCTCGTGGCTGCTGGCGCTGGCGACACGGAGGACCGTCGGCTGCTGGTGGGAGAGGGAACGCGCGGTGGGGTGCAGCCGGCGGCGTCGCTGGAAGGGGCTGCCAACCTGGAGTCCGGTGGTGACGATTTCATTATCGACGCTCGAGAGGGACGAGGACGACGGCTGGGAAGAAAGTTCGACCCACGATTCTGCACGAGTTAGAGGGAGGGATATTTGGGCGGGAGGGAAAGTGTCGCTCGCACCGTCAAATCGACGACTGTGATGTACGCTGGGGCTCGGACGCGGCTCGGGCTGTGAGACGCTGCGGCCGAGATGCCTGCTGTGGGTGGCCTGGTTTTCCATGATGCCGGAGAGGTCAAAGGCGTGTGAAGGTGGTATTGTTGTTGAGAGCAAGATGAATACAAAGTATGTCAAGGGCGGGATGTCTTTTTTATCGATAGGGTGAATGTAGGTGGTTGACGCGCGCGCGGAGGGGAAACGACGACTCGAGGACGAACTCGTACCAGGCGGTCTGGTCTTTTTGGGCAACCCCGCCTAATCGGGCTGATAAGGTGACAAGGCGATCTGCGACTGCGGAGACGCTGTCGCTGCGAGTCGGCAGTACCAACAGATAGGTTGCAAGGGTTGGTGGCTGTGTTGAGGAGGGCTGCCAAGACGCTGTGCGACAGTGTGATGAAAGAAATGAGATGAAAGGAGGGTGGGATAGACAAAGGAGGATATGAAAGAGGAAAAGGGAAACAGAGGTTTGAAGATGTTGCAAGGCGAAGACGGATTTGAACAAAGGGCTTGGATGGGAGGAGAGTTAGTCGAGTTGGGCTCACGAGCCAGTGACAACGTGAGCGGGGGGATCAAGGAAGGGGCGGTATAGTGGGCGGATTTTAGTGGGCAACGGACAGAGCAGTTGCAGGAAAGAAACGATGTACTCTGCAGTTCGGCAAGTGTCTTGAACAAATGCTGTAGATGAAGATGTATTTTGGAAGACAAGGCGAAGGAGAAAAGATTGTTAGTTCGCATCAAGTTCATTGTTGACAGATATCCTTCCATCGCCCATTGCCCGTCGCAAAGGCGTCAAAACAGGCACCCTCGAGACGAGCACATCACGCGCTCAGGCATTGATTGCGTCACAGGCTGCAGGCTGACCGGCCTCGCTGTCACAAGGGCGTACCGAGTACGGAACGCGAGAGAGGCGGGAGGCTTAGTCACCCGTAAATAGAAATACCTAGTGACAGTAACACGGGCGTTTGCGTTTCATCCATCATCATTTCTTCTACATTAATTTGGATTCCCATCGTCGCCAAGTTTCATGGTTTCAGATGTACAAACAAGATAACTGCATGTTGCATCGATTTTATGCACTCTGCAGTCTGCGACCCTCTTCATAACTTGCTCACCTGCCGAATCCTGTGGACCCCTAGGTCTCCCTACAGGAGGCTACTGCAACCGATCAAGGGTTGTTGTGCTGCAGATTGCGTGGCTTTCTTAATCTGTACTTTGCAGCACTTCCAGTTGTCACATTTTCGACATTTTGCCATGTCGGCTTGACAGGTATCGGGCACTTATTATATATAGATATGACCATCATGTGCTGATTTTGCTCACAATACATGATTCAGGCCCACTACAGCATCCCTGCAAACACGCAACTGCTGGTCCGTTGGCATGGCCTTGTCTTTACCGCCAGTCCACTGACCCCACCAAACCATGCAAGCAAGCCTCGATGCCTTCTGCCTCTCCCATCAGCAGCTTGTTTTCAACATTGCCATCCTTCTTCCCGCCGCCGTCGTGAGACTGTCGACGAAAAAAATGTTGTAAATACGTAGGCATACTCTGCATCTTGTTTACCACTTTGGCGTTGATGTGGTTGTAACAGCATCCGTATTCGAAACGGCCCTTATTACCTACCTACTTGCTAACGGATATCAGCGACTCTCGTTAGCATCACCATCGACAGATTGCGATAGCAGTCGCAGTAATCAGCGGTTTTGTCTTTTACTTTCCGTTTAACAAATGACCTATGCGATTTTATGTATGACGTTGTCGCAGAATAGCATAACCAGCGACAACAGCCTACCAAATACACTAGCTACCTAGATTCAACACCCATGTTGATCCCGCATCGTCACTCCGTCTCGTTTGCACTCCCTCGTCATACAATGCCCACCCTCTCCATATCCACGCCCAGTCCGAGTCTCCCCTTGAGCTGCGCATCACCCCTCACACGCCTCACGATGGACTCTACTCCTCTCATCCTCCCACCCGCCACGCCCGCCGCCTTCCTCTCCCACATCCTCGACGCGCCGCCGCCCCCCAACACCACGGTGCTCATCTGCGCTGCGCGCTCCGACTTTCTCCGCTCCGCCGTCTCCCAGCTCCACGACCAACCGGCGGAGGAGGACGTTCTCCGGGCCACCCTCTCTCGGGTCGCCGTCGCCCGCCGCGTGCGCGTCGCCTTCGCCCCCAGCGTCGCCCACCTACGCGCCCACCTATCCGCCTCCGTCCTCCCCGGTGCCGCCCACCTGCTCGTGTACGGCTTATTGGACTTGCACCGCGGCGGCGGGTGGTGGTCCGCGCAGGCGATCGGCTGCTCCGCGGCGTGCCTGGTGGAGGCGGCGACGCGTGCGGGCTCCGCGGCCGTGATGATGGAGCCGACGGGCTGGAAGGCGGAGGGAGAGGAGAAGGAGGAAGAAGAAGAAGTTGCACGGCGCAAGCGCGAGGGGAGGTGGGCGGCGTACGAGGAGCAGATACCGCTGCTGAGCTCGACGGCAGAGCCTCGCGAGGACGGGACGTGGGGTGTGCCGTGCACGTCTGCGAGGGTGATTCTACAACGGTGGTTTACGTTTGACGATTCATGACGCATCGAGTTTATTACACACACACACACGCACACACAAAAAGGGCTTTTAAAATGGAACGTTTCTTGTATTATCTTCTTCCATAATATCCAAAGGGGTATTCCTACCAACGCCGCGCCCAATGCCGAATCCATGAAGTCGTTAACTGAAAAAGTTACAAGCAACCGCTCAAACACACATGTACTCAAAGCGAGATGGCCTGCTCCATCTCGGTAATGTACAGCTTAATGTGCGACTCCATCTTGAGGTACTCGTCGTGCGCGGCGTGCACCTCCTTCTCGATCGTCTCCTTGAGCTCCTGCATCTCCTTCTCCTTCTGCTCGATGCGCACGCGGCGCACCGCCATCTCCCGGCCCTGCCCCGCCTGCTCCTCCGTCAGCCGGGCGTGCACCTCCCGCAGCTCCAGCACGCGCTTCCGCGCCGCCTCCGCGTAGTCCCGCGCCGCCTCGCGCTGTCGCTCCGCCCGCGCGTGCCAGTTGTCCAGCTGGCCCTTGAGCATGCCCTCCGCGCGCTCCACCTCGCGCGCGTCGTTTCCGCGCTCCGTCAGCGCCTCCTTCTGCCGCGCGTTGCGCGCCAGCTCCTCCTCCTCCTTGCCCAGCTCCGCCGCGATCTCCTCGAGCACCCGGATGCACGCCTCCACGTCGACAGACACGGCGCCGAAGGCGTCCGACGACGTCTGCAGCGCGCGCGCCCGCCGGTCCAGCGCGTCAATGTGCGACTTGTCGTTGTTGAGGATCTCGCGCAGCTCCGTCAGGTGGTCCTGCAGCGCGGCCGGGCTCTGCAGGACGTACGGTCGCAACTTGGCGCTCTCTTGCCGCAGGGTCAGCTTCTCTTGCGTCTTTTGCTCCAGGACGCCCGTCAGCTCCGTCTTGCGCTGCTTGGCCTCGTCGAGGCGCGCCGCAACACGCTCCTGGTTTCGCCGCAGCTCGAGCAGTCGCTGCTTGAGCTCCTCGTTCCGCGCCGTCTTCTCGGCGACCTGCGCCTCCATGGCTTTGCGGTTGTTCTGCATGTCCTCGAGGCGGGCCTCGTTGTCCCGGTTTGCCGCGTACAGTGAGTCGATACGGTTCTTGATGCCCTCTGATTTGTTGTAGTGTTCGTCCACTACTGTCGTCTGCGACTCGCGGAAGCGCACAAAGTTGATGAGGTAGCTGAAGATCTTGACTAATCGCTCGTACGTCGGCTTGTATAGGTCGTTGAAAGAAAAGTCGGCAATGCCGCATTCGAGGAGCAGACGGCGCAGCGACACGTAAAATCCCATGAGGTTGCGCGTATCCGGGTGTATCACGTCGGCATACTCGCCGCAGATGTCTTGGGCGGCGGCGCGCATGGCGGGGTCGACGGTTTCGCGGGTGGCATTGAGGAGCAGCTCGGCGAACCATTCAAAAATTTGTTGTACGTGCGCTGGGTTCGGTTTTTGTAGGTCGGCAATGCTAAAGTTGATGCCGATTTCTGTGATGCAGCCGACAATCTCGCTATCAGGCAGGCGCATAAACGCGTCGGCTTCGTCCTCTTTTTTGCGCGAGCGCGACTGCTGCTGTTGCTGCTGGGGTATGATGCTCATTCTGTTGTACGCCATTTTTGCGAGTTTTTAGGTAGATGCCTGTGTCGTCTGTTTCTTCCGATCTATGGCTGGCAATGTATGGGTTGTGGTGATGATGCTTAAAGGATAAACACGTTAAAGTCGATGGTGTTGCTGTGGAAACGAAAACAATGGGCTGGCGCCGACCCGCGTTGAGTGCTCCACGCTAAGCTACAGTCTGCGCTGGCCTGCACTGGTAGTTTATCCGTAGACTGAGATGGAAAATTGAACAGCGTTGAATATTTGCATGCAAGGAATGACCTTAAAAAAGACGAGGCCGATCGAAGCATTACAGAAATCAACCCCCAAGCGCCTTGGTTGCACACGGTTTGATTATTCAAGTTATGTTTATTTTGTGCCCGTTCTATTCGCATGCTATATAATCTCACCAGCAGGCTTTATGATAGAAACCTATAAGCGTAATGTAAAACGCCTCTTTCCCACTATCCGTGTCGAGCGCAATGCCACACGCAATGTATTCATTTCTTCATTTCTTCGATGTCGGTTTTCTTTTTTAACCCTCGTGGTTCGCCTACTCAGGCAGAGTGCGTCTTCAGCAGGCGCTGGAGCTCGCCGGGGTTGGCGCCGACAAAGTTGTCAACCTGCTTGCCGTCCTTGAAGAAGAAGAAGGCGGGGATGGAGCTGACGCGGAGCTCCTGGGAGATTTCGGGGATCTTGTCGGTGTCGAACTTGACAAAGTATACCTTGTCCTTGAAGTCGTCCGAGTTGGAGTGCCTGGGAGAATCAAGCTGTCAGAAATGCGCGCGGAACAGTGAATCGAGTCGGGGGCATTTTTGGCATCTTACTTTTCCAGGACGGGAGCGATGGCCTTGCAGGGAGGGCACCAGTCAGCGTAGCAGTCGACAATGACGACCTTGTTGTTCGCAATGGCCTGACGGAATTCGTCGGCGCTGGGAAGTGTTAGCAGGGCGAAGTCACGTCCGGGTTCAATCGGCTCGGCTGGTGGCGGCTGATGCGTTGGAAGGGTATATAGTAGGTGGCACATACGTTTCGACAACGTGGACGGTCATAGCTGGACGGGTAGCGTGGAAGAGTCGATTCTGGGCGGGAGCAAATGCGGTCGGGCGAGCGATGGATGCGATGCGCGAAGCGTTGGAGCGGAGGATGCGTGATGATGAGAACATTTCGAAGGCGAGCTGGGGTGGATCGAGTGGGAGCGGGTTGCCTTTATACCTCAGGTAACACGTCAGAGGGCTGTGCAGATGGTCGTGGCTGCCCAGCTGCAGTAGGTGATGTGATGGCGATTGGCAGGTGTTCAGTGGGTTGCTCGGCGGGATGAGCTCTGAAGTTTGATTTGTCAGGCAGATCTGTCGCAACAGGACTATGATCTTGCTGTGCAAATGACGCAATGTGCCTGCTGGCTGCAAGTGTACCGACTAGTTAGGTAGTAGTCAGAGGGGTGTTGATTTCCAGTACGGCTTCACTGCTATTTTTACTTAATTTGCATTGGCCCTCTATTTATGTAGTAAGCATATCAATGGCCTAACAAGTTTGTAATAAAAAAAATCCTCACTAGTTTGGTGGTTATTTGTCAGGACTCGGAACGGCGTCACGGTGTGGGCGGCTTTTTGTTGGTAAGCCACAACAAAAACAGGCTGCGCCACGATGCTCTGCACCAGCCACTAGATCCATGGCTTTCTAGAACTGCGAATGGAATCATTTTCTCTCTTCTACATTGACGAACCCGTCCCGACTTTTGGCAGATAACATGGTTGCTCCTCACAGGCGACGCAAGGGTTTTCTTCGGGGGATTTCTTTAGATCCGCGCTCAAGCTCGCCACTCGCGGGCGGTATTTGTGTCCAAGCCAATGACTAGTTGCATCAGACCATCGAGCAAGCTATCAACATCGATCGACTCAGATCGAGACGGACATGTGCTAGATGACAACGACAACCGCATTAATAAAGGCGACGGCTTTAGCTATTTAGATTTCGCGCGTATTGTATTGCATTTATTAGTCCATGTAGGATCACAAGCTGAAGAATTAGTAAGTATGAGGATTACTCTAGCGAAACATTGACTCGTTTCTATTTTACACTCTCTTTTTGTTTCCCTTACTATCCGTACTATGCCAGCTATCCTTGCCATCCTTGATAAGACTCTTACTATTGCCACCCTATTTACCACACTAAACCATAGTGACCAGAAAAACTGAACAACAGCAGCCGACAAGGCCCAACCAACATCCCTAGTATCCGTCCGCGCTACACCCCAAAGTGCCCGCGACAGAGTTGTACTTTCGCAACGTCCCATCTATCAAAGCCAACTTGTTGCTTGGCTGGGTCTGTTTGTGGATCGATTTAGTGCGATTTTCTTAGCCCCATCTCCGGTCCGAATGCGTTGCGATGGCTTCTTTGAATAAGGGCTTCCAAGAGCCAGCCCCGCGATTTTTCGAAGCCAACTATACACGCAACACATGCCAAACTTTCCCGCACATCCGCATGTTTCATAACCTTGATCTTCGCGACTCGCGCCCAACAGGTATCGGGCGCAAAAGTCGAAGCAACTGAAGGAGCGCAGGTATCATGAGTCGTGCCGTTTCGTCTCTAGAAAGACCTCTCCTTACTATTATTTGTTGGTGTACCAAGACACTCCGAATTCGTGCCTCGGTCACAATATTGGCAAGCACAAGTGTCACAGCAACCCTTGCTCCGTCCCTCAATTCATGCGTGGCTGGCATGGGTGGTCAGGGCTAGTATGCACACCGAAGTCTCGAGGCGAGGCGCGCCCTGATAGGTAGGCAGAAGATTCATGCAGGCTGGCCACCAAAGCCACCGCACAAAGCCGACTCTCCTCGCCATCCGCATAGAAACGATTCGGCCCGCGCTCGCCGCACTCAGCTCTTCATGCCCGGCACCATGGGCTCGTACCAACATGCATTATTGCATCAGTCCCACCACTCAAGGCCGCAGATGCGACAATTGCAAGTACCGCCGCTACATATCCGACAGCGTATTGTAGTCGAATACGTAAGACGAGTGGTGCGGTAGAGTATTTGTGGTTATTGATGCGAAGCCCTGCAACGGCGACAACTAAAAACATTCTGTTGTCATCGGGTAATCCCCTATTCCGCAGTTATACACAGGAGGATCTCACCAGCGCACCGCTGTCGGGATGGGGGCTTTCCAAGGCGCCCGTCATCAAGAGCAGGCATCATTTAAGGAATACCTAACAATGCATCATTTTCAAGGGGTCTCAGGGCCTGGTACAGTCTAGACACCCTCTCGAGCAACGGTTGATGATGGTCGGATAGCGGCTCAGGTCTGACGTGACGGCGAATACAGGTCCCCGGCAACCTTCGGGCATTACTTCTGTGTTAGACATCCGCTGCGAAACACAGATTGACCAGGAACGGAACTCTGAAAGCATTTTCCGCACGGTTCCAGCAATGGCCAACGAGAGCCAACAAAGGCCAACAGCGCCGATGATCGGCGACATGCATGACGCTGGAGCTAGAGCCAAGCACATCCGACAGACCAATGGACAACGGGCCTGGTCGTCGCATTGCATGTTGTGCCTTTTATGCCTGTTGAGTCCTTGCCTTATAAATACTCCTGGAGTAACGAGGTCCTGGTTTCACTCGCATTGGCAAGCTGCCCAAGCCCGCCCGCCACCTCGCCCAACCGTCCACGACATGACGACAAGATGCTAAGTTTGAAAATGTCCCAGCTTTGAATAACATACCATCAGACAAAGCGTCTACTCATGCAGTGTCAACCTCTCGAGACTTCTTGTACGTTGAGTGATTCGCCCTCGTACCCACATTGGCTGACGGTGAATAGCTTCTTGTCTCGTGTTGGTCACCAAAATGGCCGGGTGTCTGATTCAAGGTATCGCACGCTTTCAAGCGGGATTATAAAAGGCCCGAATCTCCCCCGCAATCGAGGTATCTTCTCTCCGAATCATCAAGCAAATCAAAAAGTTCAAGATATTTCAGACTCAGCTATTTAGACAAACCCACCACCCAGAACCAACCCACCCGCAACCTAAACAATGAGGTAAGCCCAAGTTCACTTCCAAAAGCTCCAGCAACCTGGTGAAGAAGAACGTTTTCAAAAAGGAAAGAAGGAGAGAGTGAGAGAGAGTGAGAGAGAGTGAATAAGATAGGAAACAAAAAGAAACATGCAACAGCCGGTGTTCGCTGGTCGTCACCGACCCAACTACTAATCTGCCGGTTGACAGGTTAACTATGGGAGAGCGGACGGGATCCCGTGCTTTCTGCCACCTATGGTCGCATGTATCAGCAAGTCGGATACATTGACTTATAACGCCAGCCTCCTCCCACCCAGCCCATTCCCACGTGTACCGCTCCCCAACACCACCACCCCCGATGGCGGCGCGACGAGCAGGGGCTTTTACCCCGGCACGCGCTGCCCAAAATGCGCGGAGGAGGGCAAGGAGGTCTGGGTGATCCCCGGCCGGTGTTGCGGCTACTGCGGAACGCCGTGCGGCATTCCGAAAAAGTGAGGAGTTGCTCGAGGACAGGGAGATTTCTTGTACGCGCGAGGTTTGTTCAGGAAGGAGATGATGCATGCGACGGTAGGTAGCTTTTAGATAGACTTTATCCGCGTATCAATTTCTTTCATGAAAACGCGCTTCACTTCCCGTCACTTGGGGCTTTGGTCAACGTGAAAAGTTAGTGTGCCTTGTCTTTGCAGGCGGGTCGTTGGTCGAGCAGGTCTTGTTGGCGGGTGCCAATAATATCGATATAAATATGCTTGGGCAAGGAATCGGCGTTACCAGGTGTGTCGCGGTTCTAAAAGGCACATATCGTTGGCAAGGTAGCACCTCGGTCCCCCCCGGGCTCGCCGGAGCTCCGTCGGCAGCTTACCTTACGTTGGACCGCAAAAGCAGCAACTCCATTGTCTCCGGGGCGACGCGGGCTCTCCGAAATCAATAGGTGGCACATGCATAGCCATCATGTTCATGACAGGCGATCCGATCCGCTGCGTCGGAGGTCATCAATGCTCCGCCGGTCGCTGCGGGAGGCCGGCACCGTTCCGGATCGGGAGCGAATTTCTTCCTGCCGCATGCATATGAGCTAATTCTAACGAGAGAAGCAGAGGATTAACAAAGTTGGGTTCGACAGGTGCATCCCAAGCTTGACACGAGTCTTGGGCGCCGTGAGCTCGGCATGCCCAATGCCCAGCCACCAGCCATGACGAGATACAAGTCGGCACTCTACAACCATGTGATTTTCGCATGATAATTTTTCAATGTGGATTCCATCAACGGCATCGGAATATTGTCGATCGCGGTCGAGTACAAGTTGTGCCGCGACTCCGATGCCTGACGGGCGACATGAGATGAGAAGTCGGCCCACCTTCTGGCAGCGAAGCCATCATGTAGTCGCTGAGTGGCGCGCTCGTATGGACTATCGACTAGTCGAGCGAACTGGTTGCCACCGCGGGCAGTTAGCATCTGCTTGGTGGCGGGGCCTCGGAGCCGGGGCGCCGGAGCCACTCAGGGACAGGCCTGGTTTCCCCAGGTTTTCGCGCTCCGGAGCGGCAAGGACCCCCTCCTGCCCATGTTTTTGCACATTCAGCTATATATTCGAGCCCATCCATCTCTTCCAACTTGCCAATCTCCATCCCAATCACACCCGTCGACAAGGAGAGTATACCGGTATACATACCTGATCATGTCAAGCACGGCGATTCACACCGACACCGTCTCGGCCCGGACCTCCTCCCCCTCCAAGGCCACCGCCGCCCTCCTCACGCCGGCATCCCGCCACTTCGTTCCTACCGACCTCGACGGCACCGTCATCCCGCACGCCCGCCGCTGGCTGTACTCCACGCCCGCCTTCGCCTGCGGCGCCTTCGGCTCGCGGGCCGCCAACGTCGTCGTCGTCGGGCTCTTCGTGCTGTGGCAGCGCTCCGCCGCCGCCCACCGGCTCTACGCCCACCTCGACGCCGTCTACGGCGCCGCCGCCGTCAACCTCTGGGGCACCTTCCTCCTCACCTCCGTCTTCTTCTGGGCGTGGGGCGGGCTGTTCGCCCTCGCCGACCTGACCGGCCGCCCCCGCTGGCTCTTCCGCTACAAGACGCAGCCCTTTGTGCGCGTCTCCCCTCACGACTACGCCCGCATCTGCCTCGTCTCCCTGCGCAACCAGGTCCTCGTCGCGCTTCCCTTGCTCCTGGTAGTCTCGCGCCTCGCACCCCCTCGACCGGTTCACCCCTCCGCGCTGCCCTCCGCCGCGCGGACCGTCGCCACCGTCATCTTTGACGTGCTCTGCACCGAGGTCGGCTTCTACTACGTGCACCGGGCGTTCCACTCGCGCGCCTTGTACGCGCGCTTCCACAAGAAGCACCACGAGTTCGCCGCGCCCGTCGGCCTGGCCGCCACCTACTGCACCGCCGCGGAGCACGTCCTGTCCAACCTGCTGCCCAACGCGCTCGGCACGCTGCTCGTCCCCCACCACTGGTCCCAGCAGTGCTTCGCCTTCCTGCTGCTCGAGTTCGGCACCGTCGTCGCGCACTCCGGGTACAACCTGCCGGGCCTGCCGTCGAACCTGCAGCACGACTTCCACCACTTTGCGTTTGACGAGAACTTTGGGCCTGCGGGCTTGCTGGACGCGTGGCACGGGACGAACAGGAAGTACAAGGAGGCGTTGGGCGAGGCGCGCGCGCGCGTGGACGGCAACGAGGAGCGCGCGAGGGGGTTGGTCCTGAAGCGGCTGGCTGAGATTGAGGTGGCCGCGGCGGAGGAGGAGGCTAAGAAGAACAACTAACGAACTAGTTGGCCCGAATATCTGTTGTATTACATGTTGCCTTCGTTTTATGGCGCTTGAGTCATTGCTGGAGTTGTGGAAATTGCATTTCGGTCATATTATGCGCTTGGAGGGGTGTGATATAGCCTTTCGCTCCTCAACGTTCGTATTTACAAGAGCTACTTGGAATACTGGTAAATACAGTTAACATGACTCCGAACCTGGCTTGTAAGCTCTTGGCAAGCATGGCAGACAAGGCATGCCTATTTTTGGCTGATGCATTTTTTGAATCTCGACCTGGTCAAGATGTCTTCGAGTCGGAGAATTTCGTCCACACATCATGCCACCCCTCAGCCCTCCGACAAGTGCCCGACTTTTTTCTCTCTTGACTCTCCCCTTCCCTCTCACAGAGAGGAGCCTCAAGCGCGCCGTTCCAAAAAAAAGTCATCTTGGCTGGATATGCAAAGCGGCGCGCGCACCACGCGACCAGCGCAACCTGGCGCGAAACGCAGCATCATTTTAAATTTGCCAACTTTTGAAAAAAGGTCCGCACGTTGAACCTTTTCACCCTTGCGTCAAAGTATATCCTTAGAAGGCCTATAAAAAGCCCTAATCTTGAAAAAAAAAAAAAAAATTCGCATGTTGAAATACCCTGGTATGGCGCCCCCACTTGTGCCATTCCAGCACACGCCTACATACCTACCCTTTTCGCTTCAGCTACCCAGCGCGGAAACGCCTGGGAGTTCATCTCGTCTTGCTTTCCTGGTACCCTCGTGGTGCTGTTCCTGGGACCCAGTACAAGGGGCAGGGAGGTTTGGTAGGCTGGATGGATCAAGTTACTACGCTTGCCTGGAATGCAGTCTTACTGCTCGGCGGCCAACAACGGCTTACGACAACTCATAATATGGGATATTATATTTCCGTCTACTAAATGTGTCTATTGAGCACGATGTGATTTTTAGAACCGGGAAAAAATTACAGGAATAACTTGCGCGATGTTATCGGAGCAATACTGTGCGGCGGCATATACCTACCCTATGCACGGAACTTTTCAACGTTGCCCTACCGTAATCCATCAAATGACAGGTACAAAGTAGACCGGCCTGGAGGGAAGCAAATAAAGAGTCGCAGATTCCTCCCCCCATGGGCTATTGACGGTGCGCCAATGTCTCGGCCTCCCAACTAGCGCTCTCGCGAAAACCCTCATTGTTCTTTCTCCCTTGAGACCCCCCCATCCCTCTCCCCTTTTCCATTCCAGCAACCACGGTCGATCGATGGCGTGGGGCGGGGGGCCCTTTTCAAGACACTTGGAGCCTACACAGATACCAAGTACGAACGGACGTCGCCAATTAGACTACCCAGTATGTTTGTTCCCTTGAAGTGACAGACCTTCCAATGTGACGATCCGGAGAGCATCGAGGGAAGCAAAACCCACAATCAGGATGATAACTATCCTCGAAATAAATATCCTGTTGGATTGATCGGCAGGTACACGAACAGCCCTGCCCACCAACCCTGTCACGTCATATCTTGCAGGAGCAAATATTCTGCAGATATGCCCCGCGTAAATTATAATAAAAGCCGAGGTGGATGAATATGTGCTGGCTGTGGCCATGTGGCACGGCTGGGCAAGAAGGCTCCTCCCATGGCAACATCTATTAACCCCAGCATCACAATGAATAGGGCTCGACTGTTGGCTCATTAAACTCGCTCCACACTCGGTCGATAATCGTCATCAACCCCATCCCTCACACGCAAACACTTGCACGAGACCAATAGATTCATTGCCCTTGAAAAGGTTGTATTTTACTTCTTTGTGTCTGTTTTTACAACTACCCATACATTGAACCCGGGTTTTTTGCCCCGTCATCAATAGCAAGCTCCTGGCCAGACATCCCTTATCCCCAAGGGCCATGCATGCCAGGCTGTATTGACCGCTTCTAAGTTATTAGTCGCCCCCCAGTTGAACAAGTGCCAGGCAGGCGTCTCCAAGCCCATTATTCCAAATAATAATAATAATATTGTAGGCATTGGTCTGTCCCTGCGCGGCCTTCTCGTCAGTTGTGACCAAAGACTTGGGTATCGTTTTGTTTCGCTTCCCCTTGGCCGCTGTTCCATTCTTGTGTCCCTAGTAAGGCTGGCCAGGCCCCCTTTGTAGTCTAATCCTCCAGAAAAACAACTTCCACGAAGGGCCATTGTGCTCCAAGCCCGTGGAGGCTCGCGTTCCCAAAGAAAATGGTGCAGAAAGTGCAAAATGATGTAACATGCGAAATCAACTCTGCCGGCCCGCGGACCCAATGTCGCAGAGATTTTTTTTTAGTTGTCGAACGCTTTTTTTTCTTTTCTTGCCGAATATGCAGCTGGAAAAAGCCAAGAGCAAGGAAAAGTAATGATGAGAGAATGAAGGAAAAACCAAGTCGCTAAATGCCATGACGTAAAGGAGAGAAAAGTGGAAGCCATTCTTCAATGCACATGTGCAACTCCGAATGACGAGAAAGAGTAATATGTTGCGCCAGGACCCGAGATTATGTGCAGTACGAGACTCCGGCGTTTGAACACACCGCAATGTATGCAATGCTCAAATGACATTCGCCATGCTTCAATATTGTATGCGATGTTGACCCGCATATCCTTGTTGCGTTTGTGCCGGGTACATTGCCCCTTGGTTGTGATGCGGTGTGGGCGTAACGGGACATCTCGGAGGCAACGAAGTGTAGACTTGTTTTTGTGCCTGCCCGCCGTGGCCAAAGCTGACACCTTCGGGGGTGATGGGAGGGGTGAGGTAGCCCTGGTAGCACGGGGCGGCGCCGTGGCCCTTTTGAGGAGTGCTGTAAATGTTTGAAGGCTTGGCAGTAATCTCCACGGGAGGCGAAGGAGGATCGGCAGCGCGGCGGGCCAGAGCAGCCTGCTCGGCCATAAAGTCGGCAAGCTGCTGCGAGACGCGAGACAGTTCTGGTGTGGCATACTTGCGTGCCAATGTGGGCGAAGGTTGGCTGAGATGCTGTGAAAGGGTCAAGAGGGTGACGTTCTCTGTATGTGCCCATTCACCGTCGCTAACTTCGGGTCGGCCAAGGATGGCGCGAGAGAGGGCTAGGGAGGCACGGGCCATCATCGAGGGCTTCGTCGAGACGAAGTCGCGGTGGTACAAGGCGATCTCGCAAAGGTAGGCGGCCATGTGCTCCACCTCAGTGTCATCCCGTTCCTCAGCAGCCATAAGCTGAGTGAAGAAGTCGACGGTAGGGTGGCCAATGGCCCACTCGAGGGTGTTGAGAACGTGCATCTCCATCTGGGTGAACATGCCCGAGTCGTAGAGTCCACAGCACATGTTGTTGAGCTCGGCAATCTGGGGAACGCGGTCCTTCTTGTCACCATACTTGGCGGCAATGAGGAGGGCGGCACAGCCAACCAGCTGGTAGTGGTGCTTGTAAACGACTCGCCTAGAGCAGTACCGGTCCAGCAGGTTGACGGTGAGAAAGAGAGTCTCGGGTAGCAGGCTGAAGGCGGCATGGGCCTCGATGATGAAGTCGATGAGATACGGTCTCATAAACCATTGAACCTCACGCTGCAAGTCGATCAGGTTAGCATCGGCAAGGGTCTCCTCCTGTGATGAAGTCAGTCAATGGGTCCAAGGTGGATGGTAGGTGGCGGAGCTGGTGACCAAGTTTTCGTACCTCCATGTTGGCCATGTGTTGCAGGATATCCTCAAGGTATTCTTCACCAGCGAGTCTGGAGAGTTCACTGGCAATGATGTCCTGCCGTTGGCGGGCTATCATCTTGGCGGCGCAGCGGGCATTAATCCGCGAATAGTTTGGCTCGTCCGACTCAATGAAGAAGGAATCATTTTGGTGCGAATAAGCCATGATTGCGGACGGACAATGTTCAAGCTCCTCGTAGTCGATGGACGGAGAAGCTGGATCGGTATTGAAATATTATAAGAGAGGCGGCGTGTGAGCTATGTCTTGGTGGTGAATGCCGTTGGACAAGGAATGGCTGGCAGGTTCTCCAGGAATCTTGGGTCGGCGACTGTTGTGTAAAGAGTGAAACTCGAGCTGCCGGGCCAAAGATAGAGCCGGTTGCTGGAGGGAATTAAAGAATTAGAGTATTAATAAAGAGCGTGAGACTAATGTCGACCAAGGATCGCTGGCGAGAGAGCTGCCAGGACCATGTAACGAAAGAGTCGAGAGTGAAGAAAGGGTCGGAGAAGGACTGGTTTAAAGGACTCGAGGGCTCTAGAGAATCAAAGGCTCCTGATTAGCATTGTGCACGTTGCAGAACCGCATCTCCGTCGCTCAGAGACATTGCGAAGAAGCGGAATTGCGGGGATCGAACAAGTTTCCCCTGGCGTGCCGCTCCCTTGATGGTAGGGGTGGGCTGGCATGGGGAGACTTTCGATCGATTGGCATGATGGGCCAGCAGGAGAAAAAAAGGGCAGACTCACGAGCTCCGTTGCAGAAGGGACGAGACAATCAAGATGAGACAATTGTGCAGTGGGCGGGACCAACGAGTTAACGTGTCCAGGAGCGCTGTGCACAGGATTGAAGTCGATCGCGACGGTGGAGAGGATGAAGAATGCAGAGGAGGGTGACGGCATGCAACTATATTACAATTGGAGACGAGGTTAGCCAAGGGACGGGAAAGTTTGGAGCCGGAAATTTGATAACGGGAAAGTTTAGTGTGGGGGAAAAGGGAAGATGGCGATTGAGCGAGTGGCTGAGGAGACGGCGGTGGTGGTGTGTTGCAGATTTATACATACTATCAGTCCTTAACCTTGGAGAAGGAGGAATAAAAAACGAACAAAAATCAAGAGAAATGAGGACACTATTGCAACGACATGCAAGAGATTAATTTGGCGAAGGCGTTTTTCTTGCTAATTAAAGCAAAAAAACAGGCCGACGGTGAATTGTAGAGACGAGCAGGTCGGGCTCGTAAGGGTATCTCGAGGGAAGGGGTCGTGTCGAACGGCTGAGGGTATCGAGAAGCGGCGACCGGAGGGTCGAAGGTGAGAGCGTCTAGTAGGAACTAGTCTCGGGAAGGGGTGGAAATCGAATGGTTTGTCGAGCGAGTCGATGGGAGACCAGAGAAGGGAGAGTACGCGGCGGACGGCGGAAGGGTGGATCGAATTCCAACGTCGCGAGACTGGAATTGGCGAAGCTCCGACTCGAGCGGCAAGTCAAGACTAGCTTGGCTTGAGGACAAGGCTCAATACCAATTAAGGTATCGCTGGACGAGGTTCTCGGGGATATGCGAAGAGGCAGTGGATATTGTCTTTGGACCTCAGCTGGAGAAGGTTTTTGCTACACGGGAGAGGGTGTTGAAGCTAGACGCTGCCAAGGGGGGATCTTGGTTTGGAGGGAGAGTCGAGGAGGAGGGAAGGGGCGTCTTTTAAGGATCTCGTCTATCCGAGGGCCAGATTTCCTGTGCGAGGGTGTCGACCTGCTGTGACGGGGCCAGGACGAAGCAGAAAAATGGCGGAGAGGAGAACGAATGGACGAGAGAGGAGGAGAGACGAGGAAGAGGAAGAGGAGAGGAGGGAGGTGAGGTGGGATAAAAGAGAGAGAGGGTAAGAGGAGAACGGAGACGAGGAGTATGGATTGGCAGCGGAGAGGCGGTTAGTTTTATTCGGGGGCGCGCGGAGTACAAGTGAGTTTGGACACAGGCTGCGGTGCAACCGTAATCTGACCCTAATAAGAGGCAGAGTGCCTGGTTATAGTGGACATGGAGGTGAGGAGAAGAGGCGTTTAGCGGGTAGCAAAGGCAAGGAAGACGCTGTTCTGGGGCGTGTCTGGGGGGGATGCAGAACAGCGTCATCACCGGGCAGCGGCCGCGGCAGGTCGCTGTGAGGGAGCCAGGGCAGGGAGGTCGTTGCAGAAGCAGTCCCAGCGCACACAACAGCTGCGATGATCTCTGTAAAATAATAATAATAATAATAATAAATGGCACTGCAAGCGGCATGAGGTGGACGGCCCAAGGTACCACCTCGGGCAAGGTACAGCCTGGTACCGTAAGTGCAGCACGGGCAGGAGGCCCAGCCCCAGGAACCGAACCTTACTGTACACAGCAGCATCCTCCACAGGGCAATATCACCACATCACCACAACCACACCACAGCGGCACCCCTGCCGCCGCCTGTCCCCTCACGTTAGCTCAAGAGCGAGCAGCCAAGTGGCGGGCCATTCAGCGCTCGTCCTTGCTTGGAGCTTTTTTTTGGAGCCTTTTTGGCGTCGTGCTCGTGTGGGCTGGGCGGGGGGAGGGCCACTACTGCAACAGGAAGGGGGGGGCAGGCCCGGGGGTGAGGGCGTGTTTGCTGGGAAGGTGTCAGGCCCAGGATTGTGTCTTTTTTCCTTTTTCTTTTTTTTTTTGTTCGCTCCTCATACTTGATAGTGTAGCGGAATTGGGCGTGTCCACGCCCCGGGCGCGAGGCGTCCTTGCTGGGCAATAAAAAGGCGTCAGGCGCGCCAGCGACGCAACGTGTATGTTTGGTGATTTGTGCTCTCGCTCTGGTCGCACCAAGCACTTAAAACTCGGCGTTGGGTGGCACAAACAACTCCGCGCCGCGTTGTGCACACACTTTTTGTGCACCCTCAAAGAAGACCCCTCCTCGTTATACCTACATACATTGCACAAACCACCAACGACACTCCATGCTGACTGGGACACACATTGTTTCCCTCCCCCGCCTCGGGAAGCACAAAACACCCGCTGGCTTTGTGTAGCAAAAATAAATATGTTACATAAAGACTGGTAACGGCGGTGAAATGGAAGATGAAAAAAAAAAAGAAAAAAAAAGAAAAGAAACATTTGTTACATACGAGGGGTTCCATGCTACGTCTATTACCCAATATAATTGCAATTGCAACTCAGTTGCATGCTAATCACGTCACCAAACACGATGGAAGCACGCCAGTACCTAGATGGCGAGAAGACGAGATGACGAGAAGACGAGAAGACGAGGGCCAAAAAAAAGTAAGATAGAATAAGAAAAAAAAATCAAATCAGATACGTACCAGTCTGCAGAATTTTTCTTCTAGACAAACGCCGCCATGCCGCGGTGTCTAATTGTGTCTGATCGAGTTGGCCGTTGTCTCGTAACTCCGGCCCTTGCAGCCAAGCAGGCTGTTGGGTATGCAGCCATCAGTAGGGATGTCGAGGAACATAATACAGAAAATCCGTATTCTTTTCTTCTTTGTGCGTGTAATTCAATATTGGCTCTTATCAAGATCCAATACCCACGTCAAAAGATCAGGAGACGGAATCTTGCCGGAGCACACAGGCAGTTGGCGAGCCACTAAAAACAGAGACTCGGGTCAGCTTTAGTGGGTGGCCTGTGCTGGGACGACTTTGTGGGGAAATCGAAGAAAGGGATAACCCAAAAATTACATGGCCAATAGGTTTATGCGTGCATTGCTCGATATAAAAAAGTGGAGTCAAGCATAAAAAAGGTGCTTGCGTTTGCAGCCAAACCGCCAGTGATATTATCATGGGTGAAATTGGATATATATTCGATTTTTCCTTCCACTTCTACCAACGTGTTTGAAAAGTTTACGCACTACCGCAATGATCCGGCGAGGTCGGGTGACTGCCGGTGGTTGTGATAAGCTGCCTGTCTTATCATGGTGTTATGAACAAATGAAATGGCCTGTTTGCCCGCGGCCAGCCCTCGCATGGCCCTGTTTGTTGCCAAACAGGCCGCCGATGATAAATACCAGTAAACCCTGCCAAACAGGGCCAAACAGGCCAAACACCATCGCGCCCGACCGCTATAAAACGACCATTGCAAACACGAGTTGCAGCGGGACTGGGACTCGCCTCGCGTATTACTACCTCTCGCTCGCTAGTAACCTTTTGAATAGTTCCCCCAACTAAAAGGCCTTGTCGTCAAAATTCCTTCATCACATCTCATACTTACCTGACCACTATCCGCACCTTACTTCCAATGCACCGGAACCGACAAAGAAAAGTGGCTGTATCTTCCCCGGATGCATCAACATGAAACAATTGGCCCCCGGTCTCTTCTGCATGCCTATTTACCCGACCGCCAATTTCTGTTGCTCATCTCGATAACACAAGTGCACAACACAAAACAATAGAAATAAAAATTCCCATGTAGTTTTATTAGAGAATTTATACATCACTAGCACATTGACCGTGTTTCGCTAGCGCGAAGCCAAACGACGCCCAGCCGTCCGTTTTCTCGATGGGTCCCCACAGGAGCAGCCAGTTTGGAGATACTGCCACTTCGCGACTTGGACACGGCAACTTGTGTGAGATATTCATTCATTATTCTCAAACTAGTTGACTAGCCGCTTCCTTTTTTCAATTCCAAGCATAATTTTCATCCAAATTGCCTAGTCCGATGCAAATTTCCGCTGCGATGAGCACGTCACCCATGGACACCGGCATGCGGGTTCCGCACGCATGTATTGCCCCCAAATTGTACGGCACGATACATCAGGGCCATTGTAGGCAGGGATGTAGGGATCTTCTTGATACAATCTGTAATTGTATTAAGTTCACTCTCGCGTTGGCCGACAACGACTGCCCTCCCTTTTGAGGCCGTGTCACCATCATCACCGGCCACCGGCATCTATCCACGAAAACGTATTACAGTGCATCTATCTGCTTCTTTTCCACAACGATGCAGACGCTTCCAAACCCCTCGCCATCTAACAGCTATCAAGACAAGGCTGCCTCTGTTTCTGTCTTCCTGTTGGTGCCCGGCCTGTGCGGTCACCCCTGTTGAGTTTCGCGTCACCACCGTTCAACCTTGCCTAGGAAAGTAGGATTTGATGCGTATCAATCTAACAAAAGAAGGCAAGGTGGTTGTCAACTCTTGTCGCTTCCTCCCTTCCTCTGTTAGCAC